GGATCAAAGGGGCACTCCAAGGCATTGACGCCCCGGCTTCCGAGACAAGTCGTTGAGAATCTGCAGACCAGCAGGGGCCTTGGAGTGGGATCCAAGAAGAGGTGGCAAGGCGGAAAGGCTTATACCTAATAAATCAACCGTATCTGAGAAGGTCTCGAGCCATGTGTTCAGCTCATGTTGCAGGGTGATCTTAAGAGACTTTAATCTCTAAGTTGGGCCGGGTTATGCCTCCACCAGTTAATCACCAAATTGGCAGGATTCAGTTTATTTGGGTCGCTTGAACTCACATCAAAAACTATAACTCCAGCTCTACACTATATGAAACCCCCCGGCTTCCTTGCGGGTTACCACAACCCTCGAGGATGCATTAGAGGAATCTATTGTCGAACAATCATAGCAATCATATCTGCTGGAATCACTCGCCCGCCGGTCTCCATTCGGACTTAGGTCCTAATCGCGCTTGCAAATAAGATGAAGAGAAATATGGCTCGGTTTTACAATACAGCCAATACATGGCCGCCAGTAAGACGAGAGACAAATTATCGCTGTCCTAGTACTTCATCCTCAGCCCCATGGCGACCGCAACGCCGAACAACACGTCCCTAGCAGCTAATAACTACATCAAAAGGAAATCCTGGCCTGAGAGCTCGTCTTCTGATAAATCAAAAAGAGCCTCACCATCCATTTGACCCAAAATGAACGCCTCACCGACAAGCTCGTAATAATCAGGAGTATACTTATCTCCACTCCCACGCCAAGTGGGCCGAAGAATGCATGGGACGGAACAGCCATACAAGATACAAACCAAATCATCCGCTTGGCTTTCACCGGGACCGATGCCCACCAGTCTCTTCTTGTCGTCGTCTTCACATTCAAGGAATGCCCGGTTCCAACAGACCGCCTGGACTCTCTTGAGGTAATTCGCCTTGAGCTGCGCGGTGTCGTCTTGTTGGAGAATGGAATTGGTGTTAATGTTCCCAAAATTGGTGTCGGATACGAGACATGTCATGCAGGCCCTGTGATACCATGCCGGCGGCATCTTTCCGTCCGGGCCACGATCTGCCACGAGGGTCCTCCATAGCATTTCCGGAACCCCTTCCAGTTCCATGCGATTACCATCGTGTCCCAAGCTCTCCAGAACTCCCCTCGGGATGATTCCCTCAAGCATTAGAGTGGGCTTTGCCACGTGGCCAATGCATAGGCCCTTGACCTTTATAGAACTCCTCAAGTCCAGTGCGGGCCGTTGAAGTCGGTGTCCTTTTCTCCGGCTTCTCTGCGGCTGAAAGCCATTCGTGGGGAGACTTTGTGAAGATTGGTCGGTTGACTTACTGGTTTGGGGCGAGGGAGGTGGATCATCTTGACCATATGAAATCTCGGGAGCCATGTTTAGTGAAGCGTTGTAACAGCGAGTTTCGGGCGTCCCAACAAAGCTGTCTCCGGTTCTCCGTCCACCAAACCCCTCCGTCTGAGATCCGTACGCCGAGTCGCGAACCGTCTTAATCCATGACGGCAGTACAGAAACTCTGGGGTAGAACTCATCCAGTACTTGCTTGAGCTCTGGTAGAGCCCAGTGGCGACAAATGATGTCCAGGGAGCCACTCTCCTTTACACACCATTTCACAAATGTAGTGTATACCTCAAGGAGGTCCAGGGTGTAATCCGGCACCGGTGGGGGGTTCGTCTCCAGCTTCTTCCGCCTCCGCTCATCCAACTTCTCGTTGTGGGGAAAGAGGTTAATGGTCTCCTTCGCGAGGTTTAGGAGCGTGTAGATGGTGTCACGGGGATCTGAAGTCTCGAAAGTAGATAGAGACGAGATAAGGCTCTCTAGACCTTGTCGCGAGGCGTAGATAGTACCATCGGCATGCCGCTGAAATGTGTTGGAGAGGACATCTACAAGAATTCGAGCGCCGAGAGGCTTCACATCCTTGATACCGTCTAGTGACCTCTCCAACTCAGGTTTCCCTCTAATTAGCTTGAGGATGGCATCAAAATGAAGTGTAAAGATGCAAACCGCATCAGAGAAGTCCCTCCAATGTTTCCTCCTGGATCCACATCGAACCTCGGCTTCTTTCGCCAGCGCCAGCTCCTGGATGATCCATCGACGCGAGAACCACCGACGGCGCATTAGGTACAATAGATCGGACCAGCTTTTGGCGTAGCGGTCTGTGAGCTTGTCCCCAATATCGTCCTGGAGAATGGAGCTGATGAAATCCATTCCCCGGTCTGACTTTTGGCCCTCGTCGGCGGGCCCCAGCCAAATGGCAACATTGGCAGCGGTAGAGTAGATCTGACTCATTCGGGACACTTGGTCTTGCTTTTCCTCGTTGCTTTGCTGGTTAATGCAAATGCGGTCTACCCAGAGAGCTACCTCAACCTCTCGGTCACGGAATTCCTGGAGAAATGCGTATAGGTTCGGTTTCACTCTGAGCCGCTTTTTTTGGTGTCTGACATATTGAATCGCCACTTCGGAAAGCCCGGGAAACTTGAGCTGGGAACCTTGCAGGATCTCTTTCGATGTGTCCACCCAGACGACATTATCTTCGTCTCCCGCGCCCCAGTTGTAAGAGAGCGCAGTGTACTGGTAGGATTTGGGCTTGTCAGCAAGCTCCTTCATTGACATTGATCGGAGCTCGACAACAATATCGGCAGTTGGATCCAGGTGTGGCTTAAGAACAAGAATCCTGATATGGCCTTCCGGTAAAGGGCAACTTTTGTAGTCGTAAAGATTCCTGTAGGTCTTCGCGGCTCTGGCAAGCATCTGTGGCCTTGTCTCTTGGACCCCATGGTGACCGTCGACGAAGTGGGTTGCCCGTTTCTTTGCCGGTGTCGGCCGGGCACACTCCACTGTGCCAAAATTCCGCTTCGAGGGAATCGAGCTGGCTGGCACATTGTTGGAAAGATCGATGTAAGTGTTGTCTTCGTCAAGTATTGAGCCGCTATCTGACATTGGGGCGGGAGACAGAACTACTGGTGGTTGTGACATTGTGAACGAGGGAGGATGCCTAAACTAGGCCCTTAAGTGATAGCAAGATAATGATTATTGAATGGGCTGAGCAGGTACGCAAGGAATGCTATGTTGCCGGTGCAACGAGGGAGTATCGATGAATGGATTCGACAAGCACTACTGAGAGCTGGGCGTCTGGTAAGGCATGGCCTTTATAAAAACCTGCCGGAAAATCCACGACCGGTCTTTCCCACCACATGACACACATGGTGCCCTCCACCACTTAGCGATGGCGCTTCCGATCAACGTAAATAGTATCAACTCGTTAACGGCAGCCTGGTGACCGGCAGGAAACCAGAGACAAGTACGAGGCGACACCCTCTTCACTCTGCATGGGCGATCCTGCAGGCGAAACACGCAGAAACTGCAGCGCACGGCAACATAGGTCCAATGGAAGCGGCGCTCGAGTGCGCCCTTCTCATGCCACGTCTGCAAAAGCAGGGTTTTTCGGCCAGGGAATAGGCCGGTGGCGCGTAGAAATGCAGCAGAATTTAAGGGTTAGCAAATAAGATGCTTGCTCTAGGTGCGCCTCAATCTTACCCTGGCAACTCCATAATCGATAAAGACGGGTTCATCGCCACCATCTGAAAAGGTACTGCGTCGTGATCCCCCTTCCTCCCACAATCCCGCACCCCCAGGCGAAGCGGCTAGCTTCCTCCACTCTCCTTACACTGACAGATCCAAGCTCCCAATATATCGCACTCTATAGGCCACTGGATGGTGATATCCGACACACGATAGGATCTGTTGCTGTCCTTCTGCCGGGGCCTTCAAGCGTCACCGACAAAGAGCCTAGAGGGTAAGAGTAACGCCCACTGACCATCACGAAGCACTCAGGCACGGATACCATGGCTGGGTTGTCACATTTGGAATGCGGTGTGGGTCAGGACTCGGGGCTTGGGGCTCATCACCACACAGTTCTAACGCACCAGGTCCGTATCCTGGTGAGGCAATCCATACTCCGTAGGCGCCCAGCCCCATTGGGTGTTGATTTCTAGGATCACACCCAATGGATATGGTGGCTGCGTTATCATTCGGACTGTACTAAGTAATTTGGGTCAGGACTCAGCTCTCAGCACTGCACAGCTGTGTAACGCACCAAGTCCGCAGTCTGATGAAGCAATGAAAAGATGGCCCACCCTATGAGGGGCCTCAAGGGTAGAACTTGAAAAAGTAGGGCCAACAAGGCAGGACCCAGGTACGGTCCGCGGACTGTTGCATGAGGCTGCAACCGTTATCTCATGATTGTAGAAAAACGGTTCACGGACGGTTGCACATTTACAACGGTCGTCGAGGCAACAATCTTCATGTATTACTTCTGCTTCTACTCGTTCCTTTCACTTCTACAATCACCGAAGAATCAGGAAAATCAAATTACATTTTCGGAAACAAGCACTGTGAGTTACAGATTAACTGCGAAGTAAACATTGATCTCAGGCGAAACGGCCAACTGGCCTGAAGCGATTCCCCCCTTCCTCTCGCCCCCCCTTTCCATCATTGGCGACCAAATTCGACTCAGTGGATACACGCTTGGTGGTAAACTTCTGGAGGCCTCAAGCGACCCGTTCCAGATCTTTCAGCCCGCTTCACTGGTGGCACCCCATTCAGCTAGGGGGCACCGGTACAGTCCGAATTTACAGAGACGGGATTTTACGAGGAAGAAATACGGTATTTAAGATATGTATTGTGCCTAGAGAGTAGAAACTGCAGTCCCCCCCAATCTGATGCGATTTCGAGACTTGGATAAGGCGACCTTGCTGACAGTGACAAAGTTGCATTAAATCAAACATGCCAGCAGGAAACTTGCCTTGCATAGCCAACTCGTTTCGGTGTGGTACGCCTCATGTTCTCCTCCGTACCGTCAAGGAAAGGGAAATAGGGATGGAAAAGGAAAATTTTAAAGACTGTTTATTATTACAATTATTTAAAAAAAGGCTCTCTAACGTACGCCATCGCCCCAGTCCTTCCCAAACTAATTCCAACCATCGGCGTCAAGATGGACCCCCTAAGTATAACCGCAGGTATCCTTGCATCCCTGCAAGCTGCTTCCGCTATACTCTGCTTCTGCTACGACGTACGAGCAGCAATGCGCAAGATTCCTTGGACCTTGATTCAAGTGATCGAAGAGGTCCGCGATCTTCGCAATGTGATCGAAGCTGTTCAATCCGCTCTCGACAAAGAAGACTCGTCGGGTGAGAAAACGAACTCGCTGGAAGAGATTGTCGAGCCGGCCATAGCAATGTGTTTAGCTGAGCTTCGTGCTCTTGAAGTCCGTATTCGACCAGAGCATGTCTCTGCTCTCCTCGAGTCGACAAGCAAACTCCTTCTCCGGTCAACGATTTGGCGACTAAAAGCCAACGATGCGAGTGAGTCAATTGCCAGTCTGCAGCGATGCAAAGCGTCCTTGAATCTCGCAATCAGCTCTCACAACCTGTGAGTAGAATCAAATAAGGATATAGGCGTATATTTATATAGTCGATACGGCCTCACTAAGATTCACTTCCGTGATGCAGGATCATGATTCGGGATATAGAGAGACTAACAATAGTTCTTGACCACAAAATGGATGACTCTTGCGAGCGCCTGCGTTTGCTTGAACGAAGTCTCAGCACAACTGTACTTGGTACGTGCGGTTGGCAATGGTGATTAATTGTCTTGGAGCATTCTGATATTCTGACAGTACGTAGATGCGCAACAGAAGGCGGTAGTCGATTGGCTGTCCCCTCTCAAGCCCAGGCAAGCTCATTTTTCGGCCTGGGAGAAGTCTCAGGCCGGGACCTCAGAATGGTTCCTCAACAATAGAGACTTTAGCGAATGGCTAGGGGGGAAGGATAATATTTTAGGCGTGGCCGGACCGCGTAAGTTGGCCCAAGCCGTTTCTCTCTTGGTTTCCTGATACGTAGATGCCAACAACGTAAGGCCGGGTTCTATTATTGACGAATCTGAAACTTAACGCAGCGGGTTCTGGAAAAACAACGATGATGTAGGTACTTGACAAGGCAACGCGCTAAATCCATTAGCACATGTAAGGCTACCTTTTGCTAATGTAAAAATCTAGGAGTCGTGTGATAGAGTCGGTCTCCTCCACCCTCGATCAATCTGGCGATGGAGCCCTATACGCCTTTGCGTACTGCGACTTCCGCGATCCCGTCACTCAAAATATCGGAAACATCCTCGGATCACTGTTGTCTCAGCTGTGCACCCAGCTGCACCACTTCCCGGACGATCTGCTCAGTGCGTATCGGTCCAGGAACGCATGGTATCAGCCGTCTTACCCAATGATCGAGGTGGTTTCTCGTGCCATTCGGACAATCTCGGAAAAGCGGCGAGTGTACCTTTTCATCGATGCTATTGATGAGGTCGGTGATTGTGATTCACTTGCGCAATACTTGCTTTCCCTGGCGAAGTCGGTTTCAACACTCAATGTGCTTGCGACCCACCGAAACGATATGAGCATCAGACGAGCGCTTGAAGACTCTCGACATATTTCACTGGAAAACCATGTTTCCGAAATCGATCAGGATATCGAGCGGTATGTTATGGGCCGCTTGGATAGTGACCCACATCTGTCCTGGCTATCATCCGATCTTCGGAGACTGGTCTCAGATTCTTTGCTCTCGAAGTCAAGGGGAATGTAAGAAACCCAAAGGTGGCCATGTAAAGTGTCCAACTAATGTGAATCGAGATTTTAACTGATACGGACTACTAATTAGGTTTCGATGGGCTGCGTGTCAGATGGACAGCCTGGGCCACTGTCGAACAATCCGCGACATTAAGAGAGCTCTTGAAGAACTGCCACCGGGGCTGAACCAAACCTATGGCAGGATTTTGGCAGATATACCCCAATCAGAAGCGCCTATTGTCCGAAAGATTTTGACCTGGCTATCCTTTTCAGCCGCCTCAGTGTCACTGGGGCAGCTCTGGGAAGCACTTGCGATCGAGAAAGGGGGGGACAGGATCGATGACGAGTACCGACTTCGAAGTGCCGAGGACATACTGACCCTTGGCAAGAGCCTCATCACTCTGACAGCAGATGGGCATGTCACACTAACCCACCTATCGGTTCGGGACTATCTTGTCTCCGGAGACATTGAACAAAGCCCGGAAACAGCAAGGTTTGCCCTAAAGCCCGGAGCGGGCCACTTGGAGCTGGCCCAAGATTGCCTCACCTATCTATTCTTCTCAGATCTGCGCTCTGGACCATGCAACAGCCGGAAGGAATATATGTCTCGATTGAGGCGATTTCCACTTTTGACGTACACAGCCAAATACTGGTTTTACCACTCTCGGATGGCAGAGGATAATGTAGATTTGTGGAACCAGACTCTCCGGTTCTTCTCACACGAGGCTCGGAAAATATTCATGTCTTGGGTCCAAGTCCTCAATGCAGCGGATGCACCTTTCAAATGGAATGTCTTCCCCAGGCATGCGACTTCACTATATTACGCCTCCTCACTGGGTCTTGATGGGGTGGTCGATTGGCTGCTCCAGTCTGCAGCACCTGACGAAATCAACGCTGCCGGAAGCCGCTTTGGTGGCACAGCTCTTCACGCAGCAACTATCCGGGGCCACCTTAACATTGCCAAGCAGCTTATCGCGCAAGGAGCAGATCCAGGGAAGCCCGATTTTAACGGCGTGACACCACTGCATAGCGCTGCGAGCCAGGGGAGCGCGGACCTCGTTAGGGTCCTCTTGGCTCACGGGGCTCCTGCAGATGCAAAAGATAGCATGGACGGTAAATCGCCGGCCGAATGGGCTGAGTGTAGTGGCCATAAGGCTACGGCGGGTATCATAAATCATGTCTTACAAGACCCGGATCTGAGGCAGGACTCAATGACTCTCAGTGAGAGTGGTTGCGGAACGCCATCGCAGAAGACCGAAATATGGCGGCCGGTTCAGGGATACTTCCCAGACTACTATGAGAAGAGGTCGGGCCTAGATTCTCCTCTCATTATCAGCATGACTGTTGGTGAAATATGCTCATATTTTGACAGCGAGTTCAGGCCCCTGGTTCCTCTTGGTGGGTCTGACAGATCGCTTCCGGTATGGTGATTCGGGCACTCTTGATTTTAATATTAGGAATATCATTCTAAACGTGGAATGGTCAATCCTAGGAACTCTCAATCTGACATTCCTGTTTTCTTCGTTTGTAAATGTATGCCCACTACTAGTCCACTTATGTATCTGATCCCCATCAGGCTCAGTACTAAGATATCGAGAACTCTCTTCGAGACATGATGTAAAGGCAGCCGGGCGCAGCGGCGGTATGAGACCACTTACAATCAAATGGCGCTGGTCGCGACACTTGGGGCATCTTTTTGTCATCATATATGATTCGTACGAGTCCCACAAGGCATTTGACGACGCATATTCTAATTTTCGTTTCTACTTGTTGACTCTGGATATTACTACAGGGGGGGTTGACTTTCACGTAATAGCGGAACTTATGCCATCATGAAGGTAACCCAGATGGTGTGGGAGGTGTGCTCTCGGGAACTGGTCGTCGATCAAGGCATACACCCGTCGCTAGTAACACGTGATGCCTCCGTCAAGCCCGTATCTACGAAATCGCGCCCGTCTGCTTCTGGAACGTGAAGTAAGAAGGGTGGCTATCCCGTGCGCCATCCTGCTATGAAGCTAATGGGATATTAGACGGCCGAAGCTCCGCGGATCGCGGCTAGGCTCTCACACTTCTCATGGCTGACATGACTACGATATGTAACTGTTCGAGTTACTCGCCGTTGCGTTTCTTCAAGAGTGAAATACCACCAGAAACGCAGACGAGAAGTGGGCGCACCAAATTCCATTTTCGGATTCAAAGCTGGAGCCTACAACAAGGCCAGCCAAGGCACAGAGCCTCGTATTTGACCACTCCTGTGACAATCTCAATTTTATACTAAAATGGAAAAACTCCGTCCAAGGATATTTTTGCAGGCCTATATTTGGGCATATAGTCTAGGGGATCACAACTATGATCTGGGTCGAGGTACCTCCTGGCCGTGAGGCAGTAGGTACATCTAGGAGCAAAATCAATATCTTACATTTAAGGGGTTCAATTGGCTGTGCCGCCCTATTGATGCTTGTTGTAAAGGAGGGTTCAGATAAGGAAGAGAGGAAACTTCAGTGAGTAGTCCGACTGCTCGCAGAATGTCTAGATTGTAGAAAGACTCCCTGCTTCATCCATGCAGTGATGAATACGACTCCCCTTGATATCCCAGAAGGCAGAGCGCTGGTTGAGTCAGACATTAAGACGAAGTAGATTGATGAGAGTACAATGAAAGCGTTATTACGAAGGTCGAGCAGTCTTGACGCTTCTAGGGCTTTGAGGGGGAGAGTGGAAGATAGAGAATATCTGCATATTCATTTGAATAATTATATCTCATCCCAGAATCTCGTCACTGGCGATACACACTTCGGTTAGCTCTCAAGTTATATAATCGCCCTCACACCTAGAGTAGTCCAGGTAACAACTCACGTGTATGTATCTTCCGGCATTCGGATCCCGTCATTAATCGACAATCCCATCAACCTTCCACCATCTACGGTAAGCAGAGCATGGTTTATGTAACCTCCTCCAGCACTCGAGAGCATCAACACTGGACCGACCATCTCCTCTGGGCGTCCGGGTCGTCCAGCCGTGCAGCGCCTGGCGGCACGCTCAGCCTGGTGGTTGATGTTATATTCGTGTTTGCCGGCCGTCACACCAGTCATTTCGGAAGGGAATATTCCGGGACATATCGTGTTGACGCGGATTTTCATCCTAGGATTATCAGTATGGTCGTCTCACAGAGGCCTCAAAGACCAAGGGGTTTAAGGTGGGTTAAGATGATAATATCTTACGGGTGAAGACGGCCAGCAAGAAGCTTAGCCAAATGCACGGCTATTAATATATGTGGTCAGTAATTCCCTACATCTCGATGTAAAGCAGGGTTCCCAAACACTCACCCGCAGCTTTGGAAACAGCATACGTTGGAGAACCCATCGACCTTGCAAGTAGTTATTAGTTATTGATTGTTTCATATTGCATCCTCACCTCAGCTACCTTTGGTTCGCGATTCCAGCCAATGACGCAATAACACAAATATTAGGGTCGGCAGCCTTTCTCAGAAGAGGAATAAAATATGCCGTAAGGAAGTAAACACCCATCACGTTTACTAAACAGAGGGAGATAATCAGTGAATACAATTCGTATCATGGGTTGCCCAAGTAAATCGAGCTTTGGAGACTCACTTTGATTGCTTCGATTAAAGTCCTCCCTATTTAAAATTCCATTATTAACTTGCTCCGAGGATAGCAGCGGATACACTATCTTACTCTTCAAGGCCATTGATAAGCAGGTTCTCGACCTGATCCGCTATTTTCAATGTTAATAAATACATATTAATTTGTCTGAACGTCTCATCGCTGGACTTACGGTCGTTGTGATCCTGCGCTATTACCCGCCAGGGGCTGTTGACCCCGGCACTATGAACAAGCGTATCAACCTGCTCCATCAGTTAGGTTCTAGACAACAGTGCCAGGCCGCGTATCCATTTTATTTGACTCACATGAGCCTCTGAAGCTCCAATCGCATCCGCAATTGAACGACATCCCTCTTTTGTCTGGACATCGCCTTGAATTCTAGAGACAAGTTAGACTGAAAAGAGAAAATGCAACATGCTTTGCTTGCGGATGATGTGCTGCGGGTCTAATGAGAGGAATAGAGACGCTCAATAGCCTTATTTTTGCACTTACGCATGAATGTCGCCAGAGATTTGCTTAACGGCAGTTTCTAATACATCTAGTCTCCTGCCAGTGATATAGACTTTCGCTCCGTTGACAGCGAAGCCCTCGGCGATGGCTTTGCCAAGGCCAGACCCCCCGCCCGTGACAACAACCACTTTGCCCTTCACCGAGAACAGGTCTTCTAATTTGAACGAGACATGTTGACTAGCAGCCATGGTTAGCTTATGCTGGCTAGAGTGCTGGGATTGGTGTTGCAGTCTCCAATATGGCGTATGGCTTGGTGAGGGCGGTTGAGATATTGAGTACTGTTAGGAACGGAAGTCAGGCTCTGAAGGTAAAACATAGCAACAGTAAGTGTGTGAAACCAGACTTGTTATGGACTTCCATAGTACGCTTCTTAACGATCTCTTGACTAAGGCATCACTATCTACCGGGAAGCCGCTCCTCTACCCCGCATCACCACTCGGTGGAGAGATGCTTCGTCTCGCCCTCGAGATGGAACTGAGCGCTAGTCGCAGCCATCGTCTGAATTTTCCTAATTAGGGTTAGCGTAGCCGATCGGCTATCCGAGAACCTGACTTGTTTGACAAGCTCCGATGTCTGGAGAAAAAGAATGGCGCTAAGCTCCACGCTGAAATCATGCGGGTGCTGCGGGGTTAACATCAAGAGTTTGTGCATCCCGCTTCGTTCCGACGAACGAAGGGCCTAATGCCGAAGGGAAATTTGTGGTAAAGCTCCAGGGAAACAAGCATGCTCTCAAGACCCGTGACTCCTAAATACGCCTAGGCGTCCGAAAGTGGAATCCGTTGTATAACGTTCCGCTAGATTATAAAAATATCCTTCAATTCCAAAATCATCTTGAACTACGTAACCGTCACGGGTCCATTATAAGCCCCAACACATTATCATACAATAACAAACACGCGAAGAACGCTCGTTCATTTAACCAACATGGCTATACCGGCAACTTCCTCCGATGGACCCGTCATTATCTCTCTCACGAATGAGGAGCGAGACAGTGGCGTCATGAGTGACAAGAAGCTCTATGATGCTATTGAGGCCTTCTTCAATGATGGTCTTGTCGTTGTTGAGAACGCTATTGACACCGCCATCATCGACAAGCTCAATGAGAGGATGCTTCAGGATACCGCCAAGCTGCTGAACGGGGGAGGAGAGGTTCATTTCAAGTACGTGACGCACTTCACGAGGCCGTATTATAGATCTTGTCGCCATTATAGACACCATGAATCCTAACCATTGAATCTTCTACTGCAAAGTCATCTTAACGTCAACGCTAAAACCAAAGGTGCTGCCGTTGGTGGGAACCTCTCTCAGGTTCCTCCTCTAGAACCCGGTAAGATTGTGTGGACTATTTTACGAAGGGAGAGCCAGTGATTTTCTAATAAAATTCGTGTGGCAATAGAATGGCTATTCCCCGAAGTCTATGCCAACAAGCACGGCACCCGCATTATTTCCAACATCCTCGGCCCACGACCCGAGGTGCACTTCATCCGCTCCAATACACTACTCGCCACCCAAGAGCGACAGATGGTTCACGCGGATATCCGCTTCGAGCACCCCGAGCATCCCTTTGCGATTGCTTTCAATACTTGCTTGGTGGATGTAGGCCCCGAAAATGGTACCACTGAATTGTGGCTTGGGACTCAGAACACCAACATCAACGATCACGGAGAGCTGGGCGAACCCATGATCGCAGTTGATAAAGTCGAAGAAAGGAGAAAGGTTCGACCCCCGGTGTATCCCAGGATTAAGAGAGGGTCTATCGTTCTCCGCGATTTCAGGCTCTGGTAAGCTTGTCTCGGCACCAACCATCGAGCCAGGTATTAGGCATTACTAACGACACTCCGCAGGCATGCCGGTATGCCGAATCCTACAAATCAGATCCGCATTATGCTTGCGATCGTCTACTATGCAGCGTGAGTCCAAATTTGTGTAAGGATAAACGTTCATAACAAGCCACTAAACTTTCTTTGTAAAGGTGGTACAAAAACGGCATCGTTACCCCCGTTCCCGAGTCACTGCGTCCAACGATTGAGTCGCTCGAGGAGTATGGTCAAGCCAAGATTGCCGTGGAATACGTGCCCGAGGATGGCTATAACTACTTGAACATCAAGTTTAGTAACAATTTCAGCTCGACGCTGACGCCTTGGGTTTGGGAAAAAATTAAGAATGTCCCCACGGTGAAAGGATATTAACCGTAGCCGAAAGACGGCGACTGGACTGATGATATCATGAATTGCTCTATTTTCAAGATGATGTAGATGGTCGCAAGCCGTAAGATATATATATTGAGTTAAATTGAAGTCATACATTGGAATTATAAGTTCTGTTTTTTCCTCGATTTACGCAGTAAAACTTTTATTCCTCTTCGTATCAAAAAAATAATCCTATAATCGTTTTCTTGTTCTTTGGCATACGTCAAGAAACAAAGCTTGCGCGCCGTCACACGTACATAGGGGCAATTAAGAAAATTGACCTGGCAGAAGTCACCTTGAGTGTGGGAGAGATTGTAATGCCATTGAGCAAAAAAGCTAAGTATATTAGACTCGGAATCCCTCTGCGATTTGAATTAGCTTAAACGTGCTGTATCCTTCATTTTCCACCCATGCTTATGGGTAATGTGTGATACGTGACAGAATGTGTTAACACGACTACGATACACACTAACCGCTTCACGGTTTCACCCGCCGGAGTATTCCAATCTTGAATTTCGTCACGTATCGGCTGCCTAGATTAACCACTCCCACTTCTAGAGAAGGCTTGAAGGTTTTGACTTCAGGGATATCTCTGCCCGTTAATACCCAGGATCTCCCACTTCCTCTTAGCCTTAGTACACTTCCGCTGGAGTCCATAAAAGAAACCTGAAGGACAATATATAGGGCACGATAATTAGCCTTTTAGTACCCAACATACCTCCACCCAAGTTCAACTTGTTGCTTCGTAACTCCGGTCTTCATTGCCTTGCGCTGGTCCTCCTCACTGCCACCGAGGAGTTTGTTGACCCTCCTCACGTAAACAGTGTAGCCTGAAATCGTGAAAAGAAACGCTGCGGCACACCCAAGCACTATCGGAAGATGGGAAATTCATCAGTGTACGACTCCATGCATAGTGTTTTCCAATTCTTGGATAAAAGTCGGAGTTGACTTACGGCATCCGAAAGCGGCGTAATAATTGGGAGGCGCGTAGTAAAGGTAGCTGGTCCAGACATTGGACAGGCCACCGATGGCGTTCATCATGGCAACGCCAGCAGCTCGCTTCGGAAACGGTCGCGCCATGTGGATGCTGAGAGTCTTATAAAGCATGATCTGGGGTCCCGCTATATGAAATATTAGTGTCGCAAGATAACAATATCAGAAAGGTGTATTAAGACTCAAACTTACAGCATACGGAAGGCATAAGCATCATCGCGAAGTAGCGCGCTCCGGTATTCAAGGTGGACAGCGCGATAATATACGCAATGAATGAGACGCTAAGACAGAAAACGATGATAGGATATATCGTAGTTTTTTTCTTCGAAGGTCAATATCATAATATAGTATTTTACGGAACAGTTATGGGGACTTACGTCACTAATATACGAGATGATGTAGAACCAGATGGCGGCCAAAACATAAGGAGGCGCCGTAAGAAGAAGAGAGATCATCTTGTTGTAGCCGAGGGTTGATACAATGGAACTATATAACAGGAGGGTTAGTTCAAGGTATGAAACGCCAACAGCACGTCAGTGGCTAGCCGGCCTAGATCGACTTACGGGAAAAAGTTGACGATACTACCCATCGCCTGACCCATGCCCATACACCAAACCATGAGCCAAATTTTGGGGTCCAGAATTGCAAGCTTGAAACCCTCCCACGTGGTGGTATCTTCATGGGCCTCTCCATCACCGGCCTCCATCTCGATACGCCAGACGGCATAGTCTCGTTCAATAGGCTTCAGAAGTCGAGCGTTGTGCGGATACTCGGGCATAATCAAGGAAAAAATGATGCCACAGCCAACGGTGATGACACCCTCACTAGAAGATTGTCGTTAGTGGGTTGCGCACGAGTGCTGAACGGGACTTGGAGCCGCAACCTACACGATGAAAAGCCAACGCCAACCCGCAATTCCATATCGGCCGTCAAGAGTCAAACAGGCGGCGGCGACGAATCCACCAAATGCACTTCCCAGCATTTGAAACATGAAGAGAGCAGCTAGTCGCTTCCCAAGCTCGTTCTTGGTGTACCATGCGCTAAGGAAGTAGATGACACCGGGGAAGAAGACGGCCTCCGTGATGCCGAGCAGAACACGCAGGGCTAGGAGAGAATTGTAATTCTTGGCAGCCGCAGTGCAAGCACTAACGCTACCCCATACTGCCGCAGCGCTGCAGATGTCTAGGTTTGGGGGTCTAAGAGTCAGCGGTGCACATAGGACCCAAGTATCTGGGATTCCAAAGCAACTTACAAAGCCCGGGCCGAGAAATCTTCGTCATGACCAAATTCGATGGGATCTGGAAAGGAAGGTACCCAACTGGGAAAAGAGTGGTTAGCGATAGATACCTGATAGGGCCAAGAACGCCCAATATCTCAACTTACCGAATAGAATAGAGATGGCAGTCGCGAAGTCATTGGTTGTCATGTTCAGGTCTTCCATAATCCCATAGAGCTTGGCCGCGGCAAGGGCAGATCTGTCAACATCTACTCTGTGTCAGCATTTGACAATTCGACGAACGGGTGATAATCTTAGTTTACAATTGAGAATGTATAATATCCCCATGATTGGCCTATATTTATCTCGTTAATATTCGCGCATGTCGTGGGCTGTCAAACGCCAAATGCAATGTCGTGAATAACGAATCGGCAACTTACATGATGACGAGGTCCATTTTTCGGACCATCTTTGTTTCAAAAGCCTGGAGCTCTTGAGGGCTCATGTGCCGGATGCTCTCCGGCTTCGGGACAACATCTTCCGCTGCTTGCATTTCAAGCTTCAATACATCTACATCGCCAGATGAATCGCGCGGCACCGTCGCCGGATCATCCTTTCCGCGTTTCATATCGGACATGACGAGTAGGTTGAATTTGCTATGTAGCGTCAACCTTTTGCTTTCAGGCGAAGAGATAACCGCAAACAGTCGTTAAGCCGGAGCCGCAGAGACAGACAGTGAAGAGGTCGATGTCAACAACAAGTTACGTGGTAAATTGAAATTCTGATGAGTCGCCTGCAGGTAGAGTCTGCATAACACGTAGTGGAGTGATCACCTCGACGTCCTCGGTAGGCACTCTATCCTAATATAATGGAGGGCAGGTCTGAGGAAGACTGCAAGAGGGAAATTAGCGTGCTACCCTTGCATCGCGTGGTACTTGAATACGGAGCGTTGCTAAAACAACTTTTCTTCCCATATCTGCCCTTGTCCAAAATCCAAGTAACCGAACGACAAGAACCAGCATTGACGAAGGACAGACTAAAACTATGGCGGCGTCGACTTTTCTTCCCCGCAATAGAAACCCTGCAGCGAACATGATAATCCGGGGTAAGTGCCAGTTCTCCACACATTTCGGGAGTCAGCTAACCCTCAGTAAAGCCTAGCGTTGTTTCTGTTGAAAAATTATGGGTCACTTCAAGTAAAGTGGGCTGTCGTAGGAATCACTTCGGGTCACTTCCCTCGGGTCACTTCCCTCCCCAGCCGACCCTCGTCAAGGCTAGTTGGAAAATTCTGTCAGCTAATATTGGCGTCAAGACTAATATGAAGGGTCATGCTGGATATTTGGGCATGCCTGCTAGGTATCTGACTCTTCAGCACCTTCCTGTCTGGGGCGATGGGACGCAATCAATACATCTTCATAAAGTACCACTTCTATTTGACGATATGCTTCAATATACTTCGTAGAAATAGACTTATTCTCATGCTTCTTTTAGACAGGGCCAAAGAGCCAAGGATTACTAGTGCCCAATTTTCAAGTAACAAAGAAGTATGCCAAAAGGACATTTCATTCCCACTTTGGGGAGATGTCGGATAAAAGTTCCCCAGAGCCGATCGGCTTTGCAATTTTTGGTGTGCTCCGGTCAGCAGCCGATCGGCTTTTTCTGCCAAGGATCAGCTAGTGCAGCCGACGGACATTTGTCTATGCACGCCTCAGGAATGTTCATCAATACATGAGATGTTCGTTGCCTTGCAAGTGATGGTCCCACTCTCCCCAACCCCCCGGCGGGGAATTACTGAGCGCAAGACTTCGGCTAGGACAGATAGGCTTTGCCGTCTCTCGGCCTGGCCATTCCGCTAGCCATTGGATAATCTGTAGATGCGGAAACTTTTGCGAGCAGCCTGAGGATGGGAAGCTAGGCCAGCATGGGGTTATTAACATGTTAACCTTTGGTGTAGGGGAAAACGTGTTTCCTTCCATTACACCACATAGCCCTGCCTGAGTTGCTAGCACTATACATAAGTACTGCACACTACACTACTAGTTTTCTATTGCCCAAAGTCGCCAGATGATGAAATGCTACATTTTCATGCTCCACACAACTCCACATTCCTTCTCCACGACCAGCATATCGCCTACCGGATTTGTGCAAGCGCGATTCCTGATTTTGTCCGTACTCCATATTTTGATGATGCACTATTGGCGGTGACCCAAAAAACATTGGGACCACCCTTACGAAGTAGTGTACTTGTAGTGTCGTATGAAAGGCGGCAAATCTCAATTGAGCGATGAACACCGCCGAAGCCACTATTTTCCCCCTGCATCGTAACGTGCTCAATGTTGGGGAATCTTTCTTTCCATCAAGACTTTTCGAACTTCTTGCGTTAAGACTTGAGGCCAGCAAAGAAAAAGAGAGAGAAAAAAAATAGGCCCGCTTCCTTCCTCCTACAGAACCGTTCAGATAACCCAGAAATACCGCGAATGCTATGCATCACGCAAATAGTATATCGCTTAATACCCCAGATGCAAGCAGCCGACCGGAAATCCTCCCCGTGAAAAGGCAGGCACGGTCCAAAAATGGGTGCTTGACATGTAGGTATGCTATCTCTGATTGTCATCTGTCCTCAAGACCGGACAAGACAAAGTTCCACACCGAGCCCTACTAATTCTCGGCGTTACTCGGTTCAGACGCCGAAAAGTTCGGTGTGACGAGCTGCGCCCGCGATGCTCCCATTGCGAGCGGCTGAATCTTGAATGCAAATGGAAAGAGTCGGTTAGCTTCAGTACGACGAAAAAAATTAGCAATGGGGATTCCAGCCATGGTTCATCAACTCTGAATGGCAATGGTCCCGCGCAAGGTCCGATACAATCCTCGTTGAATGGTGTCGCCGGCAGCCCATCGTCAAGCCCGTGGGCCCGGAACCCCGGTGCTGTCGACCAGCTATTTGACTTTGCCAGCTTTATGTGGGATACCGGGGATGTATTTGGTCAAGTGAGTCCTGGTAGTCACGGAGGTATCACGCCTATGCCCGCAGCGGATTCTTTCGTAAGTACAGAACGCCCTTCCCTCATCAGACCCTCTCGCCGGAGTCGACTTGACTCATCTGCCAACCAAACCGCAATTATGAGCCAAACGAGGGAGGCGGATGTCCTAGGCATCCAGCCCGAGGGAAGATTCGAGCTTTCGATGTTCTTTTTCTCTGCAGCTAGGATTAGGCGCGGCATGTTCCTGATTCATTACTAACCCACCCATTCCCCTAGATGCCAGCGTGGTCCATACCCAGCCCACGTGTTGATGCCCGGGCTGCAAGACCCGCTTCCCACCATGCGCCATCAGGAGGAGATGCAGCGTTAGTTCGATATGGCCGGACCAGGTCTGAAAATGCCGTGGCTGAAACCACGGAGGATCGACATCTCATCGAATATTTCGTCCACACAGTTGTTCCACCACTCTTGGCCGAGGTGGAAACTCAAAAAGGATGGTCATCCATCCGTCAGATGCTCGTGTCCATGTCCAATCGTTCGAACATGGTGCGATGCTCCATCCTGGCCTTTTCCAACCTGCTTTTGTGTCGGCGCGAGGCACAGTGGATGCAATGCCCCGCCCATCATTATGAAAGCGCCATGGCCCAGCTTGTGGCCACGGCTGATCTCAGTACGGTGGTGTGCCATAGCCCTCACCGAGAAAACCTTCTCGTGACAATCTTCTTCCTGAGCTACGTCGACATCCTTGAGTCTAGAGTCGAGAGTGCCCACGTAAATCTGAAACGGGCATTTGAGATATTTCGCCAGGGTGACAAGCGAGGATTTCGACCGCTTGAGATACGCCTGCTGTCTTGGATACGCCTCCTCGATGCCAGAGCGGTGTCTGCCGGGGGCGAGGGGCTCTTCCTTTCGGATAACTGTGAAGCCCTACTCGTACAGCCTTCGCCCATGAGCGTTGAGGACGTCGATAACGAAGGCAGCCAGGACGAAGTTCGCGAGCCCGACATCGAAGAGATGCTTTTCCAAGTGCTATACCACCCCGGTCTAGTATTTTTCCAAAAAGTCCAGAGTTTCATGGGGAGAATATCCGTCATCGATCCTTGGCACCGGTCGCGCGGGACAGTCGAGGACGAGACCGAAGTTATAAACATCGCGTCTCAGATACTAAAAGACTTAAGAAGACTATACGACGATAGACCTATACTCATGGATCATGCAGTTGCTGGTCGACTGACTACTCCCCACGTATCACAGAATCTCGCCTTCTCCATCACAAGAGCCTTTAGAACCTACCTTTCCAACTACCACGCCAGCAAGGTCCACCTTCATCGCGTCGCGTACAAGAACTTACCGCTGACGAGAGAAACTGAAAATGCTCTACACCAGATCCGCCACTTGACGAAACTTATGGTAGAGGATCTCGGCGCCGACGATTGTCTCCCAGTAAACCAGCTCTGGCCTCTCCTTATGCTAGGATCCGAGGAGAAGAATCCGGCGGAGAGAGAATGGATAAAGAGCCAAATATTAAGGATGGAGAAGGTTGCTACAAACGCAAGAATCACCGCACAAGTGCTGGATGAGGTCCAAGCTACGCAGGACTCTAGTGGTGAAAGAGTAGATATAAGGGCAGTGATGCACGCAATATTTGATGCCTGCTTTGCGATAATGTGAGGGACTCCGAGACGCAAGTTCAGGGACGTAAAGACATTTAAGGATATCTGTATCATTATTATGTATCTAATTTCTGTGCCCTTTACACTATCAAGTGTTTGTTAACCGGTGTCAACGGTTGTTCCCCAGACAGGACTGCCATCACGTTCTTCATTGCCAGAGCCTCAAAACCGGATGTCGTCTCGAAAGCACCGCCGGCGTTGTGGCAGGTCAGTGTTGCATTTCTATTCCTGGCTAACCGGGGATTCACGTGGGGCTCATTCTGATGCACGTCGAGGCCTACGGCGTAGACATGCCCGCTTTCGAGGGCATCTGCAAGTGCGTTCTCGTCGATGAGGGTTCCTCGAGCAATATTCACCAACCTCGACCCCTTCTTCATCTTGGAAATCTTGTCAGCGTCGAGGAGTGCCTTTCCTTCGGTACCGGGCGTTGCGACTACGACACAATCAGCTTCGCCTAGCAGCTCATCGAGGTTCTCGATGCGTCGCGCACCGCCCAAGGCAGCTTCCTGCTCGGCTGTCTTAGGAAACAAGTCGTTGTAGATGATCTTCATGCCGAACGCGCGATACGCCTTCGTCGCAATCTTGTAACCAATATTTCCAAGCCCGATCACGCCGAGAACGTGCCCGGCCGGATTGTGCGCGCCGACGGGCTGGTTTCTATGCGCGTCGAGGAACCGTTCCGTATCGAGAGTCCTCGCAGCCATGTTGCTCCACTGCAAGTTCCTGAACACCGAGATTATGTGGTAGATGGCCATATCGGCAACGGCTTCCGAGCTCGCAGACGCCCCGTTGCAATAAAGAATTCCCCTCTTGGCCATAATGTCCACGTCCGCCCAATCGTAGCCTGCACCAGCCGAGGCATAGACCTTGAGCGATGGAGGAAGAAGAGGAATCAATTCCGAATCCCAGCGGCCCATCTCACCGCCCGAGTTCCAGAAGGGGCGGAGAACGGCTGAAAAATCGCCCCATTTGCGTTCGCGCAGAGCTTGTAGGAACGCGGGACGCTGACGGTCCCCCACAGAGGGGCGAATTACCGTGAACCGTGACTCGAGTTCCCTGTACAAGTCATGATTGAATTCTATGGGGTCTCCGATATGGAGGACGATGGGTTTCGAGGGGGTAGCCATGGTGTAGGAGACGAAAATGCGAATCGGTGGACGCTCGACAAGAGTAACCTGGAAACTGAGCTAGGCGGTGCTACGTACGTACCGGCCACGGTTGAAATTGCCCCAAGCCCTTACTTATGGGGATAACAACGTTTGGAGAGTACAACTGTAAACAAGTAAATCCACCGATGGATCTCATCACTGACGTTAGTGTCGGAAAATGGAGCGAGTCGTAATCGTCCGAATGACGCCAAGGCCCGCCGCCAAACCCCAAGAAACTTCCGACGATTGTTGCGAGACCCTGGACTCCCACAGACAGACCCCGCAATACTTACCTGCAAGAGCGCATCTAAAGTTTAACTTCTTACGAACGATGGTGGCGCCATTCCCATCGGCAGCTGGAAGCGATCGGCAAAGGGGGGGTTCAGGTGCAACGCTCCGTAGAGCGTCAAGTGGAGCCATGGATGATTAGCGACCCAGTCCAACGCTGGGTTCTAAACCTAGTGCTGGCAGCGCACCCTTGGTCCAGCGGGCGAGCGTCATCGCCATGCTCACTAGTGTTGAGTCGAGATGGATAAATTAACCCGAGTTGAAGATTCTGACCAATAATGCTGTTTGTATTTCATTCATTCAAAGCTCGTCCAACCAAGGAATGGATACCTGAGCTCCCTTCCGCATAACCGTCTTGGATGCGGCTAGGTTTGCCAAGTGAACAGCTCTCTCAACATCAAAGTCTGCCTTAACCGTCTCTAATGCATACACCCCAACAAACGTGTCGCCAGCTGCTGTCGTATCTCTGGCGTCTACCTTGACGGCGTTGGCATAGCCGCGTGCGCCACCCAAAACAGAATAATATACACCGCGGCTTCCAAGGGTGATGAGTACATGTTTAGTTCCTAATTCATGAAATATCTGAGCCACGCTTGACTGGGCTGCTTCTGTGTCCAGTTCCGATTCATTATGCCCCGATAAGATGGCCGCCTCAGTTTCATTCATGATAAGATGTGTAATGCCTGCATAGTATTTCTTGTCGATTTGCTGTGCCGGCGCAGGATTGAGTAGGACGGGGACGCGGAGCTCCTGTGCCGTAGAGATGATTTGCATCACGGTTTCTGAGGGTATCTCAAGTTGCAGAACTATCAAGTCAGGCAAGGGCCGAGGCAAATCAGCGTACTCGCCCGGTCGCATCGTACCATTGGCATTGGGCGAAAATATAATGCGATTTTCACCTGTCGAATCTTCTACGATGACAGTCGAAACGCCAGTCTTTTCTCCCTTTCGAACTTTGACGCCGGATGCGTCAATGCCAACATCTTTGAGTCCATTCAACACCGTAAGCCCGTAGCTATCGTCTCCCACAGCACCGATCATCTTCACTGTCGCAGTACCATTGTGGACGTCCGACCGGGCACGCGACACTTTTGCGCAGGCAACGGCCTGGTTCGCTCCCTTGCCCCCGAGGCCGATCTCGAATCCGTTTGCTGTTAGCGTCTCACCGCCGCGGGGAACACGTGTAACGTAGGCGACGATGTCGATGTTGATAGATCCGATGATTGCGAGAACTGGCTTCCGGGTCGCCATGCTGAGCGTAGTAGCAATCTCAGCACGGGGTTGCTGGTGGAAACACACTGCTAGAAGGATATGGAGGACGGTAAGACCTCGGGGAAGTAATTTGGCCGTCACGTATCGCCTAGATTTTGTATTATTTGACGACCTTGATGAATTCGCGACGCGCATCTCCAGTAATATGTCTAGCGAATGTTACTATAACATGCGATAGCGGAAAGTTGCGCGTTTGCCTCCGGACGTCCTGTTTGCGGCGCAATATACACATGGGGGGCATCCCGCCAGCATGCCGACTGACCTTCGGCTCGCTTACGCTAGGCGTCGTCACCCTTGCATGTCGGCGAAAGACCCCCGCCCCACATCTCGCATTCCTTAGGAGTCGGGGGCGCCACGGAAAGGAAGCGAGCTTCAATTGATTAAAACCTAGTGAGGAATGGACCTGATCAAGCCACATTCTTCTTTAATACTTCCATTCAACACGCAGAAGTTTCCAAAGAAAACGGCCGATTGGCACAATACTGTCAAATCTCCTTCCGGCCCTCAAGCTCCTGGTTCGCTACGTTTCTCACCTCTTCTCAATTTTGATTTTATTTTTGGTTTTACTTACACGTCCATCATGGGGGCCGCGGGTACCAATGGCACAGCAGCCGTACCAAGGCCTTTCCCTCCGGGGGTTCACGTTCCAAGCCTGACCTGGTTTGAGGGGACACGCGACCAAGAGATTGATTGGGTCATACAAAAGAAACATTTTCAGTTCTTGGTAGAATCCGGAGTTCATGGAAGTACGTCATATTTTCGTTGAATATTTCTATGCACTCCTCGACAGCTCTGGTTTCGAATAGAACTGACCCGGTATTAGTCGTCATCGCGGGAACAAATGGTGAGGCTGTCACGCTGAGCGCAGATGAAAAGACACAGCTGTTGCGAACAGCACGTAAAATTGCTATCGAAAATGGACGCCCGGATCTACCCATCACTCTTGGTTGCTCTGGGCAGTCCACTCGCGAGGTTATCGCCGAGACGAAACTCGCGGCAGCTGCGGGTGCTGACTTTGTTCTTGTCCTGGTGCCGAGCTACTTTCACTTTGCTATGGACGATGATGCTATCGTAGCTTTCTTCTTAGAGGTACCGACAACTAATGGGCATTTCCCAGATCTTTCTAGGGTTCTACATAAGAGACTTCCGTATATTTGAGATGTCAAGACTAACGCATTGTCGTCTATTCATTTAGCTCGCTGATTCCAGCCCCCTTCCAATCGTTATCTACAATTTCCCCGGTGTTGTTTCTGGGCTTAATCTTAACTCGGACATGCTTGCGACGCTCGGAAAACACCCTAGTATCGTGGCTGTCAAACTTACCTGCGGAGGTATCGCTAAAGTCGCCCGTGTCCGCGCTGTGTTCGGGCCCGAGACGTTTTCAGCACTCGCGGGCCAGAGTGACTGGCTGGTCCCTGCGCTTTCAGTGGGTGGTACGGGTGTAATTACCGGAGTGGCGAACTTGTATCCCAGAGTAAGTACTGCTCTCCCAGTGATTCCGAGAGTGTAGAGTAGTGCAGCCTTGGGTGTTAGCTTAAATGGACACTAACGAGAGTAGTTCTGCATAAAAATTTATGATCTCTACCTATCAGGTAAGACCCAAGAGGCCGAGGCTCTACAAATCAAGTTGGCTCAGATGGAATGGGGCTTTGGGAAAGGAGGCATCAACGGGACGAAGTGGGTGGTGGCAAAATATCTAGGCTATCCACTTGAAGGCTGCCACTGTCGTCGGCCGTATCCAGAGTATTCAGATCCCAAGAAGCAGGCGTGGATTGACGATACTGTGAGACAACTAGAGGAAGATGAGAAGAAGCTCCGGGCTTCTAAAGCATAGAGCGTACCCGTCCCCAATGCACAGCGATAGAGTAGAGTCTATATAGATTACTTACGTCGAAATTTCGAGGCAAATATCGAGATCAATAGATCTTTCTGGTATTCTATTTAGTCTTGTAACCGGCGCTGTCAAAATAGAATAAAGTAGAAAATTAGATTCGATATTTGAAACTGGAGACACAGGTACGGTCTAGTGTATGAAGAGAATTTACAGTCTCGCTCTCAGCTGAGCACTGATCTCTCTAATTCAGAGATTTTATCATATGCGCCCTTGCTAGCGATTCTTTTGTAATCTGTACGCAGACCACTCCTTTCCCGCTTGCCCGTTCCCCCTCGTCCTGCCTTATCTTAATACGTCAAGTGATTTCTTACGGCGTACGCATTAACCGAATAATGCCCTGTCCCCCTCCTCCCCCTTCTTTCCACGTCTCTGTATGATGCACGCCGCATAATTTGGGGGCACCACGATAACTGATGTGCCTTCCATATCGGATGGGCTGTGGAAGTTTTCCCCGTCCCCGTTATCCCCGTTACGCACTGCTGCTCCGATTTACATCAGAGCCTCCACGGGAAGGACCAAGGCCAAGCACCATGGAAAATCTTGGATACTGTAACAAAATAGAGAACCCTTTCTTAAGGCCAAACGGAGATTCTATTATTATAGTAAAAAATTAACGTAGCAGCAGCTCCGCCCCATTGGTCTTAGGTATACGTAATTTTATTTCTGGACAATAGGGATCCATTGTTTTGGAGCCACACTGAAAAAGTTGTACCTGCAAGCTATTCTCGCAACTATTGTGAGATATTAGAACAGTAGTGGACCGAAATTCGGCACACTCTGCTGTCTTATATGTAGCCCAACGGAGACGACAGGCATCCGAACAACCCTTCTTCAATAGATATATCGATACTTAGGGTTGTAGTCACCCAGACGCGCGATTTCTTCTTCCGTTTTGCCAACCAAAACATAGTCTCGCTCGCCTCGGTCCCTCTTCTTATTCTCCCTCCACAAAAGTACGGACGTCAGGCCGTATCCCACAGCAGCAGCAAACACAAAGCCAAGTGTGGCTCCATGGCCGAGCTTATACTCCGGTTTATCCTTTGTCCGGTATAAAAACGCGCTGTAAATTCCTGCGCAGTTTCCCAGCGTCATGCTCGTGCCCTGACCTGCCGCCCTTTTAAAGTGGCTGGGCAAGTTGTTGGGCATCCAGGAGATCGGAATACCAACGGCCACATAGAGGCCACATGCGACGATAATGCATCCCGCGTACTGAGCACCCGCGCCATACTTTGGAGTGCCCAAGAGGATGGCATAGCCAGCGCAAGAGACTAAACACCCAGCAACTGCAAAAGGACCTCGGCGTCCGGTACGGTCGGAGAAATACGCGACAACGAGGTAAATCAGGGCGCCAGCGGCATAGCATGGAATGGTGAGGAGCTGCGTGTGGAGGCCGCTGTATCCGAGGGCGTTAATTATGGTGGGTAAAAAGGTGCTAAACCCGTACAGCATGACCGTGACGCCGTGTTGGGCAGTGGCTATTGTCCAGACCTTCCAGTCCTTCCAAGCTTCCCTGCATTGCTGCCAATCAATGCGGTCCGATTCTCCTTCCAACCCTAGGGACGTGCCATCGAGATGTTTCCGTACTTCGCACAGCTGCTTCTCGCGGTCTGTGAGGTATGCCGCGCTCTGGGGGTCATTCTCAAGGATAAAGTACGCCGCCACCCCGAGTACCACGGTTGGGATACCCTCCAATATCATTAGCCACCTCCAGGCGGACATGCCCCGTGTTCCATGCATATGGCCGATCGCGTATGCCAACAAGCCGCCGCATGAGCCGGAGACAGCTGAGGCAGCAAAGAGGAAAAAGATCCGAACGGCAAGCTCCTTGCGGCGATAGAAAAATGTGAGGTAGAAGCAAATAGCGGGGAAGTATCCGGCCTCGAAGAGGCCCAGGAGGAGGCGGACGCCGATGAGTTGGGCCTTGTTATTCACGAAGCCGGTGCATAGCGCGACAACACCCCAGCCGATGGCAGTAGCAGGGATGAAACGGCGGGGTTGGACCATTTTGAGGAGGAGATTCGCAGGCATTTCGAAGGAGACGTAAGTGATGAAGAGGACAGAGACGCAAAGCTGGTAGTCGTCACCTTTGAGACCAAGATCTTTTTCGAGGTCATAGAGACGAGCGTTTCCTATAGTTCAAATTTAGCACGTAATATTCTCGAGGCGAAGGGGTCCGGCGAGGAGAGGGTCCAAATACCAATATTAGTCCTATCCAAGAAAGACAAAATGTAAAGAAGAATGACGATGGGGAAGATATGGAGGTCCATCTTGCGGACCAGAGACCTCTCTTCTTCTGGTGTCATGTCGTGGCTTTCTAGGCCATATTCCAAACCGACCACATCAGCCTTGAACTCCTTCGACGTGTCGAGGGCGTCATTTCCGCTCTTGTCCGAATGAGAAGCCATACTGGGCTCTATTAAATGAGCTGAGCCGTAGCTTGATCGTTGGTTGTTAACACTATGCTGCCTGCTCTGCAATGTCTTGGAAGAGAGTAGAGTTTGCAAGGCAATGCTTCGCAAGAATGGGGATTCTGTGCTCCGCGTGCTGGCTTTATACTACTATTGCGGCTAGCTTTCTTCTCGAGGAGAGGGCTTTTGTTCAAAGAGCAGATAGCCGTGCCATTGGTTGCATATGATTCCCCAGATGTTTATCCCCGCGGACTCGGGACAGACCGAATAGATGAATGCGGGGGAGCTAGCGCCGTTGTGGGGTGCAGCCTCGAGAGGAAAATTGGTCGTCCACCAGACCCACCCATGTCAATCGACCCAAGAGCCTCCACCATAGCCGATTTTTGATCCGATCACACATCGGATTCGGCTATGGACGACACACTCGGTAATGGTGTGGGTGTTAGCCTAACGTAGGTTAACAGCCGCAAACAGAATTTGCCATTACACGCCAACTGCTGGGTCCTCGCATCTAGGCCTTCGGTCACGCCAATCTTCTCGACCCATCCTGCTTGTTAGTGAGTGGTAGTCATAGACTCCTAGTAATTAGCCCACATCGCGCGAATGGCCTGTTACACCACAGGATGTGATATTTTAACCATCAGCGGATGCAAAGTCTTATCAGACGATGGAATATATAAATTCAACTTCGGGCAATTGATAGTTTTGGCCATCTTTTTGCATTCAGCCCCATCGCAGTTTCAGCAAGGTCACACCGATCAATCTAAAACCTGAACCAGGTCCCCCAACCTCTTCTTTTTTTAGTAGTCTCGTCTGATAGCAGCCATGGCTCCTCTCCTCAACTCCGATTCGTCTCCGCCAAGCCTCGACTCACATGCGCAAGATTCATCAGACGCAATAGCTCTAAAGATTCCCCTAGTCGCTTCCCCCGAAGCTCAAAGGCTCTTCGGCTGGCCGGAGCAAAATGATGCCGGGTACCGCATTAAAGAAGAGCCAATGGGCACAAAACGGAAGCTGAAGGTCGTGGTCCTTGGTGCCGGCGTATCCGGGATTAATTTCACCAAAACCGCACAGGAAAAACTGAGCAATGTGGAAATCGTGTGTTACGAGAAAAATGATGAGATTGGAGGGACTTGGTATGAGAATGTGTATGTCTACTACTTTTCCGCTGAGCTGTACTTCGTAGTGGGCACCAGAACAGAAAGCTGATTGGCATTTAATAGATATCCTGGTGTCGCCTGTGACATCCCCTCTGTCTCATACCAATTTACGTGGGAACCTCACATCTGGCCCGAATATTACTCCTCAGGCCATGAAATATTGAAGTACCTCAAGGGAATTGTCGACAAGTATCAATTGGCGCAGTGGATTAAGCTACAGCACAAAATCGTTGGTGCAGAATGGTTAGATGAGGAGGGGCAATGGCGACTTTCTGTCGAAGACCCAAGTGGACGCGTGTTCGAAGACCGATGCGAGGTGTTCTTAAATGGCGGTGGAATTCTCAAGTAAGTCTTACAGCTCAACCGGTGTCCTGCAATTGTTATCGAATTTGACCTCGCTCACAGCAGCGATCTATAGTAATTGGAAATGGCCCAACATCGAAGGGATATCCTCCTTCAAAGGAAAGTTGATGCATACGGCAAAATGGGACACGTCCTACGACTGTAAAGGGAAAAGAGTTGTTGTCATCGGCGCCGGTAGCAGTGCCGCCCAGGTTGTTCCAAGTCTCCAGCCAGACGTAGCTGAGATGCACTGTTTCGTGAGATCCCCGACATGGATCACACCGGGGTTTGCCTCGAGACTTGCCGGCCCAGACGGAGGCAATTTCACCTGTGAGTGCTAAACACATATGATTATCCTTCGTCTCTACGCGGATATGCTGATTGTCGAGGGGTGTGTAGACACCGAAGAGCAGAAGAAAAAGCTACGGGATGACCCGAAAGCGTACTTGGAGTATAGAAAGATGGTTGAGGCCGAAATTGGTATAAGATTTCGGTTTCTCATGAAGAATGGCCCGGAAGCTAAAACGGCCAGGGAGGTAAGCGTTCTTCATTGGTCTTGTATGAATCTTATAAAAATGTTCTAATGTCATGAGCAAAATAGTTTTCCGAGACCGAAATGAGAAGGAAACTCGGCAACCGATCTGATATAGCGGATGCGATCATACCGAAGGACTTTGCCATCGGTTGTAGGCGGCCTACACCAGGCGAGGGTTTTCTGGAGGCACTTGTAGAGCCAAACGTCACCGTGTGGACCAGCCAAATGCGCCGAATCACCGAGGATGGTTTCATAGCTCACGATGGAAGCCACCACCAAGTCGACGCCATTATCTGCGCGACCGGTTTTGATACGTCTTGGATACCGAGGTTCCCTGTCAGGGCACACGGCCAAAATCTTCAAGATGTATGGACAAAAGAGGGAGCGTTATCGTATTTGGCTGTTGGAGTGCCGGAGTTTCCTAATTTCTTCTGGTTCGCTGGCCCGGTAAGTTCTCTACGATCCTTAATAGAAAGCAAATCATGGCCGGGCGCTAACAAGGATCTCTATTTAGTACGGGCCCTTGGCTGTTGGCTCACTGCTTCCTATTATCGAGGTGTTCACGAATTACATCTGCGACGTCATCAACAAAATGCAAATAGAAAAAATCAAATCCCTAACCCCTAAGAAATCAGCTGCTCTCGCATTCAAGGAACACCACGACCTCTACATGCACCGCACTGCCTGGAGCGGGCCTTGCTCGTCGTGGTTCAAAAGAGGAACCAAGGACGGGTATTTGACCATGTACCCTGGCTCAAGGGTACACTTTTTTGAGTTATTGGGACGACCGCGGTATGAAGACTACGAGTTTGAATACTTGAGTGGGAACCAGTGGGAATTTCTAGGGAACGGGTTCTCGTTGAGGGAGTTTGATGGGCGCGACACGACTTTTTGGATGGGGTTGCTAAACGGCGAGGACATTCAGCCTGAGTTCAACGAGGATGTCATCCCGAAGCTAGTATAAAGGTAGATATGTAATGAAGATTTCTATCTTATATGATTTTCTCGCCCTTCTCTGGCCGGTCTTGGACATATGCTAGAACAATGTGAGTTTCTTAATCTTACACCCACGATAATGGGAGAGCTAAAAATGGAAAGAGAAACCGCCCCGATACAAGATGCACGTAGGAGAAGACGACCCGACCGGATACTCCACGATATATGTAAATGCCACGTCTATATATTGTAATCCAAAGTTTCGATCGTCTTATGACTACATACTATGAGCTCCACCATCCAAGAAAATACGAGCTCCATTCACATAATCGCTGGCACTGCTAGCCAAAAACACCGTAATACCCTTAAAGTCATCAGGCTTGCCCCATCTCCTTGATGGGATGCTGCTTAATATCTTTTTATTCGCTTCCTCGTCGTTGATGAACCGTTGCGCCAGAGCCGTATCGATCCAACTAGAAAACACTCGACGAATTAGCACCCATAGAATTTTAAACGCGTGAGGTTAGGACTCACCCGGGGTAGATGGCGTTGACCTGAACATTATAAGGGCCAAACTCATTTGCGAATGCATTAGTTAACTGCCCTACTGCGGCCTTCATGGGCCCATACACCGAGAACGTCGTCATCGCTTTGTGCGCCGCCAATGAGCAGATGTTGATGATCTTGCCACCTCGACCTCGCTCAACCATATGCTTGGCGACAACCTGAGATAACACCCAAACGGAGTTGAAGTTGATTTGGATAATCTGTTGTCCGTGCATTAGTTCTCAATGTTTTTTTGTACTTCCTCCACTGTATAACACGAACCGCATCCTTATGCTCATCTGTCTCGTACAGAATCGGGATGGACCCGCTGCTGATTCCCGCAACATTACAGAGAATATCGATCCCATGTCCGTCATCGGTAACCTTCCGCACCGTCTCCCGAATCATGGCACTATTCCCCATGTCACAATCATATATTGAGACTTTGCAGTTTGTTTCCTGGGCAAGCTTTTCTCCAAACGTGGATTGGTCGCCCGGGATCTGGAATATGATGATATCTGCACCAGCTTCAGCGAGTCCTCTGGCCATGCCGCCGCCGATGCCTCCGTTGGCGCCTGTCACTAGGGCTGTCTTTCCGGACAGATCGAAGAGCGAGGGCGTCCACCTTCTTTCGGCCACGCATTTTCCGGGGGTCTCGGGAGGAAGTTCGAACTTAGGGATGTCTATCCTTGGGGCGTTGGTATTGCCTGTAGATTTCAACGGGCTGGTGCCATTCAAAGACCCGTTTCCGGAACGGCTGGGAAGAACAATTGAGGAGGAACCGTGACTTGAGGAACCAGCGATGCTAGCTTGCCCGTCGGGAACGACATTTGCTGAGTCCGCAGATGGAGCCATGTTATCGACGATTAGGGCTTCTATTGTTTATTCTTCAGACGACGTGAAGTCTATCTCTCATAGACACGTCGAAGTTCTGTTCGCAAAGTGTGAGTCCATGGCGCGAATTTTAGCCCAAAGCGTCTCGCGAAAGCAGCCTAGTGATTTCGAGATCCATACTCGTAAATGCCACGTGCAAGCATGGATCCTGAAAATCACTCTGAATAGCCCGGAATAAACTACCAGATATTCCCAAGCCTATGGTAGATGGAGGCTGGAAAGGTCAGTCATTGCTTTCACCGCCACTACCTCAGAGTGTGGGCCCAAGATCCACGCTAATTTCTCACAGTTCCCCCGCACCCGGCATCTTGGACCATAGCCTATGGATCGTAGCCGAAACACTCCAGAGCCGAAACTCCATAACCTTGCACGGAAACGCTACGCAAATCACAGGGGGAATCAACTGGTTGCTATGATGAGCTCTGTATACCACAGGAACAAAACTGCCATCCTCGTAGGTACGGCTTAGGGTGGGTCCACTGTTGCTTCCACGAGACTATTTCAAGCTCCCTAGAATTCCCAAGCGTTGTAGCCCCAGCGGACACATAAGATCCTTGAGATATTTGCCTAGACTACCGATCTTCGCTCTGTGCATATTCTTCAGATCACGAATAAATCGTCGCCGCAAAATGTCGGAACCTCAGTTCACTCTGTACTCTACGGCTGTTGGGCCGAATGGTAAGATGAAGCTATTATCCCGGTCGGAACCGCCGCGCCTGCGGGACAAGCTGACAGGGTCAACCTAGGGTGGAAGGTTGCGATGGTGCTGTCAGAGCTTGGTCTGACATACAAAACTATTTTCCTGGATTTTTCTCAGAGTGAGTCGTCGACCTGGAGAGCTTCTACTACCATAGCGGTGGAAGACTCGGCTGATTTTCGTCACTAGATGAGCAGAAAGGACCCGAATTTACCAAGTTGAACCCAAATGGAAGAATCCCAGCTATAATAGACCATCAAAACAACGATTTCGTGCTCTGGTATGTGGTACTCTTCTACACTCATGCCTCATGTTCTACCGTGGGAAGGGCGTGATCGCTAACCCTAGGGCCCAATCTTGTGACCCGTAGGGAATCAAACGCAATAATCGAGTATATCGCCTTGAAATACGACAAAGAGCACAAACTCTCGTTCCCAGACTTCGAGAACCAGCAGATTACCCGCCAGTGGCTCTACTTCCAAGCTTCCGGCCAGGGTCCTTATTACGGCCAGGCAGTATGGTTCATCAAGGAGCACGGCGGTGAACCAAAGGCTGTTGTCGAGCGCTACCAGAACGAGACAAGGCGGGTGATCAAGGTCTTAGAATCCGTGCTATCGAAACAGGATTGGCTTGTGGGCGGCAAGATGTCGATTGCGGACATTGCCTTTTTGCAGTGGAACACGAGTGCAGATAGAATCATCCTGGGTCGCGACTTTATCGATAAAGAGGCGCCGCACGTAAGGAAGTGCATGGATGCGATGCTCGGGCGACCAGCGATCGACAAAGTGGTTCAGGAGAGGATCAAGATGCTGTCTGGGTGAGATGTTAATCTCTCCATCACCACGCATTGGGATTCGTAAACTTTTACCTCAATTAGTTAGTAATTTAGTAATGGACAAACGGAGTTGCTCACCGAGGTGACATTGCCCCCGCTTACCCCGCAAACACCCCGTGGGGAGGGCACTGCAGAAGTACGGAGTACATATGCCCACCGCTAGAATTTGCTTGACCTTGGCCAGGCCAGTGATTGATCTTTTAACGCGTGCGTCCAGTTCTAAGCCAAGCCTGGCCATACAATGCGAACCAGCGCTGTTCTGAGTGAGTAGGCACTGTATTTTAGACTGCTCAAAAAACGATCTAAATGATGAATCTCTCTATCGTATTACTCAGTGAAAGCACGGCCTCGAGCCCCTCTTTCTTCCTCGGACCCTGAGGAGGCTGGTTGGCTTGGAAAACACAAATTTCTTCATTGCCTTTTAGTATCCGTTGTCAGATTTCACTTCCTGGGTCCTCTTACTCCCATCCATCCTCCTCTTTACGCGGTACGTATTTCATACAAGTAGTGCACTTGGGGAACGGGATCAAATTTTACCCCCATGACCCACCAAGCCCCCGAACTGCTCGCGACGTCAGCACCTCCCGTGAAGCGGTCGCGGAGCCGCGCTGTCTGCAAGCGTTGCCACGATCGACGGACTCGATGTGATCTATACACCACCGGTGTGCCATGCTCAGGCTGCAAGGCAGCGCGATTAGACGATGATTGTCAATTACTGGTTTCTAAGCGCTCTCGCGGTCACAATGGTCGCTTCTCATCCCGCAGAGTAGTGGAAAATGAGAGCCAAATTACTGCGACATGCAGCCCGGGGGAAGCGTTTCACGATCAACCATTCTCGACCACTCCCGATCCAAATTTGCAGAATCGATCCCAAGCTCAACGCACCACGACAGTGGTTGACGAGCCTGAACCGTCTGACTCGGGATCGACCCTGGCACCATCTGAGGCGGACTCTGTCTGGTCCAAGGTTGTATCCCATTACCATCCTGACGTACCCGACGGCCGTCGTGTCATGTACGTAGGGGAGCAGTGGACTCTAGCCTACGTTATGCGATGGAAAGACCCCCCGTCCGGGGCCTCGGAGGATACGGTATCTGGTACATCAGCTGCGTCACCAACTGGAATTCACGTCTCAATGCCAATAGAGGACAGTGCCCCGTCACCGGCACAGAAAAGAGTTTCGCCGCTAGTAACAGAGCTCACAGGACAGGCTGAACTTCCTGCTCGAATCCAACAGGGGCTTATCGATTCTTATTTTACCCGGAATCATCGTCTCTACCCCATTGTGAACGAGAGAGATCTCCGATCCTCATATCAAAGTGGAACAATTTCGCCTGTTCTCTTACATTCAATACTCTATGCTGCAGCCCTCCACGCTCCGGATGCCATCATATACCGAGCAGGATTCGACAGCAGACAGGCGTGTCTGTTAAGCCTCTACCGACGGGCCAAAACCGCGTATATGCTTCACGACGATGATGGCACTGCGGACCAGCTCTCTTCCGTCCAGGCGGCATTTCTATTGCATAACATGTGGCAGGCCCCAACCGCCACGATGGATCCTTGGACTTGGCTTGGACTTGCCATACGAACAGCGCAGAATATCGGCATGCATCGGAGCACAAAACAGTCGGCGCTAAAAGATGCGGATAAAAGGCTCTGGAAACGTATCTGGTGGTGTCTCTACGTAAGTAGTTTGCGCCTAGATGGAACGGCTCCCACTCTCATTACGCGCAAAATTTCTAACTCCCTCAGGCACGGGATAGGCAAATGGCCAGTGGACTCGGAAAACCAATACTGATTCGCGACCAAGATTGCGATGTCGAGCCATTAGATGAAGACGACTTCGAAGAAGAGGACTCGTCAGAAATGAGATTATTCGTCATCCATCAAGCTAAACTAGGAGTGTTTTGTATGTTCCAAGCCCCAACCCTTTTTAACCGGAAGTCGGCAATATTGACTCTAAGGGTTCCTTCTCGGTGGTAGACGGATCAGTGATATCATCCTTATTCACGGCCGTGCCTCGCGATTCCGTGGCAAAGAGTGTGGATCGTGCTACCATCATCCGGCAGTTGCAGCAGTGGAGACAAGAGCTCCCAGCGGCTATCCAATGGGAGAACCGGCCCAGGTGCTCTCCGGAAGTGTTCCCATTCTTAGCCCTCCTTCTGGAGGTTCTCTACAAGTAAGTCGTATAGTAACTTCTATTTCGCTAGTTTTCTTAGATAAGTCGCTAAGCACGTGGCAAAGCTTCCTGTTGCTCCTCATCCATCGATCCTATCAAGGAATGAATTCGGGCACTCTCGAAAACCCCACTTCATCGTGGAACACCACTTTTACAGCGGCGGATGCGATTACCAGGGTTACAAAGGATATAATGAACTACGGGTCGCTTCAAGAGTGTCCCCTCTTCTAGTATGTAGGAGCATGCGAGCCAAATGAATCCCATGTGGTAAGGTAAGATATGATAACGTGTTACTAATATCCATCCTAGCTCCTCCGCCCTATTTGGTGCTATGACCGTCCACGCCTTCCGCGGGGCCGATTCTGAGCAACAACTTAGCCTGTGCATGATTGCTATGCGGTCTCTTTCGTCCATGTACTTTGCCGCAGGGTGGATTCGCAACATGTTTCGAACGCTTGCCGAGAAGCGGGCCTCTAGAATGACTCTAAGCTCAGTTCAAAATAGACCCGGCGAAGCTGAGCCGGTCCAAGCATCTACAAAACTCTCTAATCCAACTGTCGGCTCATCATTTGAGAGAACAGTAACTACAGACAGCTGCGATAGTGGGATACCTGAGGGCATTCAAGATGGACCTGACCTACTGGAGCGCCTGGAGATGTGGCCCGACCCCACGACCATGGATGCCGTGGGATATTTAAGCATGAGTATCGGCGACTTCATCAACCCTTCTACCATGGACGATACGTCGATGCTGAACCTTGACCCAGGGCTTATGAGGTGGAAGGGTATGTGAGCCATAGCCGAAATCCAAGGGATTAGCAGTTTGGGAAGGTTTTGGACTAATGGAGGTTAGTTTAGGCAAGGATTAGCGCTGTACAGATATCGCTCACTTGGTCTCAGTTCGAGATTCAAGAAACATAGCAATTTTACCCCGAAATTCTGCCCTAGGCCATTTTATGACCCGTGATATACCTGTCACCTATGTTTCGCTGCCAGCTTCCCACTCAGAACTACACCGGGTTCTGCCTGTGGTGCGCTGCTACTATTGTCTTTACACTATTCTCACGCTTCACATTGAGCATTAATGGGGCTAGCGTTCGAGACTAAACCTGTTTTAATCACAATCAAGTACATCCTTACAGAGCTCATTTTTTCAACGTCGTCGTGTTTAGGACCTTATATCACGTGCTACATAATGGGAATTAGTCCGGCAAGGTTGCACAGTTGAGAATCAGATCCTGCTTTCATCTCAAACTGCTTTATACCCTGAAATGATCCATGGAGGTTCACGCCGCTGGATTTCAAGTCCGGCAATCGGAAAAGACCAAGGCGTAAGGATCGCCCTTGCGATGCCTTCCGGAAGAGAAAGTGTCACTGCGTGACGAAGGACGGCGATGACGCATGCGTGCATTGCCAGCTTCGAGGGACTCCGTGCACTTTTCAACGAGAACCGCCGGAGCGCGCTTCTCTACCTCTTGCGAACGGAATGGCCCCCCAGGGCTTCTAACATGCTTGTTGGAAATAATGCCAGGGATGCAACTAAGTCTACACTAGGGTACCCTATTTCCGCCCAGCGCGCTTCAACAGCTAACTGGATGAAGGCTCTGTCATCAGAGGTCCATATGGGAGAGCCGGATTCCAACTCGTATTCCCTATAATTGTTCTTGGAGCAATCTGGTTTGCCCCGAGGTCTCCTCGGTGGTTACTCCAAAAGGGCCGTACCGCTGAGGCCGAGAAAGCGACGAGCATTTAGTCTCTCACAGTCGCTGCTGGATGCCGTGCCACGTTCGTCTAGGACTCTAGGGGTCCTTCGAGACTAGACTCATGAGTTCCTGGAACTAGAGGATGCCTGCAGCTTCCCGGTAACGGAAGCAGGTTAGATCAATTTACAACTGCAGCCGCATCGGTAGGCCTCTATAGATCTGGGTGGAATCTCATCAGAACTATATCGGACTCGCCGGTTCCTTTCTTAGTTGAGAAGACCTTGATGTCGCGATTTCTTCGGTTCTTGAGACAAACATGACAAAGCTGCCATGCTAGAGGGTGACAAAGTGCGCTTTGAGATATCCAGGATCATGATGGGACGACCTCACGAGAGAGCCCATTATCTTCGTACCCTTAGAGCCTCGGGCCCATGGGATTTACTTCCAATTCTGAGCTAGTCTGACTGCGCCCGGATGAATCAGCTAACGAAAACAGGGACGCAGTATGCAATAGCAACGGCTATCCAGACGAAGTGATGCATCCTACTGACCTTGAGATCCTGGGTAAGGGAAATGCTGGTCCAGTCGGGGCGAGGCGAGGCCGCCGCGTGAGGTCATTGACTTAAGTGCCCCCGCAACAGCAATGGTGGCTGTAGTGTTGCGGGGTCGAAGCCCTTCAGGTAATTCCACCACCCTGTGATGCCTCCAGCGGCCTGCGCATTTAATTGGCTCTCAGAGGTGGAGACCTGCATGCCTCATAGGTTGGGCAATCATGGATGCTGCCTGATGTACCACCTTTAGACCTTTCCTTCCTCAACGAACTTGCTTCTCATACAAGCTCTTCGCAAAATCTCCGGTCATATGGGGATGGCTGACCCTTTTGGAATTATTGGCGTGATCGGCGTCGCTGGCCAAATCGTCCAGGCTACAGTCAAGTTCGGACTCGACTGGAAGGAGGCACCGGCCTACGCCAGGAGCTTCATGGCCGAGATCCAGGCTCTGAAGACCGTTCTATCTGAGACGAATACGAACATCCTTCTCAACGTTGACTTCAAGGACCTTTTTCACGGTCGGCATTCGACGCTCCTTTCGCAGCTTGGAGAGACGGCACGAGACACTGACACCCATGCGATGGTATCAGCGTGTAAGAAAGAGCTAGGAAGTCTCCTTGAGGACTTAAAGAGGCGAGCCAATGGTCATCCAATTGGCTGGGAGAGGCTGAAAGGGGCGTTCCTGGCGAAGACGACTAGGGAAGCTGTCGAAAGCCTTCATCGACAATGTCGAACCTTGAACAGCTTGGTGGCTCTGGACGCCCTTTCCCTAAGCGTAAGCATTCACAAGGAAGTCAGGGAGGTGAGAAAAGAGCAACAGAGTTGGTGTGCAGACGGGGAGTCCAAGGCCATCGTTGATTGGCTCTCGGCCGTTGATTATGGTCCCGAGCAAAGCAGCTTCATCGAACGGAGGCAAGAAGGTACTGGGCAATGGTTTCTGAACTCGCCTCAATACCGAGAATGGATTAAGGCCGCGAAACAGACACTATTCTGCCCAGGTATCCCTGGAGCTGGGAAGACGATTCTCACGTCGATCGTGGTTGATGACCTTCACACGCGATTTCAGAGTAATGAACAGGTTGGCATAGCTTATCTTTATTGTGACTTCCGGCGTAAAAATGAGCAGAAGGCTGGAGACCTCCTTGCCAGTTTACTAAAGCAGCTGACCCAAGGCCGGTCATCATTGCCGGAGTGCATGAAGTCTCTCCATGACAGCCACAGGGACAAGCGGACGCGGCCATTATTCGATGAAATCTCGAGTAATTTACACACGGTCGCTGCTTTATATTCGAAGACGTTCATTATCATTGACGCTCTTGACGAATGCGAAAGGAATGATGGCCGCCGGGCGAGATTCTTGACGGAGGTTTTCAACTTACAAGGCACGTGCGGAGCGAATATTTTCGCAACTTCCAGGCATATACCGGAAATTACCGACAGATTTAGTACCAGCACGATGCTAGAGATCCGGGCTAGTGACGAGGATTTTCGCAAGTATTTAGATGGTCGAATATCTCAATCCGGACTGGCATCGTTGAACGCGTGCCGCGAAGAGATCAAGAACGAGATAACAAAGGCTGCTGATGGAAGGTAAGCATTCTCTTGCTCCCCTACTAGGCCGGGAGCTTACCTTTTATAGGTTTCAACTTGCACACCTTCATTTCGAATCCGTTAGCAATAAGAGAACGTGCCGGAAGATCAAAGACGCATTGAAGACTCTCCCAACGGGGCCGAAGGCGTACGATAATGCCTACGACGAAGCGATGAAGCGGATCGCCGATTCTGATGCCGACTCGGAGGATCTGGCAAAACAGGTTCTATCATGGATCACGTGTGCAAGAAGACGGCTCACTTCTTTGGAAATCCAACACGCACTCGCTGTGGTGGCTGGTGACCCCGAACTCGACAAAGAGAATCTCCCGTCAGTCGATGACATAGTCTTAGTGTGTATTGGGTTGGTCACGATCGATGAAGAAAGTGGTATCATCCGGCTGGTCCATTACACGGCTCAAGAGTACTTCGAGAGGATGCGCAAAGTTTGGTTCCCGAATGCGGAGGCAGACATCGCCAAAGTCTGTGTTGCCTACCTCTCGTTCAGAACGTTTGACGACGGATTTTGTCCCACAGATGAAGGCATACGAGACCGGGGGCTGTTGAATCCATTGTTCGAATACGCCGCTCGCAATTGGGTCTCCCACGTCCGTTCTGCCTTGCCCGACGCTGATCCGTTCATTTCCTCCTTCTTGTCCTCAGGGTCAAAAGTACCCAGTAGTTGCCTGCTCTTGGAGCTGAGGGACGAGCAAGAACTCAACGCAGAGTGGCTGCTGGAACGACATGTCGAAGTGAATGTGCGCGACACCGAGTGGAAAACGCCATTGCATCACGCTGTCCTCGGAAGTTGGACAAGATGTGTTCAACTCATCCTCGAGCGTGGAGCAGAGATGACTGTGGACATTGACAACATGACTCCCTTTCACTACACTGCCTGGACAGCCAACGAAGAAATAGCGCAAATATTTCTCGACGCTGGAGTGTCGGTAAATAGCATAGTGAAACGGAGGGTTTGGCTGGCGTCCTACCGGGAGGGGAAGCTCTCTTACGAGCCAATCAACGACCCGCATTGCCCCCAAGAGAAGATCAACACTCCGCAAGGGCTCACTGCTTTGCACTATGCGGCCCTAACGGGGAATTCTCAGATGGCGAGATTTTTCCTCGAACACGGCGCGAACCCGAATGCGGTCTCCGAATACGGCGAAACACCTCTACATCTGGCGCTCAAGCAAGATATCCACGGTCAGAAGTGGGTCCCTGGCAATGGAGATCGATGGAACGATCCGGATTTCAGAATCGAACTCATGCTTGACTACATAGCCTATGACTCCGATGGCGAGGAAGAATACCGCATAGCAATGGATACAATCCATAAACACAGGCTAGACGTCGTCAATACCCTCCTCGACCACCCAGAAATCGACATGACCGCCAGGGATGCATATGGCGCGTCTCTTCTGCACTGCATTCGCTATGGGGAGTCGGGATCCCAAACAATCCTCCAGATGTTGCTCGAAAAGAACATCAGCGTCTCCGTACGCAATTTGAAAGGCCAGACACCACTGCATCTCGCCTGCCTAGCGGGAGATGCGAACTGTCTTCCTATCCTCATTGGGAACGGCGCAAATGCAATGTTCGCGGATGAAGACGGACTCAATGCCCTACACTACGCAGCGCGGAGTGGAGACGAGAAAACCATCCGACTTCTACTTGACATTGCCACGGATGGAGATTCCAAGGCACTTGCGACGGCGAGAGACAGGCGTGGTCGAAATACGCTACATCATCTGCTTAGTGGGAGCGAAGGCGGCCATCTCGAGGCCGTCCAGTGTCTCTTGACGAATGGTGTCGGCGTCAACGACCTTGACGACGATGGCAACTCGTCGTTGGCGGTATACATTGCCAAGTGGCCTTTTCCACGCAAGGTGCGAGAGGTGCAGCTTCTCTTTCAAAGTGGTGCAGACCCTTCGTTCACCACTGCTGAGGGGGGTTTGGGACTTGGCCATCTATATGCCAAATCCTACGAACTCGAGGTGGAACTTCTCTCTGTTTTGATGAGCTCCGGTGTGGATCTCCGAATGCAGGATGTCGAAGGCCGCACAATATTGCATCATTCGGCTATAGAAGGCTCTCTTACCGAAGATGCGCTAGACTTCCTCTGCAATAGAATCGGGCTATCGAGGGACTCCCCTGACGCTCTTGGGTTGACTCCATTGGATTACGCCACCAAAATGAGGAAGATTGACCGTCATCTAGATACCTTTGACCGACACCGGTGGTTGAGAACGGAGGAAATTCTGCGCAGCCAATAAGTGGCATTTAGCTCGCCCAGAGCGACGAGCTCTGGGGACTACGACGAAACGCCAGGTTCCAGGAAAGAAACCCAGTAAGGCCCCAGTCATGGCTCTGCCTTCGAAGTGCCCGAAAATGGTCCCGGATTGTGAAAAAACGACACATGATTGCGATCTTGAGTGTGGATGATGGTGACATTTGAAACAACAGAAATGTCGCTTACCATGGTAAGCCCTAGGCTAGCGAGGTGTGTGGGTGCTAATGGGATGATTGGCATGTGTGCCGTGCGTTGGGGGTGCCTGTACTCCGTGCTAAGGGCGGCAACGTTGCCGATGGTGGACCCCACAGGCTCGAAATCATTACTTGGCATGCTTTGCCCCTGAGATGGATCATTCCGCAGCGACCGGGGCTGATCTTATCCTCTGGCAAGATTAAGTCACACCAGTCTTGCCATGGCGCATTACGTTCAAGCCGCTAATTCCAGATGAGAAAGTGAGGTTGGGATTCTGAGACGGTATTCGAAGCCAAACCAACGACCAGCCTTTGAGGGGGGGCGACCATCGCCTAGCTCTCCCTGATTAGACTGCATGGTGCCAAATTTAAGGGAATTAACGAGTTTGGAACTCATCAGCGTTATACCGGTATCAGTAACCTACACTTGGGCATGGTTATCATGAGGTGGCAGGGAGATCGCGGTACTAAATGCGAGACACGTAGATTAGGCGGTCAGATTGAAGCGTGAGACGCAAGTACAATATCTAGAGATTGGGTTTTTTACGTGTCTATTTCAAGCGGAGGGAGGCAGTGTTAAGGACCTTATAACATTAAAACCAACGCCACCTAGAACATTGAGGATAAAGAAATCAGCGCCTCAGTCTTCCACCGCCCAGGGATTCCGAAATACTTCCTCTATCTCTCTTTCCCCCAGTCCAAACTTATCGGCTTGGCCACCCGTTGAAGCCGCTTCGAAAACGGCCCGATCTACCGAAGACCGCTCCATTCCACTCCAAGCCGTTTCAGGGTCAGGAGGTGATGTTGGTAGAACCCTACGTGCGACGGAGTTGTCGCAATCCGTGTCTAAAGTCCCCGTGGATATGAGGGTCGGTTGTCCTCCGCATCGCGGACACTGTGCGTTAAGACTTGTTTCCACAGCGGGTTCTCTGGAGCCTATACCCGGCAGCAAGCTTTCTATACTCAGCGGCAAGGTTTCAGATTTTGAGGGTGGATCTCCGCTCAAACCTCCATCATCTGACCCCGATTCTGATGAAAGGTCGGAATCTTTCCAGTCTTCATCATCGTAGTACGGGCATAGATGCTCGATACCTGTCCATAGGTGCTCGAAGACCTCGCGCGAGTATTGTTCTGTATACCAAGCCTGTCGACGATGACCCCTCCTGAAACTTTCCACATCATAGCCACATATGGCCAGAGCAACGTCCCAGGCGTCCCCGGAATAGCTGCTCCCAGGGAAGTGACTATAAGCTACTTCTGAAACCGTTACGCCGAAATAATCTTGGGCGTGAACATCAGCGCCAGACTTCACCAGATAAACGAGCGACTCCAGGCATCGTAGGCCCGGATTCGGCCAGCGCGCCTTCTTCGCAAGAGTGTGTAAGCAAGTTCGTCCCTCGTTGTCCCGGGCGTTGACGTCTGCCCCGCGTTCAACGAGGAGGCGAATGTTGCCTACTTGTGCATTGCGGCAGCAAATCTGGAGGAGCGTTTCCCCCAATTCATTGTCATCGCCATAATTGATATCAAAGAAGATTCCAGCCAAGTCCAGTGCAGCCTTGGCGTAGTGCTATGCTGAATTTAGCTGTCGAACTATTTATAGTAGTGTTTTAAATCTGGCACTTACCAAATCGGTCATCAAAAACACGTCATCGAGCGGCGCGCCATCGAGCGATGAGTCGGTATCTCTCGTCCGCCTCTCACGCGCCGGGACAGTTGGGTCGGCACCTGCAGCGAGCAATTGCTTGAAGCAATCAAACTCATTGATGTCGTTAACCTCAGAAACACAAAGGTCGAGCGGAGAGCTGTTTTGAAGTCTATTGTTAGGGATATGTTCCCTCGCTTCCTAATCGCGTCAGCGGAACCTACCGAAGCCACCCTTCGAAGATGTAGTCTACATCAGCACAGTCGGCAACCTCATCTACATCCGCACCATTAGCGATGAGAAACCGGCAAATCTCGGGTTGGTCGTAAGCATACTTCAGAGGTATGTTAGAACGGGGAATCATGGCTCATAGCTCTAAACAAAGTCTATATGGATATAACACCAACATGAAGTAGCGAGGCACCCTTCTCATCTCGATCCCGTAGCAAGGCGTCTCCATTCTTGAATAGCCTTAGAAACTCCTCTATATTTCCGGATCTGATGCACAAGAAGACTGGAGAGCCTTTCGGGAGAGTACGACTAATAGACAGGCTTGGTGAGAGTGCTGAGAAGCCTTGTAATGTCTGCATTTGATGTATTGAGACCTTGATAATGTGCGGAATGCTGCTGTCTTTCGGTTTAAATGTAATAGTAACTGTGTAGTCTTCGAGCTCCTTGTTACTGGGTTGATGCGGTCGACGTCGAGTATTGCTGGAGACCGTAAGCGCACCATGTGGACTAAGGTACTCATCATACTTTCTTCTTTGGCCTATGAAACTTCCAGTGTGCGGTGTTGGGCGACGTGGAGCTATGGGGTGTCAGTGAACCCTGAGGAAGCGGATGTAGAATACTTACCGTCTTGGTTAATGCAAAGTGCCGGAGCGGCTAAGAATAGGCCTCGAATCCGCTTCAAATCCGTGGCCCCTTGGCCTTTAGTGCGCTCAGCGCTCGCTTCCATCTCGCGACTTCTGCGTCGATTCTCGGCGACCATATCCTGCAGCAATATATCAAGGTCATGGACGATTTCATCTGCGTCGTCGGACTCGACCACGCCAGGGATGCGGTCGACGAGACAGCAGAGTCTTTTGATTGCGTCTCTAAGTGGTGAAACATGATCCTGATGCCTATTGTCTTTATCCAGCAGCTCCTGGATGTTTATATCGTCTGTGCTGCACCCGAAACCTAGACGCATCTTTACTATTTCCTTCTCAAGGCTTACGAGTCTTTCCGAAATATCGGCCGCTTGCGAATGTAAGAGGGAGGGTATATTGACAGCCTTTTGAAACAGAGCTTCAACAGTGTCATGAAGACGGTTGTTCTGAGTCATGCAACTCGATACTCGATCATCGATGCTAGCCAACATTGCACCTTGTTGTTCGATTAATATGGTCTGCTTGTTCTCCTGGACAAGAATCTGCTGAATATTGTGGTTGTGGTGATGCATGAGTCGCCTATAATATGTGAGCAACTGTGTATCCCGAGGGATAATGGGAGACAGAGGCCTCACGCTTGAACAAGATCAATCTCCAGCGTCAAGTTGTCAACGTGCCCCGCCATGACCGTCAGCATATATGCGAGGTCCTTCTCGCTCAAGGCAAGTTTCAGCCTTTTCCACAGCACTTGTTCCCCTGAGGAAACATCTAGCTTTCTCAGCCTCCCTTCGAACCTGTTGATATCATCTTGGCATTGCTTTATTAGCCTCGCCAGGGATGGCGTCGTCGCCAGAATCTCTACAAGCTCGGGGAATTCGCCGATTTGTTCGAATGCGCATTGAAGACGGCCTACGACATTACGGATGTCGTTGACTTTTGGGGGGCCATCTTTCATGCCAGAAAACAACTGGTAGAGGGTCTTGATGGATTTTAGGACGGCACTCGCGCCAGCGTCCATGGTGAAAGCTGTAATACTAGTTCAATGCGGTTGGGAAAAACACACTTCATATACAGGAAATCCTCAACCCCTCACGTAGCTCAGGCCTACAGTCACGTGTATAAATACGCGAGATAGCCTTCTGAAGTGCCTAATGTGTTGCGCGGCGCATCGCTGGGTTTCGGTGGGAAGACGATCCATTGTCTGTGGCGGTGGCGGTGCAGCCTGTTGTGTTACCTCGATGTATAGGAAACCAATAGAATGTGTATTTCCTTCTGCATGCTGAAGAGTCGAACTATGAACACGTAGGAAGACACAGAAAGCGACACGAAAGCCCTCCCCAGCAGGATCCACCTGATAATCTTCCGTACCTAGGATCAACGGTTCAGCCGATTAGATCTCTAGGAATATCTTCTCGAGCGCAACTTCTATGATGTCACTGATTACCCTTGGATATCGCCGCTTGTTACTCTTACCTGTTTTCAAGTTCTGGTTTTGATGCTTGTTCAGCTTACGCTTGATAGGTCAAATGCGATTCTCGTATTAGGCAGCTTTTATCTTATTATATTTCTCTTCTCGCCGTTGGGTTGCTGGGTTTTTATCCTCATCTGTATGTGTTTGGAGGAATATGGCCCTTTCAAGGTTCACCGTTTGATATACTGGACTTTTGCACTCTTGCTCTTCGGTGTTATTCGCTATATCCCGTGTGGGGCGTCATTATTTACAATTCGGATCCACCTCCTCTTGTTGACTCGACCTTGAGAGTCGACGTTGTTACATTTCACTTTCTTTAGGGGTACTATTCCTCCTAGATCCAGGTATTCTTCATATTTTATTTAAATTTCAGCTAAACTACGTTAATGTTCAGATAAGATGCTAGCATATTGACCTCTTCACATACTGTTCGCAAATAAAATTTTCGTGGGGACGCACAATGAATGTCCCCATGGGGACCCGAAAAGATTGATGAGTGTCATAGGGGATGGACTAACACGTTGGATAGGCCGAGGCCTGCGTGATAAAAGACCAACTTTGAATAGTAGATAGCGTCCTCGAATAATAGTTAGGGGCGAGTAGCGCATGTTCGACGGAAGGGTGGGAGAGCACTCGTACAACTTCTAATCAAACCCTCTGGGCGATACTGATCCGTGACGCCTGTTCGGAGACGTGTCAAATGGACGCTCCTGATCCCCCTGCGACAGTTGACAATCTCAATTTTGTGTCGAGGTCTCCACCATTCGGGTTCGGGTTGATCGGCGTCACTGTCGACCATGGCGGTATAATATCCCTAGGCGGCAAACAGTGCACGATGTTCGAGAAGGTAGAGTAGTTCTTAACAATGACGCATAGGGGTTGTATTATTTGTTCCTTTAGTCGGTTGGCTTGTTTCAAGAGGACCGCCTTGGCTGGGGGGGTGGGGGGGAGGGTCGAGACGACTTTTTGATCAAAGATGAGTGGAAGAACGGCAAGACCATGGAAGCCGCGTGTGGTAAATTCGTAATTCACGTCGATGTTGCATTAAAGATCATGAAGGTTTAGGAAAGGACGAAGCAGGCAGGCATGTCGAAGTTTCACATGGAAGTCTATACGTAATGTGTACGTGGATACTCCCGCGGCTCGAGGCAGGAGATTCCCAAGGTCTATTGTAAAATGTATCATGTGCTAATAGTAGCGATACCGTTGTCTTTGGTGCTTGGCATGTCAGTTCAATGCCAAGGAGCTGTGTCAAAGGGAAAGGTCCGCGCTACCAACTTTGAGAAAGGCCAATTCGCCAGCCAACTTCACATGTGGTAACGTGATTGATCGGGTTTGATCCCCCCCCCCTTCTCCTGAGGTAGTTCCTGCCAAACAACCAGTTATCCCTGCATGACCCTCTCGTATCTCCTTGGCTCCAGAACATCGTTCATCAAGTCCACCAGCTCTTCTTTGTCTGTTTCTCGCTAGTGGTTAACGAGATCCGTAGTATCCTTGTAGAGACGGTCAGCGGTAGTCGATTGGTAGCCGACGAAATCGACCTTTTCGCTGTGCTTTACGAGCCATTCAAGGATAAATCTGATGTCCGAGATATCGTTGTGAAGCTTACTGATCGACTGCGGGCGTGTGCTGCCGATATAGTAGACACACCGTTTCATCTTGGCCAAGATGAGCACAGCGGGATGGAGCACGGGAATATTGACTAATAAAGCAAGATTAGATCCTAACACCAGGTAAAGACCCAGGGGCCGGGGGGGGGGGGGGGGGGGGGGGGGGGGATGCTTGCCGTGTTCAAGTTGTAAGACTCGAAGATGACGGGGAAGACCAAGCTCCCCGGCTGGAAGAGTTTCGAGCGCGAATTTGGCATCGGAGTCTGCAGACGTGAAGAGCAACTTGCGATTCTCGACCGAAACCGACCGTCATTCTGCACCAACAGCTGCGTCACATCGTGTCTCGTATCAGCAGCCATGTCGATTAAAATGTCGACATCCACAGTTCTGCGGTTACGGCCGAGCAGACGGACAGCAAAACCGCCACTTATGCCATGTTTGATGCCATTGTTCGTGAGAACCTTTGATAGAGCTTGAGTGGCCACGAGTTGTTGTGTTTCGGTGGCCCTGGCCATCTCGCGATATTGGTAATAAAAGTTGGGCTGCTGAGAAGAGAACAGGGCTCTTGTTTGGACACTGCTCTACCTACTTCCATTACAATTCCCTCAGTTTCCCTAATTCCCAGTTCACATTCGCTAAAAATTCCTGTACTGGGCGTTGTGCAACCATCCCAGGACGGATCATGGAATCTATCCATCAACTGGATTTCCCCGTCGTAAGCAGGAGTGGCGCCCATGTTCTCTGAGGCCCGTTTCCTCTTCCTGCAAGCATACTCCTCTGTTCGATCCAACACATAGCTTGGGGAAGATGAGCTATCTATCATTACTAATAAATACATTTCGGTAGCCATCGAAGAGTTTATGGAGCTGGCTGAGAAATAGAAGACTGTCCCACTTTTTGCCGATAACCACGGTTATTCTTTTCACTCGGGGCGGCTATGTCCGATTTGATCTCCGATTTGGAGACGCTTAATGATATAATTATGCAGGTGGTCATTGAAAAAAAAGCGAGGGTATGGCCCCAGCTCAAGCGGTTCGTACTCAGCAGAAGGAGAAGCAGGCCGAGACCAGAAACGCAAAGGCGTTGATGGAGACGATGAAAGGCTGGCCAAAAGGACCCGAGAGAACATCCAGAATGCGGAGGATTCAAAACCAGGCCCCAGTGCCAGCTCAACATGGGGGATTCCCATTCTTCGACTACCTGTGAGTCACAAAGATAGTGGAGATGCCGATGACAAGAATGGGAACCGAATCCCCCATGCGTTGATGGACCTAGCTTTGCACACGGGGCTCTTGCCAACGAAATAAAGGTGATGATACCCCTAGGATTACTAGTCCTGGGGAATTCAGGGAGTGTGTTGTCAATCCTGGTAATGGTTTCCCTCATAACATGGTAATGTGTGAAGGGGAAAAGGATTAATATTCACAGCCTAAGCTTTCTCCTCTTCTGCTCTACAGGTCTTTATACAGTGAGGTTCAGGTTCAGCGTCCGCTTTCTCAATGCGAAAGCCCCCAATTTGGGTTCCAGTGGAGTCCCCGCACAGTGCCTGGCTGGTGCTGGAGAAGTACTAGTTAGCGCCTAAGAAAACCTCTGTACCGCCGATGAGGTTGATAGTGTAATGCTACAGCTCAGCATGGTGACGAGCGTTCTTCAATAATGTCTTATACTGGATATTAGCATTCGGCTTGGGCTTCTGCCCAGGCAGCAACACGATCAATGCTGAGGCTGAAAACTACGGATGGTACCCCGCAGACCTTAACCACCGGTTTGTCTTTGGGATCCACAAAGCTTAGTTTTCGGCAGCATCCACGCTAAATGCGGCCCGAGCCGTTGTTATACGATCCGAAGTTTCAATGGATACGCAGGGGGCTCCGGGGCCTCTGCTAAGGGTTCTCTCGCTTGGTATATAGTATCATATACATCCTTGTTCCATTCTCTATACGAACTAACTACTCTAGATGGCGGGGGCATCCGGGGCAAGTCCAGTCTCATGATCTTGGAAAAGATTATGGAACACATCCGTGATTCTAAAGGCCTCGCTGAAGTTCCGAGACCATGCGACTATTTCGATTTGATCGGAGGCACAAGCACCGGGGGGTATAGAACCTCCTTCTCTAACCCGCATTCACTACTGACAATCTTTTAAGGATCATCGCGATCATGCTTGGCAGATTGAGAATGACTATCGACGAGTGTATCCGAGCATACGAAAACGTTGGTCGAGCCGCCTTTACCCCGAAACGAACGTCATGGCTGCCTGCCGCGCCTGAAGGTGCCTTCTCAGCCACCGCCCTTGAGGCTGCGATAAAACAAGTTGTGAGGGAAAATTGCACGGACCCAGGATGCGTCGCGAAACGAAGCAACGCCCAGCCAACTGGGAAGAGCTGTCTCCACGAGAATCTGAGATTCCGCGACGGGACTTGCACCAAGACGTCTGTTCCCAGATACAGCCGATACCATCAGAACAAGGGAGACTGACCTATTGCAGCGTCGTTCTAGCGACTACGAAAGCGAACGTCGATACGCGCCCTACACTCTTCACAACCTACGGTTCATCCACAAGCTACCAAGACTGTAGCATCTGGCAAGTCGCCCGTGCGACCTCGGCTGCGACAACCTTCTTCAAGTCAATCGAGCTTGGCCGGGATAAGATCGAGTTCATCGACGCAGGCTTCGGATACAATAACCCATGCGAAATCCTTATCGAAGAGGCCCAAAAGCAGTATCACGGTCGTAGTGAATTCCTGGTCTTGAGCATCGGCACTGGCCTAGGGAATGTTGTGGATATTAAGGACTCGCGCCGGTCCATCCTCAGAGCGCTGAGGAAGATGGCTTCGACCTCGAAAGCGGTCGCAGCAAGACTGAAAGACCGGTATGGCGATAGTGACCAGTACCACAGATTTAATGTGGATCGTGGACTGGAAGATACCACGATATCGGACTGGGAGAAGACAAGCAAGATATCTGCGCACACGCATAACTACTTGCAGGAGAATGAGAATCAAGTCGAGGAATTCGTCAAAAAACTTCTTCGTGGCGCGGAAGGGCAAAGACAAGTTATCGCTGACCTTGTTGGCACGCACAACGGTTAGTACAGACAGAATTGTTATATCCTTAGAATATAGGCTCATACTTCTGCAGAACGTGTCTATTTGATTCCTTTTCTGCCGAACGCCAAGTTCACTGGACGGAAACAGACACTGCATGATCTGGAACAGAGGCTTTTCGTCCGTCAGGATTGCCAAAAGCTCGCTATATTTGGACTCGGCGGCATGGGCAAAACTCAAGTGGCCCTACAGTTTGCGTACTGGGTTAAGCAACACCAGCCACAGTATTCAGTCTTTTGGGTCCCAGCGTTGAGTGAGGAGAGTTTCACGCAGGCGTATAAAGAGATTGCAAAACAAGTCGGCATTCCCATCGATATCGATAAAGAAGACCCAAGACTATCCCTGCAGAGGCATCTCAGCTCTAAGGATGCGGGTAGGTGGCTGTTGATCATGGATAACGCAGACGATCAAGATGTGCTGTTTGGGGAGACCGGTATACGCAAATATCTACCGCAAAGCGAGATGGGCCTAACAATCTTCACGACACGATTCAAAGAGATCGGCCTATCATTAGCGGAGACTGATCTAATCGAGTTACAAGAGATGGGGCCACGGGAGGCAGAGGAATTCCTAGAAGCATCACTTCTTCCGGAAGTGCTTCGAGACGAAGCCACAACAACGGAGCTCCTCATCGAATTAAGTTACCTACCGTTAGCAATTGCGCAAGCTGCCGCTTACCTAAACAGAAACCAGTCGTCGTCTGTAAGGAGGTATCTTGAGCTGCTACGCGGGACGGAAAATGACATAGTCAGTCTGCTTAGTAGGGAGTTCCAAGCCAATACTCGTTACCCGGGGTCGTCGAATGCAGTGGCAACTACCTGGCTCGTGTCTTTTGAGCAGATCAAGAACTCTAAGGACCATGCTGCCGCAGCTGACTTGCTTTCCTTCATCTCCTTCATCGAGCCGAAAGCCATCCCTCGGTCAATCTTTCCACAACTTGGGTCGGAGGAAGAAATGGAGTTCGCGATCGGTACGCTTACAGGATACGGCTTCCTAACTAGCCGAGGTATTGGCGGAATGTATGATATGCACAGTCTTGTGCATACGGCGACAAGAATCTGGATTCAACAAGAGGCCTCAATGGAAAAGGCTCTAACCAAGTCCATTCAACACGTTAAAGCAATCTTCCCCTCTACGAGTCGCGCCAACCGCCAAGCATGGCAAGCCTACTTCCCTCATGCATTCCGGCTATTAAGCCAGAGCAAAGAATCTATATTAGCGGAAAGGTTTGATCTTCTAGACCATGTTGGGCGGTGTCTATTCTCAGACCGGCGGTTTAAGGATGCTGTGGAATGTTTCGAAGAGGTTGTAATGTGGAAAAGAGCTTATCTTCTTGACGAAGATCATGCTCGGCTGGCATCTGAGCACAACCTTGCAAGCGCATACCTTGGGGCCAGGCGGATCCACGATGCGATCGGGATCTTCGAGCATGTAGTAGAAGTGCACAGGAAGATGCTCGACGAAGAAGATGATGATCGACTAACATCAGAGCACAACCTTGCATGGGCATACCTTGGGGCCAGGCAGATCTATGATGCGATCGGGATCTTCGAGCATGTAGTGGAAGTGCACAGGAAGATGCTCAATGAAGAAGATGATGATCGACTAACATCAGAGCACAACCTTGCATGCGCATACCTCGAGGCCAGGCAGATCTATGATGCAATTGGGATCTTGGAGTATGTAGTGGAAGTGCGCAGGAAGATGCTCAACGAAGAAGATCATGCTCGACTGGCATCAGAGCACAACCTTGCAAGGGCATACCTCGAGGCCAGGCAGATCCATGATGCGATTAGGATTTTAGAGCATGTAGTGGAAGTGCGTAGGAAGACGCTTGATGAAGAAGATTATGCTCGACTGGCATCAGAGCATACGCTTGTAAGGGCTTATAATATGCTACTAGATACTACACTATAGTCTATAGTGAATAATCCGAGCCTTGTCAAAGATATTCCTAATATATTGTACTCTATGTTAGCTCCTGCTGAATTCGTATTTAACCACTAACGGTTTTCCGCAAAACGCTCTAGACGCTCGAGGGCTATAGTAGTTATATCTGCTCGGTCGCATTCTTACCCGACTTGAAGCCGGTGGCCTCGGGCTCCGGGGATCGCATGGTATGGCTCTAGTCGGGCGAGACATGTGAAAGCTTAGGATATTTAGTCTTGGCATAACCTCTTCCAAAATGTCGTTCGATTTTGATAATTGCCACCTCTACACCGATCTTAGTGCGATTTCTCTCCAGGGTCTACTAAGACTGAATCCAGTAATACAAGATTTTATAACTAAATCTTCTACACTATGTTCAGTTAACGAAGGTCGAGATCATCTCCCTAGGAAGTGCACCAACGGAGATGGATTACTTTGCACCGCAGGAACTGGTTTTGGTTACCCCCAGAATATCGACCAGTGTGTTCAACCATGTCTGGCTCTGACATAATAGTACTTGGTGGTCGTTTAGAAAAGGTTACGCGTTTAATGTAGGAAACCTAACTTATATTTACCCTTATTAATTTTGATTGCCTTTGCAAAAGAGGGTTCTAGGGGAGCGGATTTATTTATATTTGCATTTTGGGTGTCGGGGGTATTCGAGAAAATGAAGGAATGATATAGTGCTATCAGGTTCGAGAAGATTCTCCATTTTCTTCCCCCGTGTCTTATGCCCCACTTCTAAGTCAGTCTGTCTGTACGCGATAAAATTTAGGGGCAATATGGAAGCTGATGTCGTTACCTGTACCTATAGTAATCTAGGATAAGCTATTATCGGAGAGTTCAAGTCAGCTCGGTACAATACATGCATAGCTATAGCGGTGCATTGTCAGTGCCAAAAATACCACTGTGGGTGTACTTCTGCTGCACGAGCCGCGCACTGTGCCGAGACTCCAATCTACTCCGAACTCAAAAGTTTTTGCATGTAGAAGACGGACGTTGAACCTGAACTCTACTGTACCTGTTGCTCTAGATCAAGTTATCACCATTCGTGTTTTGCCACACAACCCCCCGGAGCTCCACCTAAGGAGATCCCAAACATGAACACCTCTCTAGGACGAATACCATCCGCTACCGAACCAAGAGGGACTGGGATTCGAGGTTCCAAAGCGCGACCTAAGAGTCGAACGCAGCCTAGTGACCTAATAGGCTTCTCAACATAGTCAGTCCTGCGAATGAGGAAATCTGAAACGCAAAATATAAAAAGCAACAGGTTTAACGCCGAAAATCTGATATCAAGCCATCCTCCTAAAGTCCCTCTTCCTGGCCAGCTCAGCCTTCAGCCCTTCCATCTCCTCTCGCCTCGAAACCCCGCTTTCTGGATCATAGTACACGTCTCCTTCAATTTGCTCTCTGTAGAAGTCCTTCCTCTCCCAGTACTTGTGCCCTTCTGCCGGACTCTTCATGGCCCATTCATCGAGGGGTGGGTATGGGGACGGGTTGAACTTGACATGTAGAGAGTACCAGTGACAGAGGCTAGAGGTAGTATTTGCGATAACTGGAAACGTACCCTGCTCAAACTGGAGGGTATATATCTTTGGGGTAAAGGCATTCTGCGTGAGATTTTTATCGTGTAATTCCCACCCGTCAGTTGGCATATTACCGTACCACGGCATGCGACGTTTGGTGAGGGTCAGCTTGAGACCCACTGTTGGAATGTTTTCACTACCGTTGCCGACAACTTTCTCAAGAAGTGTATCGTCTTGATCTGTGCGAGGCTCCCAGTCGAATATCGCGGCAATGAACAAAGACATGCCGTGACCGCAGACCAGCTGAGAGGTGTGTTAATTGGGACTAAGAAGTTTCTGCGGGTAATTGGCGTACCTCTCCTGTTCCGTCCTGGCTGAACTTTATTCCGCATGTATCGGAGGCTCCCCAGTACCACCAGCCGTCAATGAGGACAGAACGTATTGATCTTCCCATTGTGATGGATCGTCACGGCGATTAATTACTAGGGCCTATTAAACGAGAACAAGATTGTGATAGAGTTGAGATGGTATTCTGCGGCCGAGTGAAGTTTGATATTGTCTAGACTTTTAAATTGTATTTTTAAGGGAGGTTGCGAGAGGAAACGTAGATGCGAGACGAATTATGACAGGATGTGCGTGGAAGTAGTGGAAGTACAGCGTGCCGTATTCATGACGTCATAGACACTTCGACCAGCTCCTTCCAAACAGGTAGACTTCGTGAACCACGGGTTGCTAAAATACACAACATTATTCGAAATACGATCTACCGTGCACACATAGAAACGAGAACCGGCATTTTCTCCGTAGCAGTAGTCATAACTGATTTCATGGTCCTCGCGACTGGCTTGCTGCGAGACAGCATGAACAGCATATGTGGCCCCACGATGCGATGCCGCCCCACATCTTGACAAACATCGATCACGATTACCATCTCCAAATTGGCATTGATTACTGTGAAAATCCTGGAGCGTAACCATTGGGCAAGGTGACCGCAAGACTTAGAACACAGGACTATTTAATTTTTTTTTTCCCCCCAGAACAGTATACGCGTAGTATACATATAGTAAGCTCACTTGTAATCCAAGACATGTCCACTTCCTATTACCATTTTACGGATCCTCGGACGGCCGCCGAGAATGCGCAAATGAGCGTCGGACCTAGTATAGCAATATGTCCATCAACATCTATAATATAGGCTGCTCCCAGCATGAACTTTAACCTCAACCCGGACTCTTCAACCACCAACACAGGTATTCAAGCATATAGACCATCCAACTCAATCTCCTCTCCACCAACCGTCCGATTGTCATATTTGATCTGACCTTCCCGACCGAAAAGCAATAACGCCGCCGCAGAAATGATGTTCAGCTTTTCTCAACTATTGGCGCTTGCCTTGACGGGCTACGTTGCTGCTGCGCCTTCGCACCTCACTCGGCGTGCTGGCCGTGTTGTCATCGGTTATCGAACCGTAAACAAGGTTTGTGCATCATACGTAGCCTCTGGGGAGTGTGTGCTAGTCGTTTTTGAGGGGAGCTGACCCACCTTGCGTAGATCGAGGCAAATGAGCTCAACGAGTATAGAACCTTCGTCGACTTGGGCGGGTTCCAAGATGAGAAAGCCCAAACTGGCCTGGGCAAGTATCTGAGCCCCAGTCCCGGGGAGTGGGACGTTGGCATCGATAACAGGTGAGAACCAAGCAAATCGCCGTACACTAAAACCGTCGAAACAAACGCTGATCTCCCACAAGCTACTGCATCGCATGGGCGGATGCGGACAAGTACGACGCTGTAAGCAAGGTGTGGATCCCGGAAGATCACTGGTGGCCTTCTAGCGAAAAGGCCATGAAGGACTACATCGCTAGCCTCGGCATTGAGAGCAGGCTCTCCCTGCGCTACTCTGAGATCTTTGGCAAACCGGGACTTTTGCAAATGATGGTTCCCCTAGAGTTGTACGAGCAGTACGACAACGGCATCGGCATCGAGGTACAATGCTTCGACACGCTTGACCAGCTGAGGCAGGTGGAAAATGGGAGGGTCGACTACACTCGTGGAGACATCCAGAATCGAGGCCCTGCTCAGCCGGCTCCGCCCAACCCGGCTCCACCCAACCCTGCTCCTCCTAACCCGGTCCCCCCTGCCCCTCCCGCCGCCCCTAAGCCTCCCCATGTCTAAAAATGCCGTTGGTGGAGTTAAGGAGCCCTCTAGGCGAAAACGGCCGAATATATTCCGGGTCTAGTTTATTATCTTACTAGCTTTGGATATATGGAAATGAAGAGGTTCTCAATATCCTTTGAGTTCGAGCGTCAACAGGAGCTGAGTTGAGAAGCAGTCTTTGATGTATTTATATATAGATCTGTTTGGTAGTGTATCGAGAAGGTTGGATTGTGGAGAATTGATATTTTCCCTTATATTCAAGTTGCACGAAGTAATAACGAACCGAAGTTCAATCAAATATACGAGTAGGACTTACTGAACCAAATCATAAACTCAAATCAACCCACGCCACTTTCAGGTTAAATGCGTGTGGCTCCGTTAGCTACGGTGGTCGAAGAGCCGGTAAAGAATCATCAGTTGTCCCAAGTGCTCCATGCCGATGCTGGAATAGCGCGGCGTCGGGTTCGGGTTCATGCCTTAGCTTTGCGTGTATCAACTAACTTCGTTCTGGATCTGAACCCACCAATCCTTTTCCCTGCAGTATTATGGTTGCTGTTGGTGTGGTGCAGCCGTCCTTTCAAGACCATACTCACACTGAGGGGCTGTCGGGGAAAACACTGCCGACTACCAAGGTATGTCAACTGAGGGACAGACGCTATAGGAGAGGTACTCAGGAAGGAACCGTCATGTCACAGAAACTCCTGGGGAAGTGGTGCTGTCGAAGAGTTAGCTACTGGGCATCAAGGCAGGAGCACCAAAATTGCCTAACGCATGCTTTCTGTTTCGTCTTACCCTTATTTTGTATTACAATTGTCACAAGTTAAGGCCTTGGGGGTGGAAATGGGTTATGATGTAGAGTGAGAGGGCATCCAAGCTGCTTTTAGGAATGGATTACTCGATTCTCTCGTACCCCTTGCCATAATCCCTAGGTTGTATCCCCTAAAGATAGTCACTCAGCTCTTGGCGTTTTCCCTGAGCCTATAGAGCTTTTATTCGGATTTTATTTCTTTATTCACATTCGGAATGACCTTTGGTTGCTTCTTTTCTTGCTCAGCTGTGCCTCTTATACTGGCTTAAACTAAGTTTTCTACGGCTCCCCAATGATACTGGCGAGAGTACTCATGCGGCTCTTCCAGGATATCCTCTCTTCTGTGACCGTGATGCGGCCGGATATGGCTTCGTGCCTAACTACATTGAAAAGTTCTTCACGGCAAACTCCAACATATGCGACCGAAGTTCATCCGCAAACCTATCGGCTGTATCTCTAAAGTGCCCGGCGGAACCGTCAAGAATAGTATTGTTGACACGTGTATCAACGAAGGCAGCGAAGTGTAACCGGGCTCGCCTCTCCACCTCCCTCGCCTTTTTCTGCGCTTGGGTCTTGTTCATAAACTCAAGAGTTGAGAAGTAATCGAGGTCTTTCGTTTCGACTGCGTCGTAAGTAGCAGGCTCCGCAATAATTCGACATGCCTTCTCTTCGAGGTATTTCTCGTACGGGATGAGAACATCCCTGAATCCATACTGGCAGCCAGTTGTGTCGATAATCCAGTTCTCGCCGGTGAATAGTTGCCTCACCCTCAACACCGTGTGTGGGCAATGGCTAGTGTCCAGACCCGGTGTCAGCTGTGTCCGAAATATCGGCTTGCCAATGTGAAGGTCCATAAATTCGATGACAGATGCTGTCCCTACTAAAATGTTAACTTTGCATTGGTTGAAGTGACAACATTGTGGGCTGTCTTACCTGCAAGAAGCTTTCGGGTAAGGCGACCTAGAAGTGCCATCGCCGTTGTACACTGATTATTCGCAAGGGCCGCCTCTTTGTGTTCAGTGCTGGTAGTGATGCGGCTAGGAAAAAGGCGACGTTTAGGTCTGGCAGTTTGGTTTTGGTGAAGACGGAGTAACCCGTCCTGAAATTCGATCTTGTTCAGGTCAACGTCGAAAGCAACCTCCCTGTAGGTTAAAAGAGCAAGCTTGAGTAAGTTTGCTGCTCGCAGTAACTTTCTTCGTTTCCTCATGTTCTGGCAATGGGCCTTGTGCCTTGGCCAGTGGCCTGCCTGACAATCACGACCACAGTAGAAAACGTCGACAGAATCCCGGGCTGGTGTTCCGGCGCGTCCCTGCAGCCAGTGCATCTTGCCGTTGAGTTCTGGCCGCAATTCGCACATTTTCCAAGAGCGTCTGATTCCATCTTGACGAGAAAAGGACGCAAAGTCTGTAACCCCAAGGCAAGTCCTGGTGGGGGGGATGGGGGCTTGAACAACCCCATGGACTGAAAGGTCTAAAAGAATCGGGCATTAATGGAAGCTGCCTGATGGAGTTCTGAGAGAAGCGATTGGCTGTGTTTCAAGTCGTACGGCAGGACGAAGATCCGCGCGATGAAGCTGAGTCGCGGCGGGCCTCTCAGTCTCAGTCCCAATCTATGCTATGAAGGCTGAAGGCGTAGTTACGCATAAACAAACTTATTGGGGATAATTTACAAGGGTACACCACTAAGGCTAAAAACCCCACGATAACGGCCAAAGAGGCCCCCAGGTCTTGCAAGGCTGCGTGTGCGAAGAGGGACACACCGCGTGCCAGCGTAATGATATTTTCTCCACGACCAATCTCTAGAAAACAGGGGCGGTAGCTCGCCCTCATCTAGCGATACGCCCTCCAACATACTGTAGTTCACCGCCACATAATACAAGGTAGAAAGATAAATATACCCTAAAAGCCCCCGCAGAGTCCATAGCTCCTTGTGCATTTGCATGCTCACAGGAGTGGTGCGTTTCCTCGTCCTTTAACGTCCTATGTCCGTTCGCCCCTTTGTGAATCAGGCTTACCTTGGAGTGTCTGTCAACATGTTAGAGATGCCACCCAATCTCGGGCACGCTTCCAATTTTGGAGGTTGCACCTAGACAGGAGCGAACGGAGGTAAAAGCAACCAAATCTCCATAAGCTTTGGTTTCCTCCGACTCTCACTATTATTTGTAGGTTTCGGTCGTGCCTGATGAGGTTGATCCAAGAGTATCTGTCGGTCTGACTCCACAGTTGCCCTATGTTCTAGGCCAAAAGTTGTGCCTCCTGCTTTATCCTTGGCTCGTAGCTTCATTTCTCGAGCGACAAGGCTGTTATTCTAGGATTCCGTGTCGTCTCTACTTGGACTGATCACAAGACGCCCTGTCAGCTTTGAATTGTGAAAAGGTGGAGACTATTCAATACAGTAGTAGATGTAGATGAGCGATTCAATGTTTCTATGCGCCATTTCGAAGAAATATTATGCGCAAGCACATCTTATCACTTCTCTATTATCACCAGTCAAAGTTCGGTAAGATCACTAATAATAGTAATATCTGAGGAGTCTCGCCAATGGGGCCTAAGTGGCTGTTGGTGAGATATTAGTATTCACCTGCCCAATTGTGTGACCCTTCTCCTGAGAAAGATTCATGATGGAGGCTGGCGCATCTGCAATGTATGTTTTGAAAATGGTGTCCTTAGCCTCAACTAAGCAGGTATTGCGCAGACATAACTAGGTCGGCCGACCGGGCAGGCAAGTTGTTCTCCTGCTTGCATATTAAGGGCGAGGAGAAGAACCCGGTGGCCGTGTCTTACGTCTTCAGTGTCGCGGGCATGATGGGGATTATTCTTTCTCTGGCATCCCGACGCTGCTTCCATACCTTAGCCCTAGATTCTTGTTTACCGAGTTCTTTGAACCACATATTGCTATATATTGCTACCTTCACTGTCAGCGCCTGTCTCACGCCGTAGAAGGGTACATTCAAGCGCGCCTATCCGCTTTCTAACATTTCCGGCTGTGATGGGCCGCAGATCACCATCAACTACAGATCGACCTAGAGGTGGAGAAACAAGACGCAGTGCGGAAGGCCATGACGCTCGGAAAGAAGAATACGATGGGCACAGGATCCGCAGTCCGACGGTATTCTACCGCGGGCTCGATTGCTATATTCGCGGGAGCAATATATATATTTGAGGCGTATCATGTTTGGACAACTCACGGCCGCGATGGTCCTCTCTTCAGCGATCGAAGTGCTACCGCCATCCTTTCGCCCTTGTCCTTCATTTTGCTCAACATAGGTGACGGTAAGTCAGCCGACTGTTGTGTATGGTTCCCCTGAGTACCTAGTCTAACGAACGGGAGAAACAGGACAGAGAAGCCGCTCAAGGCAATTGAGACATAAAAGGTTTTCGTATACGGGAGCATCGGATTCTCAATACCCGCGTTGGTCCCTTTCACGGAAGTGTAGACCGCGGTCGAGATGCCCAGTGCGACGGCCGTACTCAGGCGGAAGAGCATGTTGAATATACCGCCTGCTAGACCCTGCTGGTGGGTAGGCAGGGATTGCATCACGTACATCTACTCGCATCGCAATAGTTAGCATCTATGACGAGAGCTTTCCTCAGTAGACGGACGTACATTGGCAACGTTGAATTGTATGTCAGCGCCGCAGACGTAGAGAACCAGCGCAGGGAATACGATAGCCCAGTAGTAGCTGTGGGGCGTCATGAGAGAGAGTAGAACGGAGCCTCCAATGTACGAGGCGACCCCGACCGCCAAGAGCAGGGTGTTGTTGATACGGTGCAGCACGTTGCCTGCAACTATGTTCCAGATAATGCCTGCGATAGCCATTGGGAGCAGTTGCACCGCAACTCCCAGCGGTGACAAGCCGAGAAACTCCTGCATATAGAAAGAGAGCCAGAATTGGCTGGAACTGAAGGCCATGAAACCCGGGAGGCAGGTGAGGATGATCTGCACTTGTTAGAATGCATGCCCTTTTTCTTATTTGGTAGGAACAAGAAAGGGAGGGGTGACGGAATGCTATACCAAAGTGAAGTTTCGATCCCGCCAGATCTTCAGTGGCATCAGGGGGTGGGAAAATACGCTTTGCCAGTACACAAACCCGACAATAAGTACCACCCCAACGACGAGCATGGCTACGACATGTGCAGAGCCCCAACCATCCGTGGGGCCCAATCTGCTTTCTAGTCAATATGTGTTGCCCGCTAGGTGGTAGGGGCCAACTAGGCACAAACTCACGTTATCGCGGCAGTGATAAACCCACAGCCCGTCACCGTCAGGAACGTGCCGAGGAAGTCAAACGTTGACACGAAGGTGCGCAGCCTTGTGCGGAGCGGCTCCCCCGGCGGGTACGCCTCAACTCTGGGAACCATCCACACCGCCAGCATGGTGAAGAGAGCCCACAAGATACACAAGAAAATATACGTCGCACGCCAATTGAAGATCTGCGTGGCAACACCACCTGTGATCGTGCCGAATACGAAGCCAAGCGGGTTTCCTGCGCTGAAGCTCGAGAAGGCAAGATTCTTGCGCTTCGAGGGAACGGAGTAGGCGGCACCCATGATACCGATGGCTGGGGGCACGACCATGGCGGCGGAGATACCGATTATGCCGCACACTACGTCCATCCAGAACGGCGTGCGCGCGAAGGCAACTAAGAGGCAGAAGGCGCTGAAGGAGCCCATGCCGATGATGAACAGAGCCTTACGGCCCAAAAGGTCAGCGAGCTGGCCCAGCCCCAGCTGGAAGGCGCCTGCGGTCAGCGCCGTCGACGCCGTTATCCATGTGATCTGTCCCTGCGTCATGCCTAGGTCGTGTCCGATCGACGCCGTGATGACGCTGCAGGCTCCTTGGAACAAGGGCCCTGTCGCCATGGCCATAGTTGCCTGCGCCACGAACGACACCTCCTGTGCCGTATTCTTGAAGCAGGATGGCCGGGCACCGATGCTGCGCTTTGCCGTGGGCCCAGTGGTGGGGATGATGCAGGCCTCAAGCTCCTTATATGACGATGTCTCAGCGGCGGTCACGCTACCGCTGACATCAATTTTAGAAGCTTTAGGGCTAATCGAAGGCGCGCCATCGTCAACTCGCGCTGCAGACGCTGAGATGTCTTTGCTGTCATCAATCATTCTGAGGGTGAATAAAGATGTGATGATATATGGGTGGTAATCACGCAAATTTTTTATCCTTTCCGGGGCAGCTGAGGACTGCCTTCGTAGGGATTTTGGTCTCGCGGAAGTAGGACGCGAGATGCCGGAATAAAACTTGGACACTGCGGCGTGTTCCAATCCGTATTGCCGAAGCAAGCCGATAGCGGAGTTGCATTACAAATCTGCCAGCTGCGGGAATCGGGACACCATCTAATCCGACCTTCGTGAATTAGAAGGATCTTACAGCAAAGACGCACTCTGCATGTAGGATCTACAACCTTCGGAATAGTTTTATATACAGCAGCGGGTACGGGAGTAGTCAATATAGCAATGAAAAAAAATTTTTAATTTAGCACACTAAGAACGTTATATAGTTCGATTTCTCAAGTAGAGATTTTTCGTAATCAGAGAAATTTCGATGTAGTAGAGCACACCTCGCTATCGAAATCTCCATAGAAGAAACAAGCTATAGACCGGAGTTTAGATTCTGTGTCCTGAAGTTAAATTTATACAATTGAGTCTTTTCTGCTTATACCGAGGTATATGAGAGCTAAATAAAGTGACTATCCCTGGGCGAGGAATAAAGCGAGCACATGTAACGATGACACGAGCGAGAAAGGCGTCTAGACGCGGATCAAAGCTGAGAATCAATTTTTGGCTGCTGTATGAAGAGTGAATAGCCTAGGAACGCGGCACGCCTAGTCTGCTGCTAGCGCAAGAGCAGAATCAACTGATGTAGATGCTTGAGAAACGGTGCCACTAGCCACATTAGCCTCCTTACGCTACATTGTTACGTGCGACTAGTTTTGGCGCGAGTATCCTACTTGGAAATTCGTCTTTCGTAGGCAGGAGAGTATAAGAAGGTAAAAAGTTGACATAGACTATAAGCATAGCTTCTCAGCGCGTGTAAGGCGGGCCGACGTGCTTATTCTTAGCCAACCCTTAAGTGCCTCGTGCCGAGAACACTCTACCTATTTATTTCGAGTAACAGCAAGCTTGATAATAGAGCAGCGGCTCTCTGACCTCGTTCGAAACTCGAAGCTCGAGATTCAACCCTTTTCCAACCACCGCGAGCGAGCCTTTTACATATATCTTTCTCTGTAACTCATCCGCACACCCTCATGATAGCCCAAAACCCCAACACGATCAGCATCCACTCTCTAGCCCAAACTTGCCCTTTCACTCCTCTACTCATGATCAACCCTGGCTCATAGCTCTCTGGTGTCGAGTCATCGACTTGTCCATCCCAACAGTGCCTACTGAAGCAATCTCCACACTCCGCCGGTAGATCCATTCCTTGTCTCTCGAGGCTTTTTGCCAGAATCGCACAGCCTAGGCATGTCGGCCATTGGTTGTCTAGCTTGCCCTGTCCCAGCGTTGCCACATTCCGTCCGTTTTCTACAATGTCATCTCGCTCAGAGTCCGTGTAGGACATGTTGAACGTCGAGACGTTGGAAAAGGTCGAGTAAGGCGCGTTAGGCAAATACACCACCAGTGGCGTTCCCTGCTGGACTGTACCGTTAAAGTAAGGTGGAGGGCATCCGAAGAAGGTAGGCTTGCTATTCAAGCCTTTGTTGATAAAGGTATTCTGGCCAGGAACTTCGGGAAACGGCACGGAGGCGTAGTTTCCAACCTCCCGGCTTCGCTGGTACGTCGCCACGAGGGATGTCCCATTCGGCCAGTTTTCCGTCGTGTCAGCCGACGAGTCAACTGCGATGATGACGTCCACGTTCCGTTCCCTCCAGAGCAAGGGGTGGATGGGGATATTCTCACCGGCCAACCCACCGTCTACGAGTGTAAGAAAGGGTTCTTCGGAGTTCTCCGTCGTCAGGGAGGACTTCCAGAACGGATTAGGCCACCTCGCCACGTCCCTATTTTCTTCGCCAAGCGTGCGCAGCCTATCCTCGATAAAGGCTGTGAGACGGCCATCAGAATCATCCTTTTCAATTTGGAGAAAGGCGGCGTTGAAGAGGCTGGAGCTCGTGCCCATCGTGAAGCCAACGTTGTCGTAACCGCGAACGCAGGAGCCATTGCTGGGTATGGAGCCGTTGGTGAAGGACGAGCCTACGTAGCGTAGGGGTGCGAACGCGGATAGGTTTCTGTCGTGAGAACCCATTTCCCAGGGGTTGAATTCGATGACGGTTGAGGCGAGGGTTACGTTTAGTTGGCCTGGGCTTCGCTCGACGGCGACGATGATGGGGAGGGGAGCTTCGCCTGAGGCGAAGTAGCCGTCGTTTGCGATTGAAGAGTAGGTGTATGCTGAGAGGGCTGGAGTTAGGGGCAGCTAACGAGAGATGTCAATGAAGGGGGATATATCTTTACCTGGGCCACCGTCCGTCGGATTTACCAGTTGGTAAGATAAAGCTCTACCCCAGAGATCTGTTATAGTCGTGTTAAACCCTGCGTCCTGCTTATCCGAGACACTATCCCGCATCGCCTGGTAATACTCGAGCCTACGAAGGCCATCCGGACCTGTTCATTTTCGACTCAGTAACCGCCACGCAAAGCGTCCACGATGCCACACAAGGAAGCATTTCAACTCACCCTGGAATATCGACTGATCAAACTGCCATATCCCCGGAGTGGCATCTCCATCTAAGATCCCCTCGACAGTACTAAAGTTCTGCACGTACACACTGCCCACCAGCCAGCTCCCACCACTCAAACCGGACAAATACGTCGCCGCCTGAAGAACCCCGCCGACTCCGCTTTCGTCCGTCGACCCGCTACTCCGCTCGTCAAAGGCACTGAGAACACCTGCGCCGTTCATCAGGGCTCTGTACCCGCCTCCGCTAACAGCGATTCCTAGCGTCGGCAGCGCTGAGGGGTCCATGCCGTTGACATCGTTGAGGAACGTTGTAGCGTTGAAGTTTTCGATTTGAACTCTTTGTAGGAAGGACTCGAGGCTGGTTAAAGTGTGATCCTTTCGCGTGGAGAGCCATGACGTCTCGTTCGGAGAGAGGGTGGCCGGGCGGATGGAGGGGCGGGGATTGGGACAGGGGACCGGGGCTGGAGTGTATCCGTCCGGAGCGTCGGGTGAGGCCCTCCGCGAGATGCGAGGGAGAAGGTTGGGGTTTGTTGTTTCGTGGGTGCCAACGACTGGAATATGTTAGTTGTTGTATCGAACCATGATAGGTTGGTACACTTGCTTGTGCTCAAGGTTTGTGCCAGGAATCCACCCAGTAGGATGATAGACGACAGTCGAGTGTCCCACCCCATGACAAGGCAGGAAAAGGGGATCAATTGTAACAGGTTGGAAAGCTTCCTCTGATGTCAGTTACGGCCAGTTCTTCTAGAGCCCGCAAGAAAAAAAAAAACATGGGTCGGCGAAAGATTGCGCAAAATACTAAATACTGGTGTGAGGCCAAGCCGATCGGGAACACTTCAGAGCTATCGAGGACGACCCTGTCACGGTATCGAGAGCCGAGGGCTCTCTAGTCTTTTATCCTCATCCTCATCCTCATCCCTACTTCACCTCATGGAACAGAGTCCTCAGGGTTGAACAGAACGGTCACGAGATGATAAGGCAACTCTTCTCCTGTACGACTCTGTTAAGTTTCAATGGGAGCTCTCGCGTCCATGGGGCTGGATGGTAGGGACCTAGCTCCAAAATTACCAGGACAACAGGAGAATCAGAAACCGACTGCGTTGTAGGTACGGATCGTGGAGACATCTAAACGTGACACTAAAATAAAGATGGCTTTCGAGGTAGATTAGTACTACATTGGTACGCAGCAGTTGAAGCTGGAGGGACTCTTCAATGCCATCATTGTTCTGTCAAATGTCTCACATGTTAGGCTAAGTTCCCAGTTATCCCAAGGGACCCGTGGATGCTAGCGCCTAGTGGCTGAAGTTTAATGAGGGAGAAAGTTTGATAGTCAAGTGATTATTACCAGTTCATTGGTGTCAATGTGTTACATGGCAGTGCCTTATGCTCTGAGCCAGCACTTACGGCGCTTCTTGGCTTGGATAATGTTCATGATTCTCATCAACAAGGGACTACAGACCTGGGAATGGGGACTAGGTCATGAAGTGGACAACGCACAGAGAAGTGATGACGCCATGCACGACGACGGAAAAAAAGGAATCTATTCCCCTACCTACGAGGAAAGGCATCGGCAGACCCCGACTTGTGGGCACCAGATATGAAAGCCGCCCGGGCAATAATAAAAATATGCCTGACGAGCCAAAAGGATTCTAATGACGCTCAGAAGTGGACTTCTCGACTGCCCCCTGCGTAAAGGTCGATATCAGCCTGATTCTTTAGAAGTAGATAGTTAATCCGGCATCTCTTAATATACCCCCGTTCGTTCAGTATAATTCAACTCATGCAGCCTGCCCCAACTCTCCTCCTTCTTAGTCGAATAACATTCTACCGAATTCTAGATGGATAAAGGAACTCACCGATAATAAACACAACAACCTCGTGATCTCCTTGGCCTCCAATTACACTGACAGCTAATACTTGTGAGCTAGTAGTATGACCGTAGTCGTTGGGCCCAAAATATCGGCATTTCCAGCTAAGAGCAAACCTATCATGTGGAACAGTTCCGGCGCATCTGTAAACAACTGACCCAGTGATACCACCCCCGACCTTCTTGCCCTTGCATTGCCATATAACACCCTCACCAGCCCCGATTCTTCCAGGCGGCAAGGAATCAGAGGAGGCCCATTGACCCGTCGCAAGTCTCGAGGAGTCCTCTACAATGGAGAAGCCTCGGTCTGTGTGGTTTAGGAGAACGAATGCGATATTCTTGGTGACTAATTCCAAGAGGTGTGAAAGCTCTAATTTTAGGGTCACTAAATCAAGCCAGAGAAAGTAGAGAATTGACTACTGGGAAATGATCCCTTATTTGCCAGTATGAGTATTGGAGACCACCAGTGGATGTCTTCTAGGCATGACGGCTTCAGACATGATAAATGGGCAGTTATGCCCATCGAAGTGAAACTAAGCAAGAGATCGCATCAAACCGAACCTTGCAATTAAAACTTCGCCTTTGTAGGAGCGTATGATCTGATCGCGATCGCCATTCACTAGGCATGCGCGAAATACAAAAATGTCGCATGTCGGTTGATTCTCTGGCCAACGGTCGACTCCATGTTGACACTAAGTTGGATAGCATTCATCTTGCAGTGGTCCAGGCCCGGAAACACCGCGCGAAGGAGCAGTCGTAGGATGTGGCGTCCTTTGGCGTTCTCCTAGGTTTACCAAAACCCCGATTGGGTCCGGATTAGCTATGTCCTCACGCCCTCGAAGTCTCGCGAACATCAGCGTCGGTCTACAGCAGCTAGTGGCTCCTTGCAGCAAATTGCTACTGGCCCTGTCCTCGAGCCGCTGGTCTACAGAAACCAAGAGTCGAGAGGCCGCTGCTTGTCTCTATTATCACTGACGGCAGGCCCGCGCCTGAAGCCAAGACTGAGCTTGTCAACACTATCTTGGAGTGTGGGGCAAAGCTACAAGTGGCCGACTACCCTCGTGAAAGTACGTTTCTGCTGCTCAACGCTCTCTCTTCCCAGTCTGGTCACCTTCCGGAAATGTCGCCTGCTGTGCCTCAGGGCGTAGTAAAGCGAATTAGCGGGCGCCGATGAAAAAAGTATACATTATATGAACCCCGACGGGATGTTACGTTCTCCGCTCTCGGCTACGCGGAAGCTGCCATCTCAGCACCTCCCAAGAGGGCCAAGCCGTTGGTCGGGCCACTACGAGAACGCCCTAGATAGTGAGCAAGCGCCTCTCCTCACCACGTGCAGCGATCAGTGACGTTTTCGTCATCGCCCGGAACTGACAACGAAGGCAGCCCATAGTTTACACGTGATCACGACCGTCGAGTCAAGGATGGGCCCAGTCTCGGGAATCGCTTGATTCCTCAATCTAGAACTCTCAATGCTTCAAGGCAAGGGGTTTTAATAAAAAGCACAGTCCCTGATGGATCTTCCCAGTGAAGCCATGGAGTTCCTTGGGTGTGACATGTGTCCCACCATCGCCAAAGTGAATATTTTCCAGATGGTCCTCCCGCCGCGATAGATTCTGCGCCACCGTTCAGCCCCAAGTACTTCGTATCTTCTCACAGGCACCTGACAGATATGACGCCTCCGGGCGGGAATTTTCCACAGACCTCGAAGGATCGGAATAACGTAGTTAGGACGTAGTCCACACGGATTACATTAGATTATTTCCCAGGCAATTAATTATTGCGGTTAAATATACGATTGGCCAGTGGCACGCTGCGTAGGATGTACATATTTAGGTGCACCCACGATGACAGGCGAAGGCATATAAGCATCGCAACGCCGCCGGCCCGGCGAGGTTCGCTCCAGTGTCTGCCTCACCAAACTGGCCGAAAAGGCTCACCACGGTCCCAAAATCCCCTCCTTGTCGCACCTGTCTTTGGTTTCAAATCGCAAATATGACCGAGCCAAAGCAACAGCTGAGCGAGACCGTCGCTACGAGCGCGGAATCTCATCCGCCGACGCAGCCCCGCTGGCGATTTCAGTACAGAGAGCCTTGAATTGATCGGACAGAGCATCGAGAACGTGAAAGCGACCACTGGCAAAGGCCTCCAGGGACATCCCGCCCTATCCCTAGATACCCACGCGCCCGGCATAGACTTCGTCGCCAACTGTAAGAGCTACCTCAACACAGAAGACTACGCCAAGTTCAGCGCGTCTATCGCAAACTACTTGGAGCGGACGGAGCATTGGACGAAACGTTTTGGCATGTAAGGGAGACGTGTCTAGCACTGCTGGATGGCAGAGATGATCTTAGGGGGCAGTGGGATCAGTTCTATGGAAACAGAGAAGCTTGGGCAAAGTTACAGGAGGTTCGCCAAGAACAGGCGGAATAAACTACGAAGAAGGAAAGAAGGGAAGTGGTAGTTTAGATTGCGGCGAAGTCTTTTGCAAAAGCTCAATGCAGCCACTGGAGCTTTACAATTCCGGCTCTTTATCATAGGCCACTGCACTTCTAATCTTTGGTGTAAACTCTTCTGGAGATATTCCTAGTCCATTTTTTTGAAAGAAGATGCAGTAATAGTAATGTACAGATTGATCAAATTTCATTTTACCTGCACCATCCAACTTCGGCCCAGAAACTGCGCATTGTGTAGTAACTCAAACCGTCAGCTTAGACGAAATCATAGTCGCAGACTCGCCACAGAGCCGGAAGAGCTGGAAGAGCTGGAAGCTTGAGAACCGTCCAGTCTAACAACAGAGTCTCCACCAGACTCGGCCGCCGATGACGGCCCCACGCAACAGCAAGAGTGAGCCCCTACTTCCCGGACGACAGCACAGACGGATGCCGTTCAGCCCGACGCGGACCCATCCGGCAGGCAGCGGGGCCTGCTGTCATCAGACTCAGCAAACCCGGCCGAGTAACAGTCGCATCCCCTCTGTGTTCTATAGTACAGCCCCTAGACAACAGAGTCCATTCTAATTATCATTGTTATTCCTCTGGACTCTACAGCGCTACTTGACCTACGGTAAACTCAGCAAAATTTGGCGCAGCTTCTCATAGTCCGGAGTCCCCAAGCCTGTCACAGCATCCCGCCCTTCTGTCGCCCTGAATGAAGGCTCGGCAACGCAGCCCACGTTGACTCCGTCCGTCACGTCGTTGAACGCCTCCCCGGCGTGAGCGTACAAAACCGGGTTCACAAACCCCACAGTGCCTTTACCGGCTTGAAGCCTTTCGTTGTTGATCATGGTAATCATGGAGGCGAACACGGGCGCCGACGCTGACGTGCCGTGCACGCTGATCAGTCGGTTGTACAGGTATATTAGGTACGAGGACGCGAGTGCCGAGACGTCTGGGAATCCTCGGCCGCCCCTGGAGAAGTACCCGGCGGATTCGAGCGCGTCTATATGGTCGTCTTCCTGGTGGTGGTACCGAGATACGGCCGCCTGCTGGTACTCGGGCGCGGGGAAGTGGTTGCTGAACCCTCCGCTTGACGTATATAGGTATGTTACGTTGCTGTCGGGGACATAGTACCAGGCTTTTTCGCGAACGTCGCGCCCGTCCTCGAGGTGTTCCGTGGAACCAGCCCCAGTGACGTTCCCGCCAGGAACGCGCTGGGTTCCCCCCACCGAAGTGACCCACGGACAAGACGCCGGCCATTGAGGACTGAATCTGCCGGCGTTCCCTTCTGGCAACCCTGTTTCAGGATGAATGCAGGACCTGCCATCGACTCCGGCCTGGGTGCCAGAGTCACCACTGGACACAATCGTGGTCACGCCCATGAGGCCAAGCTTGAGGAACTCGAAGCACTGGCGCTTGAGGTATTCAGGCGAGAAATCGCCTTCCGGCCAAGCGAAGGAGATGGAGATGACCTTGGGGGGCACCACAGTACCGCAGTCTGTCTTGTTGTAACCACCCTGCATAGGGTTGGTGTAGATGGGATCTACGGCGGGATCTAGGGCGTCGCAGTAGTACTGGTCGAAAGCTGCTAGCATGTTGTTGACGTTACCTCCGAGGTACATATCGCCAATCTGAAGGTTTGTAACCTCCTGGGGTCCGGTTAAAGACATAGCGTACTGAAAGTCCAGGTTGGGCTCTAAGTTGAACGGTGTTATGTTTACCGCCGTCTGCATATACCCACCGGCGATCGGCTCAACGACTGGGCGATTGCCGATAAGGTCCGGCTCGAAGCGTTCAAAGAACAGATCCAGATCGTCTGCAAGCCACGTCATGTAAGCTTGCTGATATATTCCAAACGAGTTGTTGGGGTGTGCCTCCCTAGCTGAGGGAATATTATACAGCTCTCTAAGGCAAGGTGGTGAGGTGTATTTGTCGCAGCTGAATTCCGGTGTCTGGAAGGCAGCCTTGACTCCCTGAACGCCGCTAAGTCGAGTGATAGGAGGGCCTAGTACAGACCTCTTGTTCTTGGAAAGCTGGCAGGAGTCGTCGTGTCCGCGCTTCATAATAGCCACATACTCAATGGCGGATGCCAATGTTTCAGGGATTTTGTACTCGGCACAGCCAATCGCGACATCCTCTTGCTGGCTTTTTCTAACTGCGCGGCACGTGGTATTGAATAGGTGCTGAAAAGTTTTCAAGTCTGAATCCGCAATGAGATGCCCTCGCGCATGCGTCATGCGGATATGGTTCATAGGGATGCCGTGATTTCGAAGCCATTGGGTGACCGCAGAAACATGTCGAGATTCTGGGGCAAATCTCTGCGTGATCTCTTTGGCACTCCACTGTCTCCCATAGTCTGGTGACGACGGATCAGATATTTCCAGGAGTCGACTGGCCGCGTGATCTATGTTAGATGGTGTCAAACTGATCTCAATATAAATCTTGGAGTCGCCATCAAGGCTTTCGCCCACGTGCCTTGCGACAGCCAAGGCGTGGTTGATGTGTCTCTCTGATGGAACAGTCGTTAAGGCCGTCGCCAGAGTAGACGACAAAGGCAGCAGAATGAAAAGAAGAAAATACAAGAGACAGCTCGCCATCGGTGCCAACGGATTGCCCCTTAGGTCTTGCGACAAGAGTATCGGCACTTTTTCCTGAGATTCCAAAAGCAGAAGGCTTTAACTGAAGATCTAGTACTCCGCAGATGTCTGCCATTCAGACAATATAAATTCGAATTTTTCCGGTGTTATCCGCCCAGGTCAGTCGCTAACAGAATTTTCGTCTTGACCTGCTTGACCTGGATTGCATAACACAGGGGCGGCGATAATAGATCGTTATCCCAGAATACGAGACGGGGCTTGCTTCTGTTTCGGGCCGATGCGTGGGAGGACTCCGCCAACAGCCAACACCATTCAGTTGTCGTTGAACACCCGTAGGTGCTCATAGCATATTGAGAGGGGTTCGCTATATTGAGAAGGATCTGTTAGATTGAGAAGGATCCGTTATATTGAGTGGGGTTTGTTGGGTTGAGAGGGATCTGCTAGATTGAGAAAGGTCGGTTATGTTGAGAAAGATCCATTGATGTACTTTGTGTGGATATCGACATACAGGTTGGGGGTTGCATATCGGGGATTCATGCTCTAAGGTACCCTAGCAACTTGTTGCCTCAGCCCTCGAGGAGGAAAGCCAAGACGCAAGGTCTAAATTAAGTTGCACAAGATCGATGGACGGCGAGAGGCGGCGCTTAGCTTTTAGATCCATCCGTCAACATGCCTTGCTGTCAGCCTATCGATCGAGCGTCCAAGTACACTCGTCTCTATGCCTTACCGTCAGTCCACCAATGCAGCGTCCAAGTAAGTATACACGATAAATATATTCAGACACTCCCGGTAACAAGTTGTTGAAAATTCGGCCAAAAACGCTCACCAGCTTAACATCCTCAACCAACCACCCAGTCCTGTTCGATCACTACACCTAAACTACATTGCAAGCTTCCCAAAGCCCTTAACTTCTCTCTATATTATCAAAATGAAGTACTCTGCCGTCATCGTCGCTCTCGCTGTCAGCTTCGCCTCAGCTGCCCCAGCCTTCAGCAATGAGAAATTGGTAAGTCGATGCAAAAGGCTTCCAGGTTTGGGACTCATTCTGATTGATTTGGTACCTCAGCACAAACGAGGAGGCGGCGTAAGTTCACCGCGGCAATCCTTCCGCCTCTCCAAGATTTTTGACCGCCAGATATTAACGTCCTCATCAGCCTTTGTGTCTGGAAATGTGTGCGCCCTTCGCTCCGGAATGGCCAATCTACTCGGGCTGCTTGGTTGCCTGTCTTGCCCAAGGCACCGAGGGCGAGCCAGTAGAGGCTGAGGAGATTGTCAACCCTTAACTCGAGTGAGCACGAGCATGTGTTATGGCCGCTAGCGTCCGCACCGAACTCAACACCAAGCTGGTCAAGTCCGACATCAGCACGAGTCTCTCACATTCAATATCACATCCATTATCGCAGTCCTATCACACCATTATCACCTTCGATATCAGTCATTTCATATATGTATTTAACATAGCTTCGATTCGCTCAGCGAAGCCGCGCATCCTTTCTTTCAACCCAGAGACTTCCATGAGCTGCTGTACCATCTTGCCTGCTTGCCAGCCCCGTGACAGTTATAAACCCGGTTGTCATCAATCGGGATGCCTGACTTCGCGCTTCATTTCATCGATTACTTAAATAACTACCTACCCTCAATGTATCCCTTCAAGTATGCCGTCTGCAGGTTGCTCGTAAGGGCACTAGGCAAGCACCGCGCTAGGGTCCGGAAAGGCCGTGGGTAATCCATGGGTTATGTGACCCATCAGGTCCATAAGTACAGAAAATGGGTGGCAGGGTAGTAGATAAAACCCACCGGCCATCTCGGGAAACGGACAGGTCAGCAGCAGAGGGTCAGAACCCATTACCAGTCAATGCAACCCTAATCTCGGTGGCTTGTGTGACTCTGGAGGGACAGCCAGGTCTCGAGCAGGGGGACATCTACAAAGCCGGTCAACCTTTGGCTAAGCATAGTAACCCCGACATCCCTAAAAGTTGCCTCCCTCGGTACTAAAGAATAACCATATGCTCTCTCATGTAACTGACAGACAGGCAAATGCTCCGAGGTTGATTTCTTATGGATCTTTTTATTGACCCTACATAAGAAAACTGATCCAATCTTGCTAGATTCAAATTATGCATTTTCGGCTGTCACTTGGCTTACTTCCTCACTCGTTTCCTCTGTCCCGTATGTTGTTCCTCAATGTGCCGCTTTAGGTTGTCCTGTCGAGTGAACTCCCTGTTACACTCGGGATAGGGACACACTCCACCATCTTCTGGGATACCATTTTTCGGGTCGGCCGCAAAAGATGGATGCTCAACTCTAATGTGACGATGTAACATCTTCGAATTTGGGAATTTCGTCGGGCCGCAACCCACAGGACAGGGGAGCGGCGGGTCATGCTTTTCACGTATATGTTTGCTGTTGACCACAATTAGCACTGTTCTGTCCATACTTATGAGGCTGATCAACCGATAGCCGGGAAGAATTGGGCCCAAAGCTCACTTCAATTCCGTATTTCTTGGAAACACTTGTGGACATTGAGGACACTGAACACTCGGGCGTCTGGCTGCCGGAGACAGCTGTGGTGATGCTATCTCAGGAACATCCCCTGACCCATCACCCTCTATTCATGGATTAGCTGGGGACTATCCGAGGAGTTTAGGAATGTATGGTAACCATACCAGGCATGGCAGCTGGAGTGACTAACTGCGAACCACGGGAAGACTAAATCTTCGGGTCGTGGCTTGCAGCTTGCCGATCCACTTCGGAGTCCATTGACGCCCCGGTAATATGCAACATGGCAGGATTGATAAACGTTGTGTCGGCTCGGGGTCTCGTCTGGCGCGTGGGAGGGGGCCTAGTTAAGTGCTCCCGCACCTCCAGGTGTCGATCTTCCCCAACGTGCTCATCGCACCACTCAACTGCCAGTAGTGGATCCACTGCTTCCGGCCGGAATGCTTTCATCTTTCCGTCATCCCACACTGATCCAGATCTGGAGAGCTGGTGGTACACGTCTTCCTCTCCCCTTCAAAAAGCAAACGAGAACTAGAAATGAAAAATGGAAGTGACGATAGAACTAGAAATTGGGGAAGGGTAAAAGAGGAGGAAGAAGAAATTGAAAGCTTTAGAATAATGTGGAACAGAATAGGAAGTTTATGTCGGGCTTCCATGGGCATCTTGCTTTGAACAGGGGAGGCCTAGGAAAGTCTTGGAGCCTAAGACCAGGCTATCACGTAAACCTACTCACCGACGCAAAAGTGAAGAGGATAAGTGACCAATTCTAGAGAATTTCCTGAGGGGGTGGACAGACCTGAGGCGATCGAGAGGAGAAGCGATCTTGAGGATGGTACGTCGTCAACATTGGTGTGTCGGAGCTCTGCGAATAATCGCTGTACGATAACGTGTCCAGGTCATGGCTATTGGCCAGGCAACTTTCCAAGTATCAAATCGTGGCTCATTTTCTGCAATACGGCCAGCTCGCGGCGGAGAACCAGCCAATTGTTGTCCTGGATGGTGGGATGGATCCCTCCCGCGTCTCTGACTCTGCAGGAGAGCCCGTCAGGCAGCTGTCAGAAGTGAAGGCGTGATTGGTATGGGCGAAAAGTGATGGGCCTCCCACATATCGACTTCTGGTAGAAGTGTCTATTTAGCTGATATACTTCGCGCCGAGCACAGCACCGCTGGAATACTCCTCGCTTTAATAGACACGGTTCTCATCCGGCATCCTCCAGGGGATCATTACTGCCAAGCTACACCGTCATGCAAGGACCTGTGAGCTCCTGGGACTGGAAATTCAACAAACGCAAGCTTCTTGAGACCAGAGACCCAAGCAACAACAGAAGATATTGGTAAAACAGTAAGTTAGACCTTGTTAGGTCACATCTATCCATCGAGAGCGTGTTTCTAACCCTATCTGGCTTAGTGGAGAGCTCGACAGACCGTAGGCCTGTTCCCATCGAGCCAAACCACCTGCTGAGCTTTTACCATCCCATCATCCTCGAGAAGGCGTTCGTCAAAGCATGTCAGGATCAGAATTTCCCCCTCGAAGCGTCCTCACTTGCAAATCAGGACTCTCTTCTCTCCCCGGAACAAGCCTTTCACTCGTTCGTGAACAAACTTGCCCAAGTGTGCGACATTAAGAGAGGCGGCGAAACCGTCACTGCATTTACGGTCCTTCGCGGGGATGGTGGGCCCCATTATGTCCTTGGGTCAAACCAGAGATGTGAAGAAGCCCTCATCGAGACCAAGACCTTTGTGGAATCCCTCCTGAAGCTTGCTAGCCGAGGTGTGCTGGAACCCAATCAACCCCCCGTTGACGGGAAGGCACGTTTGAAGAAAGTTCTATGGCATATCCTGTTCTTCAATCTTCCTCGATTGGAGATATATCTTAACAACCTCTCCAGACACCTGAATGGTTGTATTGAACTTTGCCAGTCACCAGAATTTCAGAATAGTAAGAATCTTATTCGATTAGTCTAATAGTCACGAAATAGCTAACTTAAGTATCCTTCAGACCCGGTTATTGTGAGGCAGCTTCAGAACTTGAGGTCCAGGACCGAGTTCACAAGAGATGTAGTCTCATCTCCATCTGCGAGGGACAAGTGTAAGCCGCACCCGATCTCCCACATCTTCTTTCATTTTGGCCATCAGCTAATTCAAGAATAAAGTTTTAAGCGATTTCGAAAAGCTCATCAAGGCCATCCACGCAATCAAGAACACGGAGCTCGAGAAGGCCATTATTGAAAAAGCAAAGGACGGAGAACTCTCCAGGTCCCAGAGATGGTGCGAACTCCGACACTACCTCGGGCGTCTCTTGTCCTACCGCCAAGCAGCAGAGATAATTATCGCGTCTTCGAAGCGTTGGCCAGAGCTTTTCGAATCCTTCACCATCACCCCAATTCCCTCAAGTCATCCTGCACCTAGGCCAGTTTCCCATAAGGGACTGACAGCGGCTCGGATTGTTGAGGACATGGTCCAGGGCGATGATTCTGAGCCACATCCCTTGTTCGAGGAAATACTGCAAAAACTGCAGAATTTCGACCTCGACAGACTCATCCACAATAAGATTCGAAGCAAGTCATTTAGACCAATCGTGCACGCCGAAGTGCTCGTCCACCATCATCTCCTTGATGAAGGCATCTCGCACCCCGCACTATATTGGAACCAATGGAAATATATTGGTAGCAGCAAGGCTACCTGCCGCCTCTGCTCCCATTATTTCAATGCCCACCAGGACCGGGTTGACGTGCGGCCTGGTCATAGAAACCTATACCCATCTTGGAGGCTCCCCGACGTGTACCAGGATCAGGGTGATGATGCGGCTTCGAGACGCCTCGACCTACTTCTGAAATTAACAGAAGATGTGAAAAATGATGCACGATGGACAATCGAGCACAAAATCCTCCTGGGAAAAAAGTATGACACGAATACCTATTCAGCAAATCCTGAGTACCTCATGTATAACTCAGGGGATGAGGACGCAATGTCTGACTCGGAACTGGACTCTGGTACTTCTCAGTCAAGCGGCCTTGATGAGTGTGTATCGGTCCTTCCTCCGGAGGCTCGGCACTCGAAGTCTGTTGATGTTAGGGATGAGGATTCGTGCGACGAAGACGGCGGCGTGCCCCTCTGGGACACAAAGGAGTCTCCATCATGGTCGCTCACCAATCCTCCCGCGTTGCTTCGAGTTCATGTTTGATCGGAATCCCAGCTCGGATATATCGAGCTAATGAGGGAACTTGTGTCTCGTATGTCTGCGGTACTATTGTAGCCGCAAAAGACGAAGACCAGTTTTCGTAACTGAGCAATGGGCCTAAAATCTATCTCGAAATCCCGAGTATCGAGGTTCGTGTTCGAATTTCATTGTTAGGATTTATCAAATCCGAATATGGGGCTCGAGGTTGTGAGTAGGTGGAACCCACGTCTCCCAGGGTCACAAGCGAGTTCTACACGTCGATAAGGCTTGCATGCCGCAAGGGGGGGTATTCTCTCACGTCTTCCTGACTCGCTTTCACTCTCTCTTTTCTGTCTTTGTTTGGGGCCGGGGGGTTGCTAGCCGGCTATATTGGCAAATGAAATGACTATAACCAGCCCCGGATTCTGTCGAAAATGATGTTTTTTTTATGGTTTCTGTACCGATTGTTTATCACTAGGATTTTAAATGAAAATTTGTTACTCAGGTAGAAACAAAGTGCCCTCAGTTACCAGGGTAGCTGGGCCAGAGAGAGACACACTCAACACACCCTTCCCAGTGCCATCCAGCACAACGTCGACGATGATATTGCTGTCTCGGCCAATCTCCTGTCCCTGGTCAATGTAGAATCTATATTTGCCACTTACAGCCCCATGCTGAAGCGCAAGGTAAGCGCTCAAAGCACATGAACCGCTCCCACAGGCGGGATCTTCGAGGTTGATTGCGATCATGCGGACCCGAAGTTCTTGCACCCTTCTGTCATCCTCAACGTAAGCCTCAGATGCTATGCGATAGTACATTACCCCCATAAAAGAAGGCGCCCAGCCATCATCCAGCTCGGTCACCTGGCTAGGGCCCGCGGCAACAGTCGCAAACGCTTCGGGGTGGTTTGTAAAATCGACCAATGTATAGGTGACGCCTTTGACGATAGAGACGGCCGGATAAGCCTCTTCCAACGAGGATGTCTGGGCGTTCAAGCTTGGCTGCGTGGCGATGAGGCTATCCTTGCTGGTAGATCGGGAATGGATATGGACATTATGTGGCACTTCAGCAGCAACAGTCCGTCGCGCCGGATCATGTCGTACGACGACAGGTCCCGCCTTTGTCAAAATAGGGATCTCCGAGACGACCGGACTATTCACGAGGCCTGGGAGAAGCCGGCGAAATACCACATGGCCAGTACCGATAACGGGATGACCGGCAAAGTCCATCTCATTGACAGGAGTAAAAATATTGATGCATAACGCCCCATCGCTGTTTCGACGCAGGAATACGGTTTCGGAGAAGTTGAACTCGCGTGCGATCATTTGCATATGGTCCGGCGGCAGAGGGACATCGCCGACTTCGACGACGGCTACTTGGTTTCCCTTAAACCTAAAAGAACCAACGAGTGAATCTTTGCCTGGTTGAAAATCCTAAGGTATGTCGCACTAGAACTACGGGGTTTTACCTTTTGTTTGTGAAGACATCGAGCGTTACTAGATCCTGCGTTAGCACCGCCGTTATGAAACAAGGAGGCGGAAAGACATAAAAGCGCCAGGGGCTCTTTGGGCTGTGGGTTGGGGAGTAGAAAGTACGGGACATTAATTACCGTAGGGAACCTTCTTGGTCGACATCTTGGAGAACTTCAGGGCCGGCGGGGGGAATGCGAAGTGGGAAGTTGGGGTTTTCAAGGCACCTTGATCTCGGATACAAACATTGTACGATTATGAAGAGAGCGGTGGGCCGAAGCAAACCGGCTGCCTATGGTCCCAGATCCTTATCTTCGGTGATTAATTAGTAATTAATCACTCCCCCGCGTTAATCTGACTCTCCGCCTTCAACTCTGCACCAAAAGTAGTCGATATTCCTTGACTTGGGGAGTTCCAAGTATCAATTTCTCTATCCGCCTGACTGGTCTGTCGAGTCAATGCAAATCGCTCCAAGTCTCTATATGGCCGACTCCACAGAGGCCATCTCTGCGTCTCAGTGGCAACGTCGTCACTGCCACTCTCTCAATCCTGAGCACAATCTGGTCTCATGTAAGGACATCATGGCCTCCTAGATCAGGCCAATAGCTTAGCCGACCATCCAGACCTCCTGTTAATTATCGCATCAACCATACTCGAGAGCGTTTCTTTCAATCCACGCCGACATCGAGGTCTCCTATATTCGTAGCATACTTGCCCCCTTATACCACTAACGATGTCGGTGATTTCGTGAAACGCCCAATGGCGCCATGTCTACGTCTGGATCTCAAGAGCCTCTGGAGCTGGTTTGTTGTAGAAAATGTAGGATACAACTTAGCTCACTGGTGAAATACCCTTACAAAAAGTATTCTTAACAGCCGGCGTGATGCTTCCCCCTGGTAAACTTCTACATGTTGTTTTTGCGTACCAGTGACCCTATCCATCGCCTTCTCTTGAGTCCCAGAAACAACAATAGCAGAGCACGGAGAACAAGACAACTCAGAATTGAAAAACTCCATACTAAGGCAGAGGCCTTCTGAGGTGCTCGAACGAGAAGGCTATTATTCTCCTCCTCCCTTTCCTCTGGTACCTGAATGACAAGCTACCTACAGTCATCAGACACTGATCGCTGCCGTGGCTCTTCCTGTTATCCGTGGCAGAAAGGTGACAAGAATTATACGGCATTACGTTTCTAAAAATTGGCGAAGGTGATATTCTACCACCACATATAAGTGGCAATTATTAACTGACCCGCAGGGAAGGAAACGAAACCCCGGGCCAACGTATATGATATGACGGATCACCTGTTTTGCCCTGAGGTCGCACTCGCAAATACCCCGTCTTTAGCAGCGAGTTAGGCATCGCCAAAAAACAAAATGGTCGAGAGTGGCCAACAAATCGTATTCCTCGCATTTTGAAGATCACGATCGATACGGAATTACGGATCCAGATCATGTTGCTAAACTCGCTGCACAACGTCAACCATCTAGATTCTAGTATTTAAGAACAGCCATCCGGTTCAAAATGTTTGTTTTCAGTTTCCTCTCGCATGATCCGCAAACACCCCATATACCATTGTCACCACCAGAATCTCTACTATGGCTCGAATTTTCCTTTCATTGATATCAGCTCTCTTCGGCACTTTAGCAATTGCCAGTATAGACTGCCGGCCCAACGGCCCGGTAGTCCCTCGACCAACCGACTTGGCCAATTCTCAGGTGGTTACCTCCGCCTTGGGGGATTTGACCAATTTACTCCAGCAGGCAGTCGACGGCGATGTTAAAGGGTCGAACCTAGCGAACAGCTCATTCTCAGTAGCATTGATTTCTTTTTCCCAACAAGATGCGGCCATCCCAATTTGGGAATTCCACCACCTCTCACCCGCCAATGTAAATGGCACCAAGAATCTAGACCGAGACTCTCAGTATCTCATCGGCTCAGTTTCTAAAGTCTTCACCGATCTCGTTCTGCTCAAGAGTGGAATCGACCCAGATACCCCTGTGCGGGAGTATCTGCCGTCGCTGGAAGATGGTCGCATCAGCTGGAGGGACATTACACTAAAGGCACTCGGTAATAACTTAGCAGGAACTCCGGCAATCTGTAAGTATTGAGAGACTGTTGGTCATGAATACAAAGCTGATCACTGTCTCCTCCAGACGGTTTCTCGGAATACTATTACATTAAGGAAGTCTTCGAACTCCTGGGTTTCCCACCCCTAAACAATTCGGAATTCCCAGAGTGCGGAGTCATCGGCCTAAATAGCGATTGTGATGCGCAAGGTCAGCACAATATATAACTCCATCATCCATCATTGAACCCAGAAAATTTAACCAATTCAAATCCAGGACTGCTGCGAGGGCTACTCGATTCATACCCCGTCTCACTGCCGGCTCAATCGCCCGTCTACTCCAGCCTCGGCTACTCTCTCCTTGCAATTGCCTTGAAAGAAGCTACTGGAAAGAATTACACGCAGCTTCTAGACGAGCTTGTAATCCAGCCGCTCAGATTGACAAACACAGGCGCCAGCCCAGGCGTTAACGACAAGGCAGTTATCCCCCCTGGCCAGACATCATGGGGAGGCGATTTCGGCCTGAACGCCCCGTGAGTACCTTTCCTGTAAAAGGAATAAATACACCACGCCATTACTGACACGCTATTGTAGTGTTGGAGGCCTATTCTCCTCAATCTCTGATCTCTCCGCTCTCACCCATGCCATCCTCTCACGCTCCACGAAGCTCTTCGAATCCCCAAACGATGTCAACGCATGGCTGAAACCGTCTTCCTCACTAGGATCCCTCAACTTCCTTGTCGGCTTCCCATGGGAAATCCTCCGCACCGCCCAACCACCCCCATGTTGTCGACGTCTACGGAAAAGGAGGCGGTTCGTGGGGTTATCTATCGCAATTGAACATCATCGACGAGTACGGCATAGCGTTTGTCGTCCTCACCGCCGGTGCGGCAGAGGCCATGTATCCCATCTCTGACGCCGTCCTTGCCACCGTGGTACCCGCCGTAGACGAAGCTGCCCGCCAACAAGCCGAGAAATACACTGGCCTGTTTTCCGGAGAAGCTAATGGCGTGGTGGTCAATGCCACGGTCGAGCTCGACAGCGATTCTATCGTCATTCGGTCCTTGTACCGTGACGGACACGACATGTTGGCGGGCATACAGGAAATTTTTAAGTATGCATACGGTGATATGCTCGGTCTCCGCGTAGAGACGCCGCGTCTATTCCCTACGGGGATCGAGGAGGTGATGGAGGTGGCGGCCGAAGGTTGCGATTCGGCCATTTCGGCGATCCGCGAAGATTGGAGGCTGACTTGGAGTGACTTCACTCTCCTCCAGGAGCCGGGGTTGCCTGCTGCTAATTTGAGTACACAGACCTGCTTGAGTTGGAGCGGGGCTGACTGGGTGCACTATGGCAAGCAGCCCTTGGATAGATTTGTTTTTGTAAGAGACAAGAAGACTGGGGATTTGCTAGGATTCGAGGCTCCATTCCTGCGGTCTGGTTTGCTTCAGAAAGTGAACTAGACGCACAACCTCGTCGACGAGGTGCGAGTCATGCGACCCTGTAACGTTATGATGACCGGTGGAAAGAAGAGAACTACTTACAGGGACCGACTTTCATTAAGATAGTTATCGCCAGGTCTTTAAATCTACTATTGTTGGACTTAAGATCTTATATATATATATATATATATATGGTCCGGTGCACCTGTATAGACATCTTTATTTAATGAGAGACGCTGTGGGCCATACACCATGTACTATATAGCGCCTAGTGGTAAAGGCAAGAGGAAAGCTGAGCGAACTGAGAGAGTCAATGTTATAATTATTTCCTCTTGCCTGCCCTCCCTATTATTTTGGCCGCATGGGATTCTAGCCCATGATGATGAGATCTGTACTCTGTCTGAGTGCGCGTATATGTAGAACTCCCCCTAGAATATCAAAAAAGAAAAAATGTTGAAATCTCCCGAACCTGAATCGAACAGGTGACCCTCTGATTGAACCGTTGCCATTACAGTCAGATGTCATGAACCAACTAGACCATCGGGAGTTTTTGCGATTAGTGCCTTGGTACCGCCAACGCTGGTTCATTTCACTGCCGCATAGCCGGACGCGTGCAGCACCCAAGTCGGCCAGTCAGAGACTAAAACGGCTCTAATCATTCGACCACAACCAGGCTCATGCGCAGTGATAAATAAAGGAGGTTGGCTCAGGTGGTCTTGGCCTTTTGTGGATGGAAAGGCCATTGCTTCGTGTATGTATACTCCCTGTCCCGAATCACAATACCTACCGCAAGATTTGCTTACTTTGCATTAGGGAACAGGGCTTGCGTCGAACGTCATTTGATGGATTTTGCCAGTCTGCAGGGTTTAATGCACGCATGGGTTGGCAGTGCTGACAACTTGCCGGGATCGGCTGCTGCGACGTGACGGCTCCCATGGACCCTGCCCTACTGTAGAAATGAGGGAAGAAACGGCAAGACTCATGGGCCCGTCGGAAGGATCCATGAGAATAAATTGGAAAGGCTTCCTTCGTTTTTATCAGGATTTGCCCTACTATGTTTCAAGTTCTTGCTCTTCCTTTATATCCGCATAGTATTCACAGAAAGCAATGAGTTTGCCACAATTTGAAGAACGGAAGACCCCCGTAGCGACAGAAAGCATTGTCGAACCAGGCCCGGTGACCGACGCGTCAGGCCCTAGTTGTGAGACTGAGAATCACTTGTTCTGTGCCCGTGGCCACTCGAGTGCTGGTAAGCCAAAGGAGAGGGCGTGTTCCTTCTTAGTCGGGCCCGGAGTTGCCCTGAATCTATAATGACGTCGCTTTTCCAGGAAACGTACTACAAGGGAATTGGCTGCGAGATGAGACGCAAATAAAGAACTTTGTCGATGTTAGTTGAAGTTGTCCAAGAAGCCAGATGATGCCTCACTGTGCATGTAGAAATACTAACAATTGCTACCACTTAGAAAACTACTGAAGCGGAGATAGAGCCGGGATGCTTCACTTTAATGTACTAAAAATAGACTGCTGCCTAGGTCGAGGATGATGCTGCCCCTTCGCCATGCACTCCATCAGCATCGCTAATTGCAGTTTCTCCTAGTGCCACTACCGGAACAGGGACGGTAGATCCCATCGGTGCGAAGCGGGAGGTGCTCCAAGAGATTATAGGCGCCCTCGATTTCCACAGAAGAGTGGAAGGTCTCATCCCTTCCTTGCGCGGGGTGTTCGCCTGTTTCCGAGGTGCCAACAGGGGAGATTCGGCGCCCATCACGTTACGTAGGGATACCATGCTGTAGAGACAGATGTTCTCGGGTTGGCTCAAAGACTCTAACTCAACTGCACAGACGTCATCTTCTGCTCTCCAAAATATCCTGTCCGCGAGATCTTTTTCACCCTCAGGATTCAATTTAGCGCCGATGGACGCACAGTCATGAACACGCGATGTCTTTTGTTCGACAATCTGCCGAACAACCATTCCGAAAACGAAAAGGTAGTCCCTATGAATAGAGATGGACACCTGGATCGCATTCTAAGTGCCCTGGAGATCGACTCCCACTATGGAACCCCGGCATGGTACCACCCTTTGACGGCAACGCTAGCATTGGTGAGGGAATGCAAATGGTCCTGCTCCGTGAGGCAAGAAACTTTGAATGATTACATTCTTTCTACGGAAAGAGCCACCAATACGGCTGCCTGGACCAACGAGCCCCAATTATCGCCTTGGAGAAGCAACTTCATGGAGAAAACCGTCAAGCTGCAGCTCTACAGGACAAATCTTTCTATTGTCACCGACTCGCTGGATTTCCTGCTGGGTGTCTGGGACTCTGTCTCGGAATGGAGTCAGGGCAATGAGGGCTTCAAAATAGTGAGGTTGGACCGCGGCCCCTCCTGCTCTTCCGAAAGTCTTGCCGGGCTCCTCTGGAGAACGTTAAGTCAAGAACAGAGACTTGAGGCGCTAGACGACCTTTCGTTTGAAAGGTACACCACATCGAGGATGAAGAGCCAACTAGAAAGCTTGAATGGTCGGTACGAGGCTCAATCTGGCCTAGTAAGCAACCCCCCGCTTAACGTCGACAAGGAGAGTCCGTTTGTCTAAAGAAGTGTTCCATAGCTTGACTCGCTTGTTTCGCAAAATGAGAGTCAGCAGTCCGCCGTGCTGTCTGTCATCGCACTAATTTTCGCGCCTGCTAGCATCATACTGGTAAGTCAATGTCATATTATATATAGTACACGCAAACCCGACCGAAGAAGAATAGACTAACACGACTCGGCTAGAGTATATTCAGCCTCCCGTTCGTCACGTACCCCACGGAGCGCGAGTGGAGCATCCGCCTCTTCATCGAAGTCATTGTGCCTTCTTCCGTCTTGCCCGTCCTGTTGGGGTATCTCTACCTCATACGCCACGACATATTTGGCGTTATCGACAAGTTTGCTAGGACCACTTTCGAGTTTATTGGGTTCGCAGACCGTGGTGAGTATTCTAGGGGGATGTCGGCAGCAAACCGCCCGCAGTTTTGGGAGAAAGAAGGTAGTGCTCGAGAAGGACCTCGGGTATGAGCCTCCTTCCGCTTCTAAAAGGGGGATACACGGGGAGGTTGGTGGTTTTACGTCCCCGGGGGGTTTGGTTAGGGTCGTCAGATTCCATTGTGTTCATCCATCCGGAATACACTATAGTACTTCGAAATGGTATAGGTGCTCTCTATTTGCTACTCTTCGCTAGTGCTGGGTTTCCGCAGCAAGGGTTTCTGCTGCGACTAACTTTCAATGCCATATTGTACGCCAACACTCCTCAATCTTGGGCCACTTGTCGCCTTGATCTTTCCTCGATGGCTAGTGCCTATAAGCTTATTCCATCCATTGCCTCGGATTCTTGCCCACCCCATCCCCACACAAAAGTTGACAGAGGTACTCAATGCGGAGTTTAAAACTTTAGTGAGATGTGGGGGAAGATTCAGGAATTGATTTTTCTCCCCGTAGAGCCTTAATACTTGCCATGACGGGAGCGGACGAAAACTCCGCCCAGGAGCAGTAATTACAGATCATTATCTCAGGTATGGTACCGGGATAATTGGGGTCGCTTGTTCGAGTGTTTATAACTAGTTACTTGATATCAAATTTCGGGACCACCACCAAGTTACTTGGAAAGAAATAACTAAAACATAAGATAGATGCTATAAGAGGAAGGAGTATGAACTAACTTTGAGCTTTCTTAATTCAGCAAGGTTCTGTCATGACTCAGCTATAGTATTTGTTGGACAACAGCTGGCGAAAGGGAGACATTGAATTTTGGTAGCTATTATTGGGCCCAGTTTTTCGTACTCGACTTGATTCATGGTGGCGTCGCCATTTGTGCTTGATCTTGCATCACGCTCCCATGTACCCCCTCTTCACATCTGCAACGTTCCGGTAGACAATAATCTAATATGCAAGTCCCTGCTCTCAACTTCCAAGCAGTCATCGTCGTCGTCGTCATAGGAGCACACGAGACCCGAGAGACAAATTCGGCATGTCCCAAACAACACAGCTTCAAATCGCTGTCATTGGGGCTGGTATAGCTGGGCTTGCCACTGCCATCGCCCTAAAAGACCACCCGAACGTTGACGTGCAGATCTACGAACAAGCGGGAGAACTTCGAGAGATCGGAGCTTCTATCGCGCTCGGACCAAATGGTTTGAGAACTCTTGAAAGGCTGGGCGTGCACAACGCGTTGGATAACTCGATTGCTTTCAGAAATAAATCCGGACACCCTATGATATACCGGTAAGCCAGCTTGCTATCTAATACTTGGCTATATGGGCCCCCGACTGAATATGGGATCAGCCATTGGAAAACCAACGAAATTGTCTCGGCAGACTCTCACCGCGGTGATGTGGAGCCTCGCCATCATACAGCTCGCTTCCATAGGGCACATCTCCAGCAGGCGCTGCTGCAACATGTAGATCCTTCGACGATTCACCTGAAGAAAAGCTTCAAGTCTGTGAAGTTTGACAACGCAACCGAGAAACTAGTTATCTCTTTTACCGACGGTACCACAGCGGCGGCTGACCTTCTTCTCGGTGCAGATGGTATTCACTCTCTTGTTCGCACATCATTTCTCCCGACCTCGGGCACCGCTTGGACAGGGTGGCTTGCTTTCCGCTCGGTATTTCCCATCTCTCACCTTTCTCATCTTCCAGAGATACCAGATGAGGCAACTCACTATTGGGGACCAGACCGGACCTTTTTCGTCTCAAAGCTCGGAAAGGACTTGTTCACTACTGTTGCCAGTTACGACAGCGATCCTCACGCTCCTGATGCAGCTGGCACAACCTCCAAATGGGACACAGAGGGTGACGTTAATTCTCTCAAGGAGAAATACAAAGACTGGAGCCCGCAGATCCGCAGCATCGTTGATGCGATACCCTACACCAGGGTTTACCCGAACGTAGCGGCCCATGGACTTGACACTTGGGTGCTCGGCGATGGGAGAGTCACTCTTGCGGGGGATGCAGCTCATGCACACGGCGGCGCGTTTGCAGCCGGTGGAAGCTTGGCTCTTGACGATGCTTGGGCTTTCGGTGCTTCCATCCGACAGGTCTTTCCGGAAAATGCAACGGAGCTGCCCACTGATAGAATAGCAACAGCACTCAAGTTGTATGAAAGAACTAGAAAGGCGCACACCGACAGGCTGATAAAGATCGTGAATGATAACAATAAGAAGAGGCTCGAGCGCTTAGGACAGACGGAAACAGACGAGGAGTTGAGAACCAGGATGAAGAGCCGAGCCGATACGAGCTGGATTCACGAGCATGATGTGGTGGCTGCTTTCCAGCAAGCTCTGGCAAGTGAGCCCAGTCAGGTCTAAGTCGCTTGGGTCCAGCCCACACTATCTCAAGGTTGTGTAACAATTTATGGTTCATAATAGTCGATAGAACAACTGAGTCACATACACTTACCTATTTTTGGGTTTGTAGAGAAAGCCGTAATCTAACTAAGGTGGCGAGGTTTGCATTGGTCGCCCTAGCAGTCATCAGAAAACCTGGGAAAAGCGATCGTTTCGATCCCATATTAATGAGTCCTGGATAGGGTTTTCGCGGTGTAATCACAACTGAAGTATGCCTCAGTCGCAATGTTGCCATCTTTATTTCAGTGAGTTTACTGACTGTGGTTTCCTTCCGTAGGTGTTTAAATCGCCTATTTGCCTCGATCTGGGAGGTCGATGGGCTTGCCATTCGGGGTTGACCAAAGTTCAATGCATGGATTCTCCGGCTTGAGTGACAGTTCTTTGTCTTAGATGGTAGATGAGGATCGCCACTGAATTGACGGGAGAAATACCCTCCATTATTCCTTTCCGATGGCCCAATCGGGGAGTCCAGAGTCCAGCCTGGTCCTGGCAATGCAGGTCATGTTGTTCGTGTTCAGAGCTGAAAGAAAGGATGCAAACAGCCTCCTAGTCTCGACCAATCAGCCGGGCAGCCCGGGATCCTCAACTTCTCGAGAAGATTTTCCATAGCCATCGAAGCAGCCGAAGTATTTCTTACAGCCATCCTTGAATAGTCCAAGAAAGACCACCGGACAAGGCGCGGACGTCAGAGCTCCGAAGCCAACAGCCGGCGCGATGGATATAGAACTGACGAGATACAGAATTTCCTTCTTGCTGCCGGATGGGAATTTGCATAGCGGTCAGCGTTATGTAACATTTACCTTGTGTGGAGTAGGAAAGAGGCTGGTGGGGGTGGGGATGGGGAACGATCAAGTTATCTGCTTATCTCGCGCCGATGCCTGTTTTAGGAGTCCTTATGTATTAGTTTGCCTTTACTGGGGCAACAGATATTGCAGGCAGCTCTCCTTACAGCATTCCGGAAGGCCCTATCGCAGCATTCTTTGCAAAGTGACATTTTGTAATTCAAAGTCCAGATAAGTCGGTGGCCGTTGAGTTGCCAAAACCAGAATGAACCTGGGGAGGGCGCGCTGCTTTATATAGTAGAGGACGTGTACGCGCTTACTGCAGTCGGCGAGGATCAACGCCAGCCATTACTACTACCCAATGTGCAAGTTGGGCCTTGATGCTGCGAGCGAGCAGCCGCGAAGTACAATAATTGGTACTTTGGACCGTCACACAATTGGCTTACAAAAAGGGAGAGGGCATCTCATCCGAGAGGTAGTCCTCCAATGCTCCCAACTGTCCGCCAAGCACCGGCGGCCTCACTATTTCCGACTGTTTAACTGGCCCGTCGACACACAGGACACTGGAAAGGCGGAAAAGGGAGTACGGAAAGGCTATGTCCAAGCGTGCCTGAGTTTGCGAGGAGTACCTATGCTAAGACATGACGACTGAACTCGGTGTCAGGTGTCGCTTCTATCAATTCGCCGTACATAATTCCGTGAACATATGCGGCCCCCACCAATGTGAACCGGTCGGCCGTTTTACTATCTTGTCTAAGGACAAAGGGAACCTCTGCTCCAGCAATGAGGACTACCATATCCCCTTTGGCAATGGAATCATGGCAGATGCCGACGTAATTTTTATCTCTGGTCCGGAAGATCCTCCGATCCCGATAGATAGAGTTGATGGCTGTGGTGACTTCCGCCGGTTTCTGCATAAGAAGCTTGATGAATCCGGGAACTATGAAAGGCAGGCGTTCTGTATCGCCGTCGCTGGGGCCATCGGAGAAGTATGATTCGTCATCGCAGACATTGTCCTCATTCTCCTCGCTCGAGATAGGGCGGAAGCACTTCGCAGGGAGAGCTTCCCTAGCAGTGGCGTAGGCACGCATAGATGGAAGAATCGGCGGGACCGAGGATCTTCGTTCGCATCCATTGCAGTCTTTTCATCGCACATCGGCCTTCAGGCGGTCTTTCAGAAGGCTATCCGGCTTGGCGCCGTGCTCTTTCTGCGGCTCATCCCCATGCGAGCGACGCCTGTACACTAGGTAATCGGTGGCCGGCCTCATCCTTCCCATTCTTTGATAGCCCTCAGAGACCGGCATTGGATACACGTTGCTAAAGTGAGCCTTGAAGGATTTAACGGCATCTCGAAGTACGAGATTCGCGTTATTGATTGTTGTAGCGGGGGTGTCGACCTTATACCCCATGACGTTGTTCCCCAACCACATAGCAAACTTCCACCAAATAGAGGACTGGTCCCGCGGGACTCCGTCTCGGGTGAATTCTCCCAGACCAAATATTCCATTCAGATAGAATTCGAATTCGTCGCGCATCCTGCTCGAGGGGTCTCCAAATCGGCGGAGTAGCAGCGGGCGGCGCTTGAAAACATCCCCTGTCATGCTCCTAAGAACGGCATCCATACTCGTCTCCCACCTTCCCATTTCCCTAGCGGGCTGGTACTCGTACTTGAGTTTCGAGATAAGGTCTAGGATGTGCCCTTCTAGTCTCGAGAAGTTGTAGATGTTGAGCTCAGCAAACGACTCATCAACTTGCTCAACGACATCTACCTGTGCCGCCAAAACGGCCAATGTCCAATTGGAAGGGTCGTCCCTTGAGCACTCTCCTACGTCGAACATAGTTGGCTTGACGTACGTCGCGGCTCTGAAGTGTGTGCAGCCGTAGAACCAGAAGGGCTTAGGTAGGAGCGGATTTCGTAAGTCAGGCACCCAGGAAGGGAGCAGCGGCTGTGCATCTTTATCAGCACTCCTGGTAGTGCCCTTCTTGTTGCTCACAGGCTTCCTGACCGAGAAAGGAAACCACGAAGAAAATCGGACTCCAGCCTTAGATTGGGAAGCCGATCTCTTGGTTCCTTTCTCCCTGTGTTTGGTACCTCTAGCGGTCCTATCCGTCTCGTAGACGGGGTTTCCGACGAGCTGTAGGACATATGACCAGCCGTATTCCCCAGCCAGCATTCTTGCAGACCTCAAGTACAGGGCGTCTAGCGGCTCTGGCGAGTACAGATCTTGAGATCCGCCAGGCTGTAGCACGTCTCTCTCATCTTGGCTCACTAGGCCAAGCAAAGAAAATACCTTATCTTCTGGGCATGATGTTTTCCGATCTCGGCAGAGAAAAGCAAAGTCCTTAAACTTCCACGGCCGGCGGGGAAGGTTGGGATTTGGTCGAGCACCCAAAGAGGTAAGACGAGCGGTGCCCGAGGGCTATGAGTGACAGACCCGTGTTATGCTTTCGATCCCTTAAGGTATCCCCGGCTCTCACACCTCCTCCCTTCATCACCCTCCCCGTCTCCTCTCATACACCGTCACTTCACTGTTCCTATTTCTCTCGCTTCCTGCCGGACTTATCTTAACAGTGGAATCCCTTCTCTCATGTCTTGTTTGCCAACTGCGTTCGACATCCCCGGTCCGGATATCGCTACAGACCCCCTACGGACGCCGACTAGATCCTGCCTCTCATTAACGTCTCACGCCATATATGTCGGCCTATCATATGCACCTGCCTTCTGGACTAGCATGAAATCCTTAATGTGCAATCGGAGATGGCAAGGGTTAAGGCAATACTGCTGATGTGGCCTTGTCTTCCTGCGCCACGTGATCCGCGGTTCTCAGGTAATCTATAAATTTCAGACAGGTGACGCAAATCGCTCGCAGTTTGCCCAAAAGAGCCTTGAGGAACGAAGAGGGATTTGGCAATTTTCAAGGTGCTGGAACAACTAAATTAAATAGCCAAGAGTTCGAAGTTGGTCGGATTAAATTGAGGGAAAAAAGGTATGAGCGGTTGTAGGGTTAGGGTTAAGACTGCATTTATACGAGGGTCGTATTGCAGGGCTCGCGTCCCTCGTGGTGTCTCACCAAATTCTACCCCGCACGGGAGAACAAGGCAGAAAACGTACGTAAGCGGCGGGTCTGGCGGATGTGATGATGCCAGCAAATACCGGTATCTCCCCAAGCTAGCTATGTCGGACTTCCTGCCCGACGCCTTGCGGCTCTACTTAATGCTTAGAAAGCATCAATCGTCGCATGGTAGATCTGCAAGATCTCACTCGATTTTATTGTCTGCAGCCAACGAATGCTTCCCCAGATATCCGGCCTGATGTCACTCGCGAGTACAAGGCAGCCGCCAGCACCTACCAGAAGCTCCACCTGCACGACGTGCCAATTTTGGGCCAATCTGGCTACTACTTTTGAGACAACACTGGATCGTCTGGAAAGTACTGCAAGAGAAGGATGCCCGCGGTGTTCATTTCTTGCGAAGTGCCTTCGCAGCTCCGCAACGGGAGTTGCTAGCACCAGTCGCCTGAATATTGCAGGCTTCATCTGTCACGTCATTCAAACTCATGAGGAGAATCATGATGAAGAGAATCAGCCGTGCATACTTGAGATTTTCTCGACTCAAGGTGAGCTCTCGGATCCGGTCTGAAAGTCTGCAAAAGGCATCTTCATGAAAGACCACAGTCTTGGCTTGCAGACAGGGATGAATGTTGAATTTGCTGCCGCTGGAGACATAGACTAGATTACTGACTGGTTATTGTACATGGTAGATGAAAAGCGGACCCCGTTTCACCCACACTGCCTTCCTGTAGGACGTCTATTACCCGGAACAACGTCTTCTGAGGCGACATTTGAGACTATCAAAAACTGGCTCGAAGATTGCATCAGCAACCACGCTGTTTGCAATGAAGCCAATTCGGACGCGACCAGCATCAAGCAATTTCCGAAACGCATACTTTATCTGGGGAATGACCGGATCGTACTGAGAGAAAACATCCAGCCAACTGTTTACGCTTGCTTGAGCCATTGCTGGGGTCTCGTCGGTGACATGCTGAAGACAACGGCGGCTACGTTGGATGCATTCAAGGTTGATGTGCCATGGAGCAACCTCACGAACACTTTCCGAGATGCTGTCACTATATGCCGTAATTTGGATATCCATTTTCTCTGGATTGATGCTTTATGTATAGTGCAAGACAGCGAGGGTGATTGGAGAGGGGAAGCAGCTAAAATGGGCGATATCTACGAGAACGCTTTCTTCACGATTGCCGCTACCAGGTCTAGATGCAGCTCTGGCGGTTGTTTTGCAACAACGGAACCTGATTTCCTCGCTCACGCCGTCCCAGGTGAGCAAGATGTTTATATACGACGCTTTCCTCCTATATTCTCGGGTTTAGGGTTGCAGTTGAATCGCAAGTTGTGGCCGCTTTTGAACCGGGGTTGGGTTTATCAAGAGATGCGTTTATCACGTCGCGTGCTGCATTACTGCAGCCAAGAGGTCATATGGGAATGCCGCAACAATAGGAAAAGCGAGAGTGCACGGAACGATCAAGACCACAGCCGTGCCATACCATTTTCATATGTGCTGGACCCGAATATTCCTTACTGGATGGCGGCTAAGGAGCCCAGAGAGTTATGGTATCGAACCGTATACGAATATTCACGGTCACAGCTCACCTTCGAAAAAGATCGGATGCCGGCTCTAGCTGCCTTAGCTGAGCGGATGGGGCGTCTGAGGCCTGCCGATAGATACTGCGCAGGTATTTGGGAGAAGAGCCTACCCCTTGATCTCCTGTGGAAAGTAGTGACGCCAGCCTCGGAAAGATCAAGGGTTCGGCGTTGTCCTACATGGTCATGGGCATCAGTTCAATCTGCTGTCGAATGGAGCTTTGCCACCAACTCTCTCCTTAACAACTTCGAAGTTGTCGATATTCACTATATTCCGGTTGGGCCTCCTTATATGGGTGAGTTTTCCGTAGCTAGTCTTGATTTACGAGGTCTTTTAGTTAGAGCTACTTTGGTTGATCGGGAGACACTGGCCCTAGATCACTGTCCCGATTGTCTTAAAGATGTTGTCTTATGCGGATTTAGGCCTGACTACGACTACTCTTTTCCTGGAGACCACCACGTCCCTTCCGGATCTGAGGTTTTCATACTGCCTATTGGCATATCTGTGATCTACAATTTTTACGCTGGAATAGTGTTACGAAGAGAACAAGATAGAACGTCTTACGAAAGAATTGGGTATGCTAGGCTTGAACACAAGAATCTTTGCGAAAATTACACCGGCCGGGTTGTTGTACGGAACGCGGCTGATGCCGAAGTTCTAAGACAGACTGAGGAAGAACTCATGGAGCATTTGAATTACGTTTTTATGAACTTACCTGTTACTGAAGTAATAATATTCTAAAGTCCCTCTCTTGCTGACTGGGCACTTAGTCTCCTATTTAGCTTAAGGGTACTAGTATACACTATATAAGGCCTCGGATCACAGGTTAGATTTCAGCATTCTGCTGCCTCGCAGTTAGTGCAGTTAGCTTTTTACTTACCCTATCTGAATATGAGCGATAACTTAGTCGAGTAGGGTAGTGGCTAGGGTCCCACGCAATACGACCCGTATAGCTTGTACGCGCAACTGTCGCGGTGCCCGTCGCTGGATGGCATCAGGCTCCTGTCCAAGGCGCGAGAGAGGGACTTTGTGGGCAATAGAGTGCCGGATAACATAGTCGCGGCGGAGGAGAGGCTGGAGCAGCTGAGCGAGGAAACGATTAGGGATGCCGAGCTATGGGACTGGCCGGAAGAATATTGAAGATGGGAAAGGGAGGAGAAAAGAAGGCCTTAAGAAGGCATAAGAAGGCAAAGGAAGAAAAATAGGCTGGTTAGTATATTTGGTAGTTCTTTATGGATCCACTATACTGGTTAGTGTCGCTTTAGTAAGGAAGGGTATGTTCCTTACCTTAGTGACCTCATGTACTGGCCTGTCCCCTGTGGTTTTTAGATCGGTATGCTTTAGTGTCCGCAGGAGTTGTTCCTCAGGGCTTTCCTTTCTCTTTTCCTGCAGGATTGTGGTGTCGACCGTTGTAATAAGTGACTTCCACACATTTAGAATTGAGGCAGCGGAGTCAATGCCTCGTATCCACTTGTATTCCTCTGGTCCTAGAGTTGGGCAAAGGTATTCGGAGTCTTCGGTGTACGCTTGGAGGAATGTCTGACAATATGATTTTGCATCCTCATCGTTTCGGCACAAGTCATACCAAATGTTGTTAGGGTCGATCCCAACAACGTCGATGAAGTAACTAGGACGTAAATAATGTCAGTAATTGAAAGGCGACATGATTAGCTATCTACGTTTACACTCACGCGTTCCAGGCCTGCCATGCCCTCTTCCGGTTGTACTTGGTGCCATCGCCGACTTCGTACCTGTCCGTTGAAGAGTTTGATTTATTCTGCTGGAAGAGCTCTTTTGCCCTTTGCTTCCTTAAGTCTAGGTGGCTGGGAGGAAGATCTGTGCTGAGGGGTTGGATCCCTTCCATGGATGGCTGGATAAGCCTGCTTGATGCAAACGCGCTCGGAGGCATTGGAGGGTAATTCATGGTAGAGGGAAGGGAAAAGAGCGTGGGAAGGGAAAAGAGTGTGGATCAGTCCGGCTTGAAAGGACGAGCTGGCCGGTATTTATCTTTTCCAGTGACGATGAATCCTAAGGACTGGTGTTGGTTCCTGAGTGGTTATTGCGCACGCCCTAGGGTGGCCTTCACGAGCCACGGTGTCGGTTGAAAACGGCGCTGGAAACGGATGGTGGGGGCCGTCCCCGCGAGCCGCCGTGCACCCCGGTCCACCGGCCGCGGCTGTGTCTCCGGATCAAAGGCTGCTATTGATGGTTACCACAAATCTGCCAACTTCAGAAGCATTTGATCCGAACATCGTGAATTAAATCGAAATATGTATATAAGCTACACAACCATCCAGTATCTAACTGTTCCTCAAGACTCTTCAGCAGTCAATTCAATTACAACTACACCGGTTACACTTGAATACGCACCTCTTATCATTCGTCACGGGCCTGCTGCTTGACTGCCTCGATTACCCTATTAAACAGGCACCTACGACCCTGATCTTACGAACCATAAGAAATCGAGGACTCGTCACATAAAGCTCTTAACGTCAACCAGAACATCGTATCAACTGATATAGGACTCCAATCTGATTACCTCCTGGGCGCGGATCTGGTGGGCGACCTACCACGTCTAGTCACTCTCCACGAATCAACATTACCAATTTGTAACCACTTGAAAAACATCCAAGGGCACATCGCGGCACTGCAGCACCGGGCTCTCCGACGGTCCCACGAGGTTGAGCCGCGGGTCAAGCCCGTGGTTTGGACAGACGATGGCGCGCCCGACGAGCACAAACTTGCCTCCCGACGCCTCACGCCGCAACACAACGGCCGAGTAGCATCCGTCTAGCCAGGCCAGGTAGTCGCCGTCCTCAGCCTGGTCCGTGATGATGCCCAAGACCAATCCCACAACCCCCTGGACGGAGAAGAGCCGGTATTTGTCCCACGACTGCGAGGGGTCAGCGCCGTTCAGTGCTGTTTCTGGTATTGTTACTGGGTGGGAAGGGCGGCCCAGTGGATGCAACACTCCCCGCAATCTGGAGTTGGCTTCTTTGTCGTCTTCGTCTTGACCGGCATGATAGCAGTAGTTGAACACGATGCGCGGCGGCTGCTGCTGCTGCTCTGCCCCCTGTTCTCTGACATGGTAATCGAGCGTGCGCATCGCATTCCACGGCGCCGACTGCAAGACTTCGTTGACCTGATAGTCATACATCTGAAACGGGTGCACCCGCTGCTCCAAGATCAGGCCAAGTTCGAAACTTCCGGGATCTTTTCGGTACTCGCCCAGCGCTGGCCCAAATTTGAAGATCGGTGATGGTTTGAAGAGGGAGACGCAGAAGGGCCTGTTAGCGACGAAGTTTGCGTCCTGGCTTTGCGGGTGTCTTGAGGTGTGAAGCTCGCGCGAAACGTCGCCATTGGGACCCGAGCCGAAGGCCCTCTGCATCCGGTTACTCAGAGCAGCCAATGTGGCCCAGTTGACCCCGCCGTGGCGGTTGACCAAGGCAAAGTGCAGCACATCCAAGTACACAAAGGCGAGAGGCTGACCATAGCGAAGCGGCATACCACCCGCGCCCCCTGACACATCGCTGGCGAGGCTAAACAGCCCGTAGACTTTGTCCCTGGGATCTCCGCAGGCATTCCGCCAATAGTCGTGCAAGAGATCAACCAGCGGGCGCCTATTCTTCTCCACGCCCCTAGACATGCCGTTCTTGAGGAGGGTGGCGAATTGGCTGCGGAAGATGTCTGAAAAGCCGGCAGCCAACCTGTCCTCTTCCGGGTCTGTGGATATATTCTCCTCCGGGATACTACTAAATTGGTCTTTGTGGTCCTCCTCCAGGGCGCGGAGGTGATTCCGGAGCAGATCCCACTGCACCTGTCTGCTGCCGCAGTAGACGTGGATCCTTCTCGCAAAGGTGGCCTCCTGGATGACCCAGATGCGGTCCAGTATGGCCGCTCCGAAAAGGCCTTGAGCTCGGCGAGGCGCGGCTTCCACGTGTAGATGCCGACGAACTCACCATTGGTCGTCTTCAGCTCAGGCCGCTCGTCATCCCCGGAGAGACTTGACTTGCCGAGCACGTCAAAGACTGACTTGGCCAAGGGCGCTGGTGACTCCTCCGGACCAAGCCAGATGTCGACGACGGTTGCGTGCGTGTAGATGGTCTCCATCAGCGGAACCTGGTAGTTCTTGTCGTCGTTGTCGTCCTGGTTGATGCAGATGGCATCGATCCACAGAATTCGCGGCTTGCTCGGATGACGGAGGGCCATCAAGGTAGCGTGTAGGTTCGGTGTGACGTTGAAGTTTTGTTTATCGAGCCGGATGCTAAGCAGCGAGGTCGCGCCCCCCCAAGTGTATGAGAGGGCTTCGTAGGCGATTGTTTCACCGTGCGCTGACAAGGACACTGGAGAAAGGAACTCGCAATCAATACCATTGTACGGTTCTGGCGGCGGTGGCGGTGGCGGTGGTGAAGGTTGTGGTGGGAATAGGCGCTTGATTAAACGTAAACAGGATACCAGGGGAACACATTCGCAAAATGTGTCATCTTAGGGTGGTGGTAGTGGTGGTGGTGGTGATGGTGACGAGGGTAAGAGTTTGAGAAGGCGAATCTGCTCTTTCGCCTGGTCGAGAACACCGTAGCGGAAGTCGGGATTCATGATGGGGCGATTTATCATTTACGGGATACCCAAGCGCCACTGCTTGTTGGTATTGCGGGGGATGAGAACATGGATTTGATAGTGTCAACAGAATCAGAGGGACTGGACTTTCTTGTAGTCGGGCCTCAACTATCAGATTGCATGTGTATCCACCGATTTGGGGAGGATCGTGTGTATTGATTGAGTCGATGTGTGTTTGTGTCCTCTCCGGGAACCTCTCCTCAGAACGGCGTGGCCGTGGGTTTTTATCCCGTCATAGAGGCCCAACATGCTCTACCGAGCATCATTGGTCACCCTTGCATCTGATAGTACTTGATAGAACCTGTATTCTAAAATCAGCCTCGTGCATCCAGGAATCCTCCGCTAGCAAGTTCATGACATTGATTCGTTACCCAACCGAATTCAACCACATAAATACAGCCAAGGTTTCGCTGTTCGCTGATTATTGGCTGCGTTACTGTAAAATCAGCAGGCTTTCAGCCCAACTCCGCAGTAACTGCGCAGTATAAAGCGGTTTTCTCCTCGCTGGACACATCCAGGTTCGGTTTGAGAAACTATTTACTTGGCTCTAACTGTGATAGGTGGGAAGCTGGCGTGTATTAATTTATACTTAATCCCCTAGAAGAGGTCTCCCTCTGGAAAGCATACTTAGTCCTTGGTTGCGACACCGAGTGCCCAACTTTCATCCAACAAACTGAGTGGCAGCAGTTCACCTAACCTACTGCTCGATTAGACTGACTGTCCTAACTAATCCCGATTAAACCGTAGATGTTCTCTCTATATGATCGACATTTCCGAGCTCCATTTCCTTCGCAATGGCAGCCTTTGCCATAGTTTCGGTGCCCGTGCAGACGTACGTCTTGAACTTCCTAGCCGGGAGCTTAGCCTGGAACATCTCGTGAATTTCTTCGAGGGTGCGGTCGCGAGTCTCGGGTATAAAGAAGTAGGTGAAGATGAGTAGGACCGCGTTTGAACCAAACCAGATATAACTAGTATGATGAGGCGTTAGCAGGATTCCCAGAAGATAGTCGGGACCAAGATTGAGAGACGAACCCGTATTTGGCGCGCCATCCAAGACTAGCGGGGTTGATGAAATATGGCGCAGTGAAAACACCAAGCCAGTTCCCAAGGAAGTTGAGAGCCGTAGCGACTCCGTAGGTGTGAGCACGGAGATGGTTGTTGGGGTACTCGCCTCCCAGGAGCCAGGCATATGGTGCTAATAAATAAGTTCCCATCCAGTCAGTTTGCCGTAGCGTAACAATAATGGAGGCAAGATCAAGGCTTACCATAGGCTACGTAGGCGAAGGTGAACAGCGATATGAAGGCGATCACAGCCTTGGCGGCAGCGGCACTCTCTGGCGCCACCGTCCATGCAACAGCAAACGCGAGTTGGCAGCAGCCACACGCGCCAACGCCAAGCATGACAATGAGGCGGCGGTCGAGACGCCGAACAAAGAATAAGCTGCTGAGAACACCGATCAGACCCATGCAGGTCACCATGGTGGAGTAGGCAAATGCCTCCTTGACGCCTGCGACGTCGAGAAAATAGGTGGTGTAAATGTTCAACCATGAGGAGCCTGGAGGGAGTTAGTACGAAAGTGAGTCGCTCTGGAAATGTGATGCAGAGGGTATTGAACAGACCATTTGCGCAGTGGAAGCAGATAATCGCAATGGAGAGCAGGGTTCGACGGAGGTCGGTTCCCTTCCACATCTCGATCCATAGCTTCTTGTTTGCGCTATTCTCTATCTGCTCGGCGGTCGAGATGCGGATCTCATTAAATTCCGCTTGGAACTCGCTCTCCTTGATGCTCCTGTTACGGAGCTTCCTCAGTGATGCCTCAGCGTCGTCCTCTCTCCCCTGGGTCATCAGCCAGCGAGGGCTTTCGGGGAAGAAAAAGAGGGAGATCGTCTGGATCGTAGGCACTACGAAGAAGACAGCCAAAGGAATACGGTACGCCTCCTTTCCTTGCATGAGATGCGTGCCGTAGTCGACGGCTGCGCCCACGATGGAGCCGGAGGAGAGTTGGGTTTGGTATACGGCAAACGCTATACCTCGGAGATGAGCTGGGGCTACTTCGTTAACGTAGACCTGAGCGAAGGTGAGGAACCAGCCGACAGAGATGCCTTGGAATCAACCTCGTATTAACGACCGTAATCTCTAAAAGAAAAAGAAAAAAAGGGAAAAAGTCAAGGACAGAGTGCTCACCGAGGAGAAAACGGGCAGCGTAGAGGGCACCGATGCTCGTGGTCCCAAGCATCACAGCTGTCGAAACAAAGTTCAAAATGGAGGCTGACCACAAACCCATCCTTCGGCCAAATTTTGAGCTGAAGGGACCAACAAGCAGCGAGCCCACGAAGGTCCCGATAGTCATCAGCGACGAGATAAGCTGCTGTACGGTCGGGTCGATGGCCCATTTTTGCTTCTGTTCGTCATAGTAGCCATACACCCTGAGAAAGCCAGGCATCGCCATGAAGCCACCGACTAGGCCATAGTCTAGGCCATACTGGAAGCTGGCAAGGGTAACGATGAAGCAGATCAACAGACACTTCTTGTGGCTGCTGATATCCAGCTGCAACGGATTGGCGGAGATGACAGCCGCAACCATGTTGGAAACAAATGCGTTGTGGCCGGCCGGGAGAGTATGCTTAGGCCAAAAGTGTAGCCACTAGAGTGATGGATAGGTTGTGGTATGCTGCTGGGACGATAGAATAATATATGGTAATCACCGCCGCCTGACTGGTTCCTACAACGGTGATAGAGGTTGGAGATTGATCGTCAGGGACTTCCAGATTTAAGGATGTATTCTGCAAGACATGGCAATATGATCCTTCATGCGCACCTACCCTTTGTCTCGGGCCATAGACGCCGCGACGTCCCCTCACTTAACTCAATGAGCAGCAGTCGAGGCCGAAGTAAGAAGAGATTGACACTCCCGAACCTGTATGATTTCAAATCATCAGCGCTAAACGACTTCCTGCCCCTCGCCTTGGTCATTCATGACCGGCAGTTCGGTATGTTAAGCACGCTGATCGCCATGCGATGAGACCCACCCACGGCCGGGGAAAGACGCGGAGAAAACCATGCATCTCCAACCGCAAGTCGGAGACGGTGCAACATACCACCCACGAATCATATAGGGTCGGTATCTGCCATCCTAACCCACATCATTGCGGCCTGGCACTGCCGGAGCCTAAATCTAATTTCCATAGATGCTGATCGTATCCATCTTTGGACTATATTCCCCGCACTAAGAATGCACCCCACAAGCCAAGCCAGCGCGGTAATCCGTACCCCGGATTTTATACCGCGGTAATCCAAGATAGACTCGGATACGCCATGCACCTTAAAAGAACTTCTAGGATTCCCTGCTCAGACGAGCCTGCTCCCCGGTTGTTGTTTTTCCGTAGAACCAAACCGCTACACCGAAGCGAGTTCATAAACGGCAAGACGCGTACACATACAATTTACCAATCAATATTAACACCAACTTCTGACCCTAACCGCGCAATGGGCTCCGTTACCAACGGCACTAACGGCTCCAAGACGTTGAAGCGTGAGCCACTCAAACGGGGCACGTCAATCGACCACCTCGAGTATGTCGATGTCTCGCCCATCATCGGCCGTGAGTATCCGACGGCAAAGCTCAAGGACATGCTGAATGCGCCCAACGCCGAGGAGCAGCTCCGCGACCTTGCCATCACCATCTGCGAGTGTGGAGTTGTCTTCTTCCGCGCCGCCCAGGACGATCTCTCCGTCGAGGAGCAGAAGTATATCACCGATATGCTTGGCAAATTGACCGGAAGGCCTGCAGACCACGGCCTCCATGTGCACCCTCTGTACAATGACCCGAACAATCTGCCCATGGCTGATGGTACTACGGACAAGAACATGTGAGAGACGCATTTTCGTTTGGCAAATTGTTGAAATAAATTTTATTGACAGGAAACAATCAAGCTACGTTATCAATTCCGAGGCTGCGAAGAAGTTGTACGCCACGATGAAGAACCGCCCTGGCTCACTTAATGAGCCACGGGATCTGGGCCGTGAATGGCATAGCGACAGTATGTTTCCTCTTGCTTGACGCTCTTCATATTTCTACCGTCCCTCCAAATACACGTTTGTTTGGTTAATCGAGGCCCCATGCTTATACGGATAAAGGCCTCTTCGAGAATTGCCCCTCCGATTTCTCTTTCCTCCGCATGCAGGATACTCCGCCGTCCGGGGGTGACACCCTTTGGGTATCGGGCTATGAATTGTATGACAGGCTCTCGCCGCCGTTCCGAGCCTTCCTCGAGACGCTGACCGCCACCTGCGCTCAACCCGTATTCAAATCCGCGTGTGAGGCCGGGGGCTACGACGTCATGTCCCCAAGAGGCTCGCCTCTAAACGTAGACTACGAGTTCAGCCCATCCCACCCGGTCATTCGGACGCACCCGGTTACGGGCTGGAAATCCCTCTTCGCAGGTGTTGGCCTCCACGTCACTCGTATCAACGGCGTTCACACCTACGAGGACCAGATTATTCGAGATTATGTGCTCAGACTCATTACGCGGAACCATGACTGCGTAGCCAGGATGCATTGGACCAGAGGTGCATGTGCTATCTGGAGTAACGAATGCACTTTGCATGCTGCCACTGTGAGTTTTCCAAGTGTTTTCCTATTTTTCTTCTCCCTATCCCCTGCTGCTAGATAGCCGGAGAAAGAAATTTTACATGAGTGCTAACGTAAAGGTAAAAGCCCGACACGCACCTGGTAGATGGTGTCAGGACTGGTGTTCGTGCATCAGGTATTGGCGGAGTGCCATATTTGGATCCTGCGAGCACTGGGAGGAGGGAAGCTTTGGGCATGCCTCCATACTGAATTTGTCTTGCAGGCAGTGGAAATACTACGCAGCATTAGATTCTTCCCACGACCTCATTGTCAACGTGTACCCAGGGGTCGATTGAAAACCGCTATCCAATAAATGTAATATTTCCTCCCATTCATCAGGTAACTGTTTGAGATCAAAGTGGGTGTTAAAGCCGAAATCTAAGCTAGACAGGTGAGATGTACGATTGGAGAAACACTCACCCGACGTTGTGATCCTTAGCCTCGCTTGCTCCATGAACGAGACGCCGACGATGGCACTTAAGTCTTATATGTGGCCGATGCTCTTTGGTGCCCAGTTCTAGGGCTGACGTTGGGGGTGATGAGCCCTGATCTCTGCAACGGAAAAGTCGTACCGCGGTCGTCGGGTCGACGTTGCCGCCTCTTCAACTCACAGGATGGCGACGGGCATTTTCTCGACCGCTTTGCTGTTGAGATTCAGAATTCTCCAAAATGCACGTCATTTAAAATGCTGGGATTTAAGCTGGCTGCGGGCAACCAGTGTCACGCCTCTCTCCTTCTTTGGACTTGAGCCATCGCAAGGCGCCGGGCGCCCCGAAACATCTGGTGCTGATTGACTTCTAACTGGGCTTAGTGCCCGTCATTCCAAGTTCGCCGGTGGGAAATTCCCAGGGAACAGACCACTCTGAAAACGCCACACCGGCCAGTGGATGGGCTATGGTTGTGCTACCAGAGAGGAAACGCCTATTTGCCATTGCCCAGAACTCCGAGACGGCTACACAGGAGCATATACCGTAGATTATTTAACATCCTTAACCCATCGATTTGGGTTCCTGGAATTCTGGACACCAAAGATCCAGAGCAGTCCACACTTAACATATCTCCCACTCACTACCTTGATGATACTATCACCATTGTTTTACCTCGCCAGCAATATGGATAGACAATTACCACCAGCATGGGAACACTTTTCCCGCGTCGATGGCCTTCGTCTATTTTATAACCTTTTCCAAAAGACCGAAGCCGAACAACCGAAACCGGTATTCCTGAGTTCATACCGGGCCGCAGCTGCGCAGCTGTCTATCCATATCGTACTTGTCCTGACATCGATTACCGTCATATCAGTTAATCTGATCCAGTTATACTTGGGGAGGAACATACCTGGTACTCCGGTGGACCGATCAATCATAATCACCATTCTTCAGGTTGTCGCAAAACTTCATGAAGTTCTCATCGTTGCCAGTCAGACAACTATCGTTTTCCCCATCATCCGCATTCAATTGCTGTCCCGGCCCGGCATACCGTTTGGATTTCTGCCCCGGGCCTTGATGTTCTCCAGCCCGAGCTATTTCTGGTTGTCGGAATTCTGGGGTGCCATGACGGGTAGAATATCCCGTCTCAGACGAATCCTCACCGCTTTGCGGCTGGTTACTGTAGGACTTATAGCCAGCCGCAACCGCTGGCCCATCCGTCGCTGTCCTCCTAGTCCCGAGAGAAGCGGATTGGAATGCACGCGGCAGCCAATTCTTTCTCAGGGGCACACCCGACGGGCTTCTCCCAGCCAAACTGACCATGGACACATCCTTCTATGCTTTGGTCGCAGGCACCCCAGTTCTCAATGTGCCCAAGTGGAGGATTCTCGCCTCTATCAATCTACGCGTCACAGTTATCGAGAATCAAAAACGAAGCTGTTCTCCAATCTCCACCGCCGTACATCCAGGGAGTATTTGCTTCGCACCTCGTTGATATTGCAAATTCCACATCGGTCATCCCCCTCTCGCCACTATTCGGAAGCCCTCGTGGAATTGCTTGCCAGACTACCGTTCGCGCACCTCATGTGCTTGCTATGATATATCAACCCGCACTAAATGCGGATTGGCGCTTGGTAACCGGTGAAGCCGATTCCACAGCACCCTATAATGCGCGGTCCATCGGCCAATACAAGCACCGTTTCGAATTGACAGCCTCAACCGCTGGGACCAAGGTCCTCGTTGTTCGCACCTCTTGCTTGAACGGAGTGCGGCCATCACAACCGGAGAATTCTACTCCGATATTCAGACACTCAAAGATGGCGGGCGGGGGAAACAAGATTGAAGCCGACGCGCCATACCCACAACCTGGATCTGTGGCTCTCTGAGCTTGTGTCAGCTGCCAAGTTTACTTTCATCGTCACCACCTTCGTTTCAGCTGGATCGAGGGATGAACTCACCATCTTAGCTGGCATCATCCAGGAGATATACTAGGCTATGCTCATCTTTGCTCTCGCGAATATTGCTCATGCTTTTCGACAGTGTCGGTAAATGGTACCCAAAAGTTTGGTAGGTTAGAAGCTAATGTAGGAAGATGAGTTTGTTGACCAATGTTTCCTTACGCCTCGATAAATAAATGATGTGTCTCCCTTATAACGACGTGCTCTTCATACGCTCGAAAACAAGTAGTATATTGGCAACGAATATTCCCTTATTGGGATTTTACTAAGGTGTAAAGGCCACCTGATAGGAGAGGTAATTAGAGTATTACTCCTTTAGAAACTCTTAACTTTGGCTTCTGAGAGTTCCTTATAGGTTCTACTCAGCCACCTTAGTTTAGCATGGTAGGAGAACTCTCCACGCCGTAGCCCATGACATAGCCATGCTTTCCTTCGCCTTCAATCGCCTTCCGACGCCTCGAAAGACATCAAGTGGCCTGGGAGAATGTTCGAAACAAATATAACCCCAGCTTCGCTAGGGGCACGCTTAACCCATGAACAACCTTGACCTGTATCAGCTGTGAACCGGGAACGGCAACTGAAAAAAAGGCGGAAAAGTATAACAAAGCGACTGAGAGGAAGGATTACGCAAAAGAGGCAACTCACCACGCTGCATATTACTAGAAACCATACGATGACTCTCATGGCTTCACCGAGCTGTTCTGCGGCTTCTGAGGGGACACCAGACTCGGTGGCGCCCTTCAGGAATTCCAGACCGATATGGAGATAGAATATAGCAGACACCCCAATTGGTCCGAAGTAGCCGACGAACAAAGCTTGCCGCATATCCTCGATCTGCCAAACATGACGACGGAGAAGGAAGATGATAGGAAGCCGTCTCAGGAGCAACACGGACAGCTCAAGAGCAATCAAGCGGTAAGGAGAAATCATCTCGGTTGTCCAAAAGCTTTCCCAGGGGCATGTTGCGCCAACCCACAGAAACATGGCCACATTAAGTACCATGTCGACGGTGGGCCGAAGGGAATCGTCCAACGTCTGGATCCGGAACCAGTCATCCCACGTAAAGACATTGCCGGCAACAAAACAAGCCAGGACATCGTCACTTCTTAGAATGCCACAGGTTCCGAGTATGAGTAGGGCCATGGCAATGTCAAAGACGAGGAAGCTCTCGCGATCCACGTACAGCTTCTTCTCTGCGCGATACAGGAGTTCTTTAGCTGCCCACCCCACAAACCCGCCGTATACGACGCTAAACAGGACAATGTAACCACAGGTCTTCCACAGGAAGAGGCTTATAGCGGTGCGGGCGCCTCCAACCGTGTCCTGATTATCTCCCGTAGTATATTGTATTAGGTAGAGAGCGAGAAATAGAAACGGGTATCCGAGGCCATCGTTCGCGCCAGATTCGGCAATAATAATATTCTGCAGGTCTTTGGGGACGTTCTCATCGGCGAACTTGCCTTTGACGATAGCGTTGGAGAGTACCGGGTCGGTCGGTGTGATGCATGCCGCGATGGCCAACGCGTGCAAGAGTGGAAGGCCGGGAACTAGAGCCCATATGACGATGCTGCTACACGCCCACATCGCCACCATTCCCGGACCTAGGAGTAGCATGAGCGATTTTGATTCCTTTTGCAGATAGCGGCTGGGTAGCTCGACTCCGGCAAGAAAAAGCTGGACGCCCAACACAAGGCGACTGAAATCTAGATTGACCGCATCAAGACCATCTTCGGAGCCCGCGTATTCCAAGGGTTTCAGTAGATTTAGCCCGTAGGTGAATATGGCTCCGACGAAGGTGGAAATGACTACCGAGGTTCAGGCTTTGTGTCAGCGCGTCTCCGGGAGCGAAACAAGCCAGTCCAACCATCACTTACAGGCCTCGGAAAGGTAGTATCTCTCCTTGACAAGGTACGAAAACAGGCCAAAAAAGGCGATCCAGCCGCCAAGGACGCTGACGACTATGTTGAAGTTCGTAAAGGCAAGGAAAGACATCTTTCTAGGGCTGTGTAGTGCAAGACCAGAGAGAAGGGGAGTTGGGAGAATACATCAGAACGTCAATTCACAAAACGAGATATGATAAATACTCCTCTCAGGAAGTTCCACATACATCCGGTACCCACCGATATCTCATACCCATTTGGGACGGGCGCATGGCGCACTTTGCAATGGAGCATGATCATCCCGCTCGCCCACAGAATGTACATAATCTCTGGACTCGTCCATACCCAGTATCTCTTCCAGGAATAGAATCACTCTACTTGCTAGTTTTAGTGTAGACACTTTCAATGCTAAACTCGCCGATATATTGGTTGTCATGACCCGAAAAGACCAGATTTAAAAAATCCAAGTTTTCCCAGTATCACTGCGGCGTAAAAATCCCTCAGTCTCACCGCAGCCCAAGGAGACGTCATCTGCCTATTTTACAGACTTTTGTCACAAGATCGTGATTTACCTTACAAAAAGGTCTTTGAGATTTGGTGTCGGAGGTATAATTTAGGCTTTTGCCCAAGCTCAGGGTGACAACTCGTGGAACCTCGATCAGAGGTATTCACGCACCTGCATTGCATTAGCGAGATGGAGTCGGGAAGCTAAAGTAGTGGACGCCACCAACTGGTAGTAGATGTTTGGTGTGGCTAGAATGGCACCCTCTACTTCGTATTGTAACCCCTTTTCGCCGATCTGTATTAGACCCCGCCCTGCAGGTAGGGCACCGCGCTGTCCCCTGTGACACCGCCATGTGTTCGCAGAAATTGCTTTTTACTTTGTCACCTTAAGATATATCGGTCGACGGCACGTACCTCGCGACTTTGTGCCCGAAGCTGCCCCCTGAGACCAGGGGCATGGGGTGGGAGATTGGTGACAGGGAGGCAGCCCATCGGAGGTAAACACACAGTATTATTTCTGCCTCTTCTCTTCCACATGGTTCTCCAGGGTCCCCAACTCGCTTGGCTTGCAACCCCCCCCCCCCCTTTTTTATTCCTCTAGGCCTTCCACCCGCAACTCTACGGAGGCTGTGGTAGCTCTCCATAAACAAGCATCATTTAGTTCATCATGGACATTAGAAAAGCCACACCGGCCGATGTCCAGGCCATCCTCGAGGTCGTCCTGACAGCGATGACGCCGGAGCGTCAATGGCAGTACTGCTTTCCTTCCCGCAACCAGCATGCCGACGACCATAGCACGCATACCCAGGCGGCGCTGGAACGCTGCCTTAATCCCATCGACGACGACTGGCTCGTTGCCGTTGTCGAGGTGCCAGCCAGGCTGAATCCCCGAACGAAAATTATCGCGTCCGTTGCAATATTAGAAACCCAACGCGTCGATAGTACGAAGGAAGATTCTGCTGGCGAAACTCCTCAGCACGGTTCATGGAGCGAAATTGTGGCCCACGGCCACGAGACTCGCAAAGATGCCAAACCATCCCGCCTCTCTGCTTTCGTCGAGGCTGTGGTCCATGGAAGGAAATCGTACCTCGATGGCTACGGCCACCAGATGTACTTGCACCTCCTCGCCACGCACCCGGACTACCAGAGTCGAGGTCACGCGAAGGGATTGTGCCAGTGGATTCTGGGGATGGCGAGGGAGAATGGGTCGGTCGTCTCGACTCTGGCTAGTCCGACTGGATACATTTTCTACTCTGGGTTGGGCTTTACCGATGTCGGCTGTGTTGTAGTGAAGGTTGAAGAGGAGTGGGAGGAGGTGGTGCTTAAGGCTATGGCGCATGTTCCGAGGAAGGAGAGAAGACCCTCGCTCTTCAAGTTTTGGAAAGCGACGGAGGGATAAGCCGCGGCACTGCTGAGTTAAATGTTACTATAGGGAGAGCAAGCATCCCTATAAACCAGGGAGCCTACCGGCGGAGAATTCTACGCCCATTCTTGCTTTCAAGGGAAAAGGAGCTTTCATGATTGAGCTCCACTCTGGATAGACAGTGTTAGGAAGCAGATTGTAGATGTGCAGCTCGGCCCCCGGTAGTTTAATATTGCGGCGCCATCTACTCCATCTCGCCGCTATATTCCACTTACTTTCTCCTTTCCATGTGCCCCTCATACTATATCCAGACGTAAATCGCTATTTATAAGTTCCTGGCCGAAATCGAGTCTTTCTGGGGATTTTCGAAATGAATTGGAGGTATTGTGTAGGCCTCTTCGGCGTGACTTTCTTCCTTAGCCATTAGCCCCTGAATCACGCTTAAATGAGAAAGAAAACGGTACCCCTGCAGTAATTTCTGTCGAAATGATCTCCCGAGCCATCTTCGTCTACTTTGATCGTTGATGCCAGCGCAGGCGACATACCAGTGGGGTGCTGGTAATTTAGTTCAATGTATTGACTCAAGCAGAGAGATGCATGCGAGGATGAGGCCATGTGATGAAATTCATTCTATAGCTCGCTCCGCTACCCCAACCTTCTCTCTGTCTATGCTCTATAAATAGCTCCGCTACAGAAACGACTTTAGCGCCTGGATAACACCAGCAACATCTTCATACACAGGCCAATGGCCGACACCCTTGAGAACGACAAGTTGAGCACTGGGAATCCGAGATATGTACTCCTCGCAGAGCGCAGGCGGTGAGATCTTGTCCTCGTCGCCGGTGATGATGAGCGTGGGCATCGACAGCTTCTCGACCTCGAGCTTCCCCTTGGCCCTGCCGAGCGCATCGCATGCCTTGGCGTAGGATTCAGGGTCCTGGCCTAGCAGGCTGAGCCGTACGGCGGTGGCGGCGACGGGGTTGGCCTCCTTAGAACGGGCCGAGGTGGTGTCGTTGACGATGGCGTCAACGACGGCGGCAATGCCCCTGGCCCTTACGAGAGCGGCGCGGGCGTGCCTGGTGTCGGAATCGGCCTGGGACAGAGGCGAGGGAGGAGGACCGACGAGGACAAGCTTCCGAACTAGTTCGGGGTTGTCGATGGAAAACTGGAGGGCCGCCAAGCAACCCAAGGAGTGGGCGACAACGGTGGCTGGGGCGCCCGCATGTTGGACGACGGCGTGAAGGTCGGCCGCGATCGTCTCAATATCCACACGACTAAGGGGGTGCGTGGGGCTGAGACCGTGGCCCTCAAAGTCGAAGAGGTGCAGCGTGTGGGTCTGCTCCAGAGAGGGAATTAGAGGCGTCCAGTACTCCATGGAGCCGCCCAGGCCGTGGATGAACACGACATTCTCGCCGCCGGAGCCCACCTTCTTGTAGTGAAGGGGCTTGCCATTTAGCTGGGTCAGGCCGATACCACCACCGAGGGTCTTGGACGCGTTTATGAGCGCGAAAGAGGACTGCTTCTCAACGGCTTCCTGCGTGGAGTTGGTGGAGCCGACCGTGCCGATCTTGTTAGTGAGGGCGCCAAGGCCGGAAATAGATGCTGAGACCTCGTCGCCGGGCTGGAGAAAGACAGGGGGATTCTTGCCGATGCCCACACCAGCGGGCTGTGATATTTACCAGAGTCAGTAATCGTCCGATGAGCGAGTGCAGGAATAACCGAATTAGAGAGAGAACTTACTGTTCCCGTGGCGATCACATCTCCGGGCCGTAAGGTGATACCCTCGGAGATGGTCTTGATTAGGACGGGGATCGAGAAGATCAGATCGTCTGTAGTGGCGATCTGCTCAAGCTTGCCGTTGACGTGTGTCTCAAGCTTAAGGACGGGGGGCAGATCCTCCTTGGCGACGGCAATGGGGCCCTGTAGAGAGAGAGGGAGGGGAAAAAAGAAACATCGTGTTAGCCTTGAGTTATCCCTTCCAACCCAACGGAAAAAGAGAAAGTATGCGTACGATAGGGCAGAATGTGTCGGCAGATTTTCCAATGAAGAACTGCTTGTGGTCCCTCTGCCTTTCACGCGCCGTCACGTCGTTGATGATGGTGTAACCCCATACATAGTCCCAAGCGTTGGCCTCGTCGACGCGGAATCCCGACTTGCCAATGATTACACCGACCTCACCCTCGTAATCGAGTGTGCTGGTGAACTCGGGGTGGGGGAAGATGGGCGCGCCGTCGGCGATGGTCGAAGTCGCACGCTTGGTGAAGATGACAGGGTGGCTGGGCAGCGCGACCTTGTCGGAGCTGTCGTAACCCGAGTTGTTGAACTCCTTGGCGTGCTCTGCGTAGTTCTTACCCACGGCCAGGATGTCGCGGCCGGAGATGGGAGGTAGGAGCTTGACACTCGACACGGGGACGGGTTCACCTGTGGGCATGACGGTGCGGGCGCCGGCTTCGATGACCTGGTATAGGTCGGAGACTGGTGTTCCGGAACGGAAGGCGAGAGGCTGGATGGTCTTATTGGTTAGGTCGTAGTGAGCGATTCGGTTGGCGCCCGTCGCCGGGTGGACGTAGGCGGCATATTGAATTGGGGACATGACTGCGACGTTGGATTGCAAGGATAGTTGTGTCGTAGCAGCCGGGAAGAACCAAATTATTTCGAGGGGTCGTCTTTAGAGGCCCTCGTCAGTCGATTTTCAGCGAGGGCCAAGATTTCCACGGTTCAGATGGGAGATCAAAAAGTCAAAAAAAAAAAAAAAAAAAAAAAAAAAAAAGAAGAAAAAGAAGAAGAAGAAGAAGGAAAAGACTCCAAAAACCGAGCGAATTGCGCTTGAGGGCGTGGGCACTGTTCGTTGAGGTTTCATGGGCGGGACAGGAAGAGGAAACTGGAGTTGGAGTCCATGGCGGCACCGGGGATCGCGGAGAAGACGTGATTTGCGGGGTCGGAGACAACTTGAAGGTGCAGCTGTGGATCACTTGCAAGAAGTGGAGATTACAGAAGTGTAGAACCTGCAGAATTGACAAAGTAGGGACCGGCGGGATCGAGAGCACTGAGCAGGCCGCATCGCTCATCTTAAAGTCGACAAGTCAATACAGTCGCTTCCACAGTAACGACCAGGGCCAAAATTGTGTTCAAATTGGCCTGGCCCACCTCCAATCCTTCCTCAAAGTAGGCAACATTGAAGGTCAATTACTTGCTCTAGAACTGGACATGCTAAACATTGGTAACTCCTGAAAGCAAAACCGCTAACACTGCCACGAACCTGTTTATATCAATGTGTCAAATGTAAGTCGGTTTCCCTTGTCTACCTTGTTCTTCTAAAAGATTTACTAGCTACGCATACCCGAGCGTGACAGTGATGGGCCGTGGCCAAGCACTTGTCATCATCGCTCACAAAGATTAATCCCAAAAGAACAGGTACGAGAACCAGAGTGGCAGCAGGATTAGTTTCTTCCCAGGTTGGGGTTCTCACTCTGATCCTTTACGCTTGCAGGTACAAGATCTGTGACAGTGTCCTCGTTAGGGGCTCGTTCACTCCGCTTGCCTCTAGGTTCAGGGCCTGTATCACGTGACCATTTCTGCCAGGTCTGACCGCTTTCCTCAAACTGTGACCCGGCTGCAGTCAGATCGTGACATATCATAAATCTCCAGCTTACCCTCACGGATATGGGAGAAAATGAGGCTGCGACCCCGCACCTGGGACGCTCCGTGCTTATATAGCTACAGGGGGTATCTGGAATTCTTGCTGGGGTCTTGGCCAATCCAGCTGGGTTTTATTGGAAATATCGGTGGTCCGTAGCTGCAAAGTGAGTTGGCTGGCCGGAATTAGTGGAAGAGATTGTCGCTTCGGGGGGTTTCATTCGAAGACATACCCCCGGCTCTTGAAAGTGGAAAAAGTCTTCTCAACCGTTAGATCTTTCGGGTCGGGTCCTCATGAAAGGGCATGTTCCTACATCCTCGTTTGAATTGAAAATGCTTTTTCTTCTCATCAACACTTCCGAGCTAGCATGCAGCTAGGGCTCGTCATTAACAAGCGAACTCCATTTTTGAGATTTTAAACGGTTGTCAGCTGGGCCCCACCGCCCCCGCTCTAAGATGGATCCCAGTAGCCGCCTGAAGGCCAAGCTAGACTTGTTGCTGGATTACCATGAAATCGGATCCCATCTTGACCGCGATATGTTCCGAATTCTCCACATCGATCGTGCAGTGGACCTTGAAGCAGGGGAGGGAGAAACCGTGATTGAGTGTAACCTTGCCTCGACGGCACTGGGTGAGAATCCATCATACGAAGCGCTATCGTATTGCTGGGATGTTCCACAGCCCCGAATTGCCATCATTTGCAACCAGAGGAAGCTCCACATCCGATCCAACCTCCATTCCGCTCTCCGCTGTTTGAGATTGACCGATAGACCTCGGACTATCTGGGCCGATGCCGTGTGCATCAATCAGGAGAACCTCGAGGAGCGAGCCCGCCAGGTCGGGCTCATGAAGGATATCTTTGCCAAGGCCGACGAGGTCATCGTGTGGCTCGGCGAGGAGGCCGACAACAGCACTGTCGGCATTCAAGCGGCACAGGATCTTGCCGATGCCGGACGCGAGTACCTCAAGCAGCGCAAATCCTTGGAGAACCTGCCAGAGGATGACCCCCTGGTTCTGGCCCTCTTTCGGCCATTCCAGCGCCCGTCCCAGTTTCACCGCTTCGATGCCATGTCGAAAATCATCGATAGGAACTGGTTTGGCAGGACCTGGATTGTCCAAGAAGCGGCCGTCGCGAATAAGATCCGTGTGTTCTGTGGCCCGGCGGCGATTAGCTGGGAGGACTTGATGAATGCCGTTGTCCTCCAGAACCAGCTAGATCTTTACACGAGTACCCACGACCGCAACACGCCCGCCTTGATTATCAGAAACACACGCATCGACTACCAAGCCGGGGTCTACCGGGATTTACTTTCTGTCATGTATCGACATCGCATGTTCGCCGCGACGGATCCGCGAGACAAGGTTTACGGCCTCGGCGCCCTAGCCGGAGACGAACTGGCAAAGAGGTTCATGGCAAATGTCGATTACACCGTCGATGCTCTTGACTTCTACCGCCGGCTGGCTACGGACATGCTGAAGACATACCCTGGTCTGATTGCTCTTTCCGTTCCTCCTGGTCTTACGTCGGAGCATGCTGAAGGGCTTCCATCGTGGGTGCCCGACTGGCGGGTTACACGAAAATCGCCGTGCATCGGGTTGACCGACTCGGTAGATATTCACGAGGTGAGATACAGAGCTGGCGGCAACTCACAAGAATCTATTTCATTCGATGAAACTGGGTTGCTGCTCAGCTTAAATTGCTGTTGGATCGACACAATCGAAGCCGTAGGACGGGTCATGGTAGTTGACGACCTGCCACATGGGTTCCCAGGAGTATTGCGCTTAGCAAAAGTCTCCTATATGCTCGATGAGTGGCGCGCTGTTGCAAAGGCTGTTGGGAACAATCACGATACAGATTACGTCACGGGTGGATCGGTTCTGGATGCATTCATCCGGACATTGGTTGGGAATCCACCAGATCTGACCATCTCATTTATGAGAGAGCAGTTCAGTATTCTGGATCGCCAAGCTCGGCTGATCCGGTGGATGGGCCGGTTGCACGGCCAGTACCCAAAAGTGGCGGAGAAATATCTTGTTCTGTTTTTCGAAAAGGCTTTCAAGGTGCCCAAGACTAACCTCGCCTTTGCCTTTGGCTATAGGCTGGGACCCTTGGCAGATAGAACAGTCTTCCGGACGAAGAAGGGATATATCGGACTCGCCACCATACGAGCCGCGGCGGGTGATCGGATAGCAGTTCCACAAGGAGGGAGAGTGCCTATTGTGCTTCGGCAGGCCGGCGATAAGTGGCAGATGCGGGGTGATGCCTATTTACACGGCGTTATGAATGGTGAAGGTTTCGATGTGCAGAAGGCTGAACGAGTTCAGATTGCTTGATTCTCAGTATGCCGGATGGAGACGACCCAAAGGAATATAAATTGACAACCATTTGACATGTCAGTATAATTGTTCTGAAGACCTTTAATCGAAACGGGAGCGTTCGAGCAACCCAGTAGGTTACAGGCCCTGATCTAACGATTACCAACCCCTCACCACTGATATCAATATAATATCTCCCACCACCCTAGAAGCGTATCAAAAATTTGCCAAGAGTAAGTCACTGGCCGCGGATGTTGTAGATCTATCAGAAGGCGCCAAGGATGCTAGCTTGGTGACAAGGGTAAAGGCACCGCTCTTCTTTGGTTCCATGGCGGTGGCTACACATTGATGGCGAATGCAGGTCATTTACAGCTGGGCTAGGACTTGATTCAGAGGACACGGGAAAAGGGCCAGGACCTGAGTTGCTTTTATCGTTAATAGAGTAAGTGTTTATTAGTCCCTTTTTTTATTTATTAGAGTTGCTGAAGTCTACTGATACTTGGATACTCGAACGTGTTTAGTCAGTTTTGGGGGAGTGTGTTCAGCTGTTGAGCGCAATATACATCAGGATCTCCAGCGTTAATGCTTCCAGTAGATTATCATAACTCAAGGCTGTGTTTCCCTAAAGAACAGATAAGTCATATCATAACACAAAGATACACGCAAAGGGAAAACTGTGCAAACCATAAAACTATGCAGTCCAATTCACTTGCAGGTTCCCGGCTGATATAGAAATTCCTCCGCCTTCCAAATATACTACCTCTTGATGCTGTATCAATCACCCCATACACCCCTTAAAAGCCCCCACTAAAAGCACCTATCCCAGGATTAACATACGCCCTCCTAACAGTAGTCTGTATGACCCTCCCCTGCTCATCCACGTGATAAAACTTGCCCTCCCTCTTAGGGAGATGCTCCACCGCTTTCACCGCCGGCGGCTTGAAAATCGCCTTGAGCTTTCCGAGCATCGATTCCGGGTCCCGAGGGGGCTTCTTCGCCGGCATTTTGTCGACTACCGTTTCCTCGTAGTAGAAGTAGTCGGCCTCGGTTGATCTGGGGATCTCGGGGACAGGGTTGCCATCCTCATCGACAATGCAGTTAACGGTGGTGGTCCCGGAGAAGGCGATAGAGTTGGACATTTTAGACGATGATGGAGGATGTGAAAGGGAATGTAGGCGATCACGGAGTTGAATAAGGCAACGGCCGCTGAAGGGTTTTTATATCCAAAGTCAAAATCGTAAGATTTTCGCCCTGTGATGCACCACCACCACAAGCTGTTGGAATCACTCTTTGGTAGTGTTACACCTTCACACCTGGCGAAGCGAAGGATGCGGCAGTGCAAGTGCAACTATTTGGCGGCTACTGTAATTTGTCTCGACGTGTGACTATGATCAATTCAATCATGAGAACCGGAAAGGGTTTAGCGTCATCCCCTTGTGAGGCGTAGGTCTTTTTGGCATTGTCAGATCCAAAAAAACGTCCGCACCCAAGCTATCAAGATCTGTATGCTTTTCGACATGATCTTCGCAGCTGAGTAATACGGATGTAGTTGCTAATAACACCTACATCCCTGACTCCATTGTCTTTATGCTCGCTCCCACGAAGCTGAATTGAGTCAATTCCGTACCATTTCGCGCCATG